CAGTAGAGGGATACAGTCTACCCCACTGTGTGGCATTGATGATTTTCTTATTTTTAAGGGATTGCAGAGTTGAATGGTTTGCTTTCAATACAGTAGACAGGTTTGCTGGGTAGTATAATTTGTCAAAAGTGTATCTTAAGGCCTTGGTGCCTCCATCTACTAAAAGGCGACATAACCTTGCGTAATTAGTGGTCTCCTTGGTGGATGAAGCTAATGTTGGAGCAGACGCCATCAGAGTAAACCTGCAAAACATAATTTAGATCCCTATAATAAAAAAGCAACCAAATTTTCACCAATGTTATATGCTCTATTTTTCACTAGTGCCTTGAGTTGGAATTTGCATGAGTTGTGAGTTTACATGAGTTGTGACAACACTGATTGTTATCTATAGATTGAAAAAATAAGAATGAGCACTCAACGTGAGTTACGCGGGAGTGTCAACGAGTTCTGAATAGGATATTTGTTCTTCATATCACTTATCCCTGACTTCCACAGTATCACTGCTGGGCCCCTTTCTTTAGTGAACCGTTGCACCTTCTGCTCGGCTGTCTGACCAGTCACTCAACATCAGTCCTCTCTTAGACCTCTTAGTACAATAAGATTAAAAAGCATTCACCAAATGGAAGTAAATGTTGTTTGCATGGACATAAAAAAATGAATCAGGGGTTTTGTTGTTATCAAGAAACCTTAAACATTTTCTGGTGAAGTTAAAGGTTTCTCGGTATTAGGTTACCGATGACAATTTTTTTCCCCAAAGTATTAACCCTTGTATTGAAAATCATACTTCATTTTGGTCATGGAAGAAGAGTGCAACTGCTGAATATGTTGATCACAAAATTATGATGCAGATTAAGTTGGTAAAATACGGAATATTTCTACACTCTTGTGATGGTAGCTTAACATTGGTCAACAAGCTAAACTCGTGGACAAACGTTCAGGGATACATTTGCATACGTGGGGCTTTCCTTGAATCACACATGCCCAACCCCTTCCCCCCCCCCCCACCCCACAAACGAGGTAAGACGCGTGTATCCAGAATTTTCGCAAGTTTCAACAGTATAGAGTGGGAGAGAGAACTTGAGATATTTTCAAAGAGGTTGTAAGTTTTTATTAGGGCACCAAGAAATGTCAGAAAATTATGAATAGTACATCACTATTCCAAGGACGTTTGTCCAGGATTGGAGCTAAGAAAGAGTAAACTTCACACCAAGTCAACCTCTATTAATTCTATCAGTAACACGAGGAAAGGCGAGCGGTGAGCTCAAACTGATAAATCCGCGCGACTGCGCAGGACTTTGTGCAAGTTTAAGGAATCAGTAATTGCTTGATAACAAATATAAGTAGATCCGCAACATTCTAAAGAATTTATAATTTATATGGAAACCTTAACCCAGTAAAGAGAGAATTAACTGTTCATAGTGTTTGAGAAATGAATGAAATTAAAGTCAGCAGCGTTATTGTCCACAATTAAGCGAAGGGGGACCCCAGATAGGTGAGGTAACATGTGGCGGCTCACCCCACCTATCGTGTAAACGTGACCAAATTAAAATGAGAGATAATATGAACAGGTCGGTTACCTCACCTACCTGGGGTCCCCTACCTCCATGTAAACAGGCCCTAAATCATGCAAAGAGGTGTTGTTCAAAACACATCAGAATAACAAGACTCGCCAATAGGCGATTTTAACTGGGCTAGCAATTTTCCTGGGGGAGAGGGTAACCGCTCACACTCAGGCCACCAGGCTTGTCGCTGACCATTGCGTGACATAGCATCTCATGTGAGAATTTCAAAAACATTTACTCATTCGAACATTGTACCCTTTTGGAAGACTTTCGTAACAAGAAAAATGAGTACCATTTTTAAGTCGGGGCTGTATAGTACCTTTTCAAATTCCACCATTATGAACAAAAAATAAGCAAGTGAACCATTCTAAACAAGAAACAATATTATATAATATTATACAATATTATATTTTCACGCACCCCTCCCCCAATCCCTCTGTCCCCCAAAATATAGTGTGACTAATTTGACCTAACCGGAAATTCCCCAAGACATTTCTTTCACACAAAAAGCAAGGATCGCAATAAGATAAAAAGACATTGGCCGTCACATTTTAGACGATTTAAATTTCAACATAAAGAGAAGAGAAAACTTAAAACCGATCCATCCTACTATCTTTTGAAACTGGCACTGATAAAAAGTGGAAAAGATAGCTTGAGAGACGTCTTTATTCACTGGATGTACTCACACACGCTCTAGCCACAAACACAGAGAGATTTGCAATCACGTTTTAAAAGGGAAAACATCATCCAAAGGTTTAAACTTCAACAAATGGTGAAGAAAAACCCCAAAACGTACTCATCGTAGTCTTTTGAAGGAGACGATGAAAAGAACACAAACACATCTATATTTCAATGGCTGCCCTCTTCATGTCAAGCCATCATAGAGTTCAAAGTTGTCCGTTTTCACGACATAAATCCTCGGGGGGTACTCTCTTACATTAACCTTATAGATACTGCTCTGAAATAGCGTTAAGATTAGGAGAGCCGGACGGTGCAGCCCCTCTACGACTTGCCAGAAATAACCCTGCGAGAAAAAAATGGAACTCATTTTATAAACTGGGCTGCCCCACAGGCAGCCCAGTTAGTAAATGGCAGCTCTCCATGTCACATACTTTGGAAAATTTCAATCTTGTTGCAATCTGATCGATAACGTCAATTATTCGGTTCGCGACAACTTAACGTCGGGCGGGAAAAAAAGGAGGCAAGCTTTTTTGACCATCTGAACTGTTGCTCTGAGTAAAAGACATAAAAGGATTGCATTACAAACCAAACTTCCTTTTTCACTATTAATATGCAAATTGTAACTTTCCTTTTAAATTTCGATTTCATTTCCCTGATGCTCAGTTGTTCTCAAGACTTCGTTTAATGAGAAAGAATTAAATTGACAAACACCTCAAGTTTTATTAATGCTCAACGAAATATAGTCAAAGTTAGGAACCACAAGAAATACAACTAGAGCGTCTCTGGTTACTGATGCGGGAACATTAACATTACTATTTGCATTTACAAAGAAGCGTGATGACGTAAATCAGAAAGAAACCTAAACATTGTCATCAATATGAGTTTTTTTCAAAAGAGTAAACAGTACTTACTAAAAGTCGTGCAAGACCAAGAGAAGAGGCCAGTGAGAACAAAGAAACGAATTTCTCCTACTGAACACGAATCGATCGCTTGTCTAGAAAGCAATAAACAACATGCCATGTGCTCGGTTATTCGCCCGGCAACAACAACTGTTTAAAGGCTAACAACTGATCAATATACTGAGAAGATGTATTTTGAGATTGCTTCTAACAGCCTTTTTGTTAAGTCTCTTTACTTGGGAGAACGTTAGGAGAAACTATACCACGATCCTATGATCAGAACCTACAATAATGCTAAGACATCAAAATTCTCGTTCAGCTTACCACCTTCTCCACGTCAAAGACTTTTCGTCGCTTATCGGAATAATTAGGCTTCAGGGTCGTTTAGGTGATTCCAAATAAGAATCAATTCATCCCTGAAAGGTGCTAGTCAGACCACCAGAGAGTTCGTGTTCCTTTGAAGGTTTCTCTTGAAACAAAAATGGTAATGTACAATGTTTCCTGATACTAGAGCGACGAAATGATTAGTCTGGACAGACGGTACAGCCACAAGAAATCAATTACCTGTCAAATACCTGTGCAAGCCAAAGCCTATTGTCGAAGAAAAGGTACTAAATGGACGAATCTACGTGCATCAACTAAGGCGAGGATCCCAGCGCGCCATTTCAATTTCCTCAAACGCAACTACGTACTTCTGAAAAGAATGGGGCGCATCACCGTAGAAACATCGGAGATGTCATCAATTATACGCGACGTAGCGTGACCAAAGTTAAATTTAGACACGCGATGTAGAAAGTCATACTATGCTAAGATCACGGGATGCATCTAACGCAGACCTAGAGCCAAACCCTAATAAAGGAAAATCTGGAGACTCATGAAATAAAATCGGGAGATTCTACAAAAAGTAGTGAGATTCTTTTTTTTCCCGAACAAGATTAAACGAACCCTTTTTCCATTGGGGGAATTATCTGTTTGCTTAAACAGAACACTGTTTTGGTGTGGTCCCTCTTGCAACGAATAAGATACCGCTTTTTCTTTGATGAATTTAAGACGCCAGAGAATAGGTCATCACTTGGTCGAAACTTACAGCAAAGGGTAGTTTTTTCCGGATAAGTCAACTTCATGGCTAAAATTTTTCATCAAGGCGTAACCAGACACCAGCATTCACCACGCATTTTCCGTTTTTATTCGTCAGGGTAACATTTCATTTCAGAATGATAATTCCCAAAAATCGAAAGATTTGGAGTCTTGTCGTGAGGTCGTGAGTAAAGATAAAAAATGGTGAGAGTTGGCAGGTATGGTAACGTGATATTGTGAATTGCAAATGTCGAACCATGTTACCATTGAAATCGAATTCCAGGCGGGTGTTTATTGGAGGGTTTGTGAATACATGTAATTCGATGGGTGCCTATGATGGAATAAGTGTTTAACTTTGGAATGATACGCCATCAGGATTTCTATAGTATCACTTCAAATGAAAGAAAGGCTACTCCATGTCTTCGAACTCTTGACCAGACCCATCAGGGTAGCTGATAGTTTCGCGAGAGACGAAAATAGCACCTAAAACGTTTCTCTACGACATCCAAACAGATTAAGTAGCCATTAGGGCAGCTAAACAGAAAAAAACAATTAATGCAATGCAGACGTGTTTTGAAACATTCGGTCGTTGGGTGCCACTGAAGAAAGGACAAGAACTGAACATCCTGACAAGTAAACATCAATTTGTTAAAACAGTGGAGATTCCTTCAATATTCAAATTCAGATTTTCTTTATTTTTTTGCTATATTTCAAGATGTTTCTACTACATTACATTATATTAAAAGAACAGAGAAAAAAGAACAGCAAATTACAAATTATGAAAGGTAAAATGTGCTGAGTGACCAAAGTGCTGAGCTACATGTAATGGAGAAAGAAAAAACGTCTTACTTACAAATTTATGTAAAAAACAATAAAAATAGTGATAGATCATCTGGATCATAGAAATAACTATTATTAGTAGGCACTGACGGGGAAATCAAATTACTAGAATCTCTGCTTTGAGTTCTCGTTTGATACTGGGTAAAAATTCTTCTTTTCATGTACACCCGAATCTCTCCCCCATTTTGCTTTTTAAAGCAAAATATCCCGAATCCCGATATTCAAATAAGGCAAATCCCGCATCTAGAAAAACCTATTAGGGTTCCTCTTAACTGTCTGTCTCTCTCCCTCTCTTGCACGATAGGAGAGAGCCCTGAGAACGAGGTCTTCTGTTTCTTTCTTGCATTTAATCTTCTACTTTTTGTTTCTGTTATTTGTTTTTTAACTGTTAGCACGGTAAAGGATCATTGATATCTCCCCAATAAAAAACCTGCTTTGTTCCTTCTTCAGACTGTGTGATCAGTGAATCCATTCTGCCATCATACAAACCAAACACCCCACCTAAAAAAGAAAAAAAATGACATCATTAGCAAGAGCCAATCGCCCGGGTGCGCATATCTGTCATATACATCGTAAGGCTTGGGTCACAGCGTGGTAGATTTTCAGGCTATTTATAGATTCATTTGTGGCGCCAAAATATTCTCAACCAATGAGAGCAGAGATGTGGCGAATGAGGTCGGCGAAGTGTTTGGCGAGGAGAGTTTAACTGGTTGAAGAACCTTGGACGCTGTGAGAAACAATTCAAGGAAACAATGTCTCGGAGGTCAACTGCGATGTTGGACTGAGCACGTTTGTGAACACAGCTAATATCGCGAGATAAGAAATCTAAAAACAGCACTTACTAGTATCCAATGGACTCTCCGGATAGGTGGGTCCCGTCACATATCACTTTAAGTCAATGTACAGTGTAAGCAAGTATACAGTATGCACTTTTGTTTTCAGTACTCAATTAGTGACATTAGCATTAGGTATACCTCCCTACCTCCGGGGGTATACCTATCGACAGTATGACAACCAGCAAATAATTTGTATTTCGCGTAGCAGTTGACATAAGAGTGTGAATTATTGAATTTACCAATGCTTCTCAACAGAGAGAAAGCCTTAATTAAACCCTCAGTCAGACTGAGGAAGATAGTGATGAAATCTCGTACCTGTATGGATGTAAAGTACTCTTTTTCCTTTGAATCTGCCAGGATTATTCTTCATCTCTGTTAACATTCCTCTAATTGCCTTTATATTGTACACTGGATCTACCAATATTCCAGTTGTTCTTGAGATCTCAATAATATTCTCTGTAATTTGATAACAAAACACAATGCACACCTCTTATTGCGTCACACCAAACGTCTCAGTTAAATACTACATTGTATTTTACTAGTGACTCAGTTAGTTCTGGGCATGTATTCCCTCCCCCTTCCCCTCAAAGTCTTTGAAGTTGGTAACATGACAGAATATATGACGTCACAGGGTAATATTGCCAAAGACTTAGCTGGAAGCAGTAGTATTGTAATTTGTATGTCATGTGAATTGAAGGAGCCAGAAAGATTGCCCACGTTTTCGAATTAAACTAAGTGGCAAACCTATGAGAAGAGTCGGGGATAGTGGGGGATGCTTTGGGAGTTGAAGTACAGTCTAATGTGCATTATTTTATAATGTTATACCAAGCAACTTTAACAGTGTGCACAAATGGATCCCTCTATCAAACACTTCTTCTGTTTGACCACCAGACTACCCACCTGCCTCATATCGATTGAACATTAAATTTCGTTGTAACTCGATATGTCGCAGCTCTTTTGTTTCGGGGCTAAGGTCTATTCTTAACTTTGTTTATTCATTGTTTTCCCAACCAATCCCGTGAGCAGTTGAATGCACCTACTCACACTCCTTTTGCATCCGTCAATAATATCGCCTTCTGCTTGAAAAACAATTTAGCCAGTCCTAACATGCGTGCACCTAGTTCATGTTGAGTTGACACACCATATCCTCCCCCTTTGTAGCCATCAATAATATCTATACTATCTTCTGCTTTGACATCAATTCACCCAGTCCTACCCACCTAGTTCATGTCGAGTTGACACACCATATCCTCCCCCTTTATAGCCATCAATAATATCTAAAATATCTTCTGCTTTGACATCAATTCACCCAGTCTTACCCACCTTGTTCATGTTGAATTGACACACCATATCCTCTCCCTTTGTAGCCATCAATAATATCTAAAATATCTTCTGCTTTGACATCAATTCACCCAGTCTTACCCACCTTGTTCATGTTGAGTTGACACACCATATCCTCCCCCTTTGTAGCCATCAATAATATCTAAAATATCTTCTGCTTTGACATCAATTCACCCAGTCTTACCCACCTTGTTCATGTTGAATTGACACACCATATCCTCTCCCTTTGTAGCCATCAATAATATCTAAAATATCTTCTGCTTTGACATCAATTCACCCAGTCTTACCCACCTAGTTCATGTTGAGTTGACACACTATATCCTCCCCCTTTGTAGCCATCAACAATATCTATAATATCTTCTGCTTTGACATCAATTCACCCAGTCCTACCCACCTTGTTCATGTTGAGTTGACACACCATAACCTCCCCCTTTGTAGCCATCAATAATATCTATAATATCTTCTGCTTTGACATCAATTCCCCCAGTCCTACCCACCTAGTTCATGTTGAGTTGACACACCATATCCTCCCCCTTTGTATCCATCAATAATATCTATAATATCTTCTGCTTTGACATCAATTCCCCCACTCCTAAGGTCTTCATTGATTTTATTGTAAAAGTAAGCTGCATTGTCAGACACATTGACTGCATGGCATCTACAAAGTTGAAAAGAGGCAAAATTTTTCTCAGCTTTAATTTTTTTTTGCAAAGCTATATACGGAGAGGCTTTGCCTGAAGGTCCAATCCCCTACCCATTTACATATATACCTTTTTTTACAGAAAAGGTCCCCCTTTCATATACCTTCTATTGACAAATGGTACCCCTTTCACGTACCTAGATTAGAACTTTGCATCCCTTTTAGGGCCTTTTAAATTCACTGTCTTTTCATATGAATAAACCCCAAAGCCAGAACATTTTCTCAACTATTTCATAGCCATAAAAATAATGCATATGTCAGCCCTTTTGATCCTTAGTTACAGCGAGACCGAAATCACCGATTTCCCTACTCTTTCGTATACTTGAAATTCCTAGCTTTTCACATACACTGTACCAGAAAATGGGTGTCGCCAGCTTTTTGACTAGTTGTAGGCCTGGCTGACTTTTATTTCCACATATCCTGAAAATTGCAAGCATGACTAGTACACACTGACCTCACCAACACTTTGAGGTCTTATAGAAGCTTCTTGGTTCACCCCAACAACACATAGTTTATTACAAGTGGTAGAGTGATCAAACCAAAAATTTTTAGGCCTGGGCCTACAGGTCTGTGGGCTGGCTACGTCCCTGCTGAAGCCCAAAAAACGGTACCCTTTTGGGGGGAGTCTCCCCAAATAGGCCATTATAGGGAGTAACTCCCTCCACTGGAAGTTCAGCCGATTAAAAGTATCAACTGTAAACTCATGAACAATTCCTTAAGAAGCAGTAGCTCTCTTTAATTAGCCTTTGCAGAACATCCACAATTTCTTTTCAAATCTTACTGGCCAAGCCATAAAGATACAAAATTTCACTTTTCCCAACAAAAGAGCAGAAGAAAAGCAGAAAGAAAAGCAAACATAGTTTTTGAACTGCAATAGGGACAGTTTAATTGCTTTGCTTTGCTTTTCTTCCTTCATTTCTTATTGACTGACCAGAAAGTGCCTTAATGCTGCTTTTAAAGGCCAGTGATTTTTTTCTGTTTGTTGTTGTTGTTTATTGTTTACCAAGTAGTCCACTATTATGGCCTTAAAATTGAAACATTAATGTATTTTGCTTCAATTATTTTTTCTAAATTATACTCTACTTTCATTTTGTACTTTTTTTAATTTCCAGTATGTTACTTTGCTTTGCTGGGAAAACCGCCTCTGTTAGTAAAAGCAGGTGGGAAACATGGAGCAATTTTGCCTTTGAAGGATCTATATCAACCCTTATGATAAATTTTCCAAAACAGAGAAAAAAAAATACAGAAAATTGGCAATTATTCTTTTCTGCATTTAGTCATAATCCATAGAAAACTGACCACATTTTGAGCAAAGTAAAAGTATCTCTTTTAACAAAGCAAATGCATGGTTGATCCTAAATAACTATTAATATTTAAATGCAAACTGGAGCCTTACTTGAGTTTTGAGCCAGTCAAGTAATTGCCAATAGCAATTCCTGATGCTGTTCCTCCACTGCCGACAGTAACTACAATATCATCATAATCTTCCAACACATTCTGAATAAATATGAAAACCATCCAAACAATAAGTAAAAACTACTAAGATCTCACAAATTACAACTAAAAAAAAGCAAAATAATTTAAAAAATATACATGTATGGACCTGGATTGATCAACCCTTAATTCAATTAGCCTGTGGCAACCATGTTTGACATTTCAGATGCTTCCTTCTGGAAAAAAGTTCTGTCAAAGGCATTCTGATCAGTGCAACAATGTACATGTAGAATTTCTATTCAACTTACCTTTGTTTTGTCTACTTGAGAAAAAAGGGAGAAATTGAAAGTAATATTGAGATGAAAAGTCACTTACTAGACCTTAGAAATCATTTTTTGAATAGCTTCATGTCATGTATTATAGGCAAAATAAAATTCAGTTTTTTTAAACCTACTTTACTCAATTTTCTTTGCCTCCTATTAAGCCCAGTTCATGAATAATTCATATCGGTTTAGGAAACAAAGGAAATAAATCTACCCAGGTTAAAAAAATTATTAACCTGAATTTTCTTTTGACATACAAAATGCATGTTACATAACCCATTCCATACAAATAACTTGTACCTGTTCTATCATCTCTTGAAATGCAGTCAAGTAACCAAACATCCCTGTGTAAGATGAACCACCTATCTCTATCAAATATGCTGAGGATCCCTGTTGCTTTTGAGAAAATAAATGAGACTAACAATTAATACAGCACTGAAACTGCTATATGGTTTGGCCCTTTGAGGACATTTTGAGTTGACCAACAATATTTTAAAATCAGTTACATGTAATTATAAACAGGTATTATTATTCAATGAGTATGAAAAAATATTCACTGGCTTCAGTGTACTTAATAATAGAATAAAAGGGAAATTAGAAATCAAATTTCTTTTTTGATGAGGAGGGACAAAAAACCTTAAGTTTATAATTTGTGGGTAGCCAATACAAGTGTAGGGTTTCCTGATCTTTTTCCAGAAGTCCTATCATACAATGTATACCACTAAGAATGTTTCAGCTATAAAAAAGGTTTTTGTAGTCTCTTTTTAAGTCAATAACCACTTACAATTTTTCTGCCATTTTCTCCATCATTTGTTTAAGGCCTGATTTATATTGGAGTTTTGGAACAACAATAATACGGCTTCCAACCATTTTGTTTAGAAAAAGATTTCCTTTACATCCAATATCTGTAGACTGCATCAACATGAACAAGAATCAATGTTCTACAGTGTACTCCCATGAGGGCACTTGCATGTAGTTTAAAAGTTAACAGAAAGATAAGATATGTTAAGATAAACATAATGGGAATCAGGAACAACTTTCGAGACTTGTAGAAAGGTGTCCATCACATTTAGAGAAACTAGTTGCAGAAAATGACTGAAAACAGCAAGGGAAGCAACCAACAGTAGGTGTCCTTTTTACAGAGGTTTCTAAAAGTGTGCTCCAGCTAGTTGACTGTGTTGGAATATTTGTGCCTGGTGACACAATGACACAAGGCAACATAGTGATTAGTGCAGTAGATTGCTATTGTGTATACCAGTAGTTCTGAGGTGGCTACTGTGTAGAGGCATAAGAAATTATAACCCTTTTAATAAATTAATTTAATGTAGGATTCAAAATGGCATTACAAGGGTGGTGGAAAGACTTGTGCAAGAGTTAGAGCATGCACGCACATCCAAATAATTATTAATGTACCCCAGGTTTGAATATTGTGGAAGTGAAACCATACATTGCATTGAATTTGTTATTGGCTGTCAATCCTTGCTGCAAGAATGTTCCTCTGGTTCCCATAGCAGTAAATAATTTATGAGCTAATGTGAGGATGGGGCATGAAGGTGACTGATGTAAAAAGGTGGCCATTCATGATTCTGCACATTACAAGAAAACATACACAGCTAACCTGTTCAGAGCTTCTAAGAAACAAATAACAATCCAAGCCAAGCTGTCTTGCTGCTACTGCAGTGGCTCTACAATGATTTGACTGCACTCCACCACATGTAAAAATAGTGTCGCACTTCTTATTCAGTGCATCAGCTAAAAGAAACTCCAACTTCCGTACCTGTAACATGGCACACAATAAAACAATTATGAAAAGACTAGGGAGTAAATGTTATAGGTAAAAAAAAAATCGTTCAGGTTAAAATGGTTAATCATTAACTTAGGTTGATTCTCAATTTCCATGTACTGTAACGTACTGCAACTATTCATGATCACGAATAATTAAGGGCTAAGGGAAAAGGAGAATCAAAATTGAGAATCAACTTACATGTATAAAAATACTGGTTTGACAGGAACAAAATGAAATGGTAGGAGTAGTGTACACAAACTCTACCTCAGAGTGTCATATCTAAAGAACATCATGAGTCTCTATGGTTATCGAGATTAATGACAACAAGTTGCACAATAGCGGAATTATTTGCTAACAAAGAAACCTCCAAAATAGTAATATTTTCTCTCCTTACTGTTTCCACAAAAATTTTATAATATTTACATATATATATTTAGTAATTAAAATTTTAGCGAGATATGAAGAATTCTGCACATCAAGAAGTGGTGTTTGGCCTGGGTAACACCCACCAAGATCTGCAGAATTCTTCATATCCTGTGAAAACAATTAATTACTGCTTTATTATTCAATCAAAATAATTCCAAGTTTAAAACAAAGCTAAAACATACTTAGCTCGTCGCAAAATTCTTCCAAATTTGGTCAACAGTAGCTGGTTATGATGAATTATGCCTTTGATTTTAGCCAATCAGAAACAGAGTAATATTTTGAATGAATAATAAATATATTTATAGCATGACCAAAGAGCTTATTAAAGATTATATGCCCTTTGATAGAATTAACAGCACTTTTATCACAAGTGAGGTATGTTTAAACTGTGTGTATTACATGATTTCACCTTATTTCCAGACAAAGTGCTGCCAGTTAAGTCATCCCTTTTGATGTCAAAGAAAATCCCTCAGAGGTTTGAGATATTCCATGGATGGATTGAGTGTTTTGCTGTGCAAGCTATGGGACAGAGAATAATTCTGTGCTTAGAAAATGGTTTGTTTCACAAATAAGACAAAATAAAAATAATAATAATTTATCCATTTCAAGACAGGGGTCTTATGCGCAATGGAGCTCGAAAAGAGGCAAGGTCGGTAGGTAGGTTCTCAAGACAACTTTGTTGGGACAGCAACCCATGCATCTTCAAGAGCAAATGACTTGGGAGAAAGAAATTCAACATGATGCATTCTTTTTTTTTGGTGTTGATCCAAAACTGACTTTTTGGTTGCTGTTTTACCAGCATCGACAGTAGTCGAATAGAAGAAAAAGGCTACTACCTATACTAATGGAGCACACTTCTACAAAATGATTCTGATCAATGATTATGCAATTGTCAATGGTCATCCCATTCTCCTGGGGACTTATGTGGGCATGGTCCACTGGATTTGTTGACATTGCTGCCATTTTTCAATTTCAGCCCAGGATGGGGGATTGCTTTTGCAATTTTATAGCAGAATCCTACAAAAAGATTTGTTATGCAATTTAGAAGAATGGCTGGGAGAGAGAATAATGGTATAGAGAATGTTGTCCTTTCCATTCCTTGACCAAAAGCTCATTTATTCCATTAGTAGACAGAAGTGAAGGAGGCCGGGACTTGAACTGTCCTGAGACAAAACCAAATTGTGATTGTGTGGATCTTGATTGAGTTTGACAGCTGGACCAATTACAAAACAAAAGATCTAAGATTACAAAACCACCCATCACAGGCAGATATAACGATAAGATAAATGTATCTTGGTGGAAGGCCAATCAAACAACAAAAGTCCAGATTTTTGGACCCAGGCAGATCATGACTCCTATCAAGGGGAATAAAGACTACCTCATCCCTGAGTTACAATAGGCTGTTTCAAAAATGAAACTGGCCAGGACGAAAAGCATTTGGTTATTGTTGTTGTTTTTCTTAGTTTTTAACTTTCCTTACAGCTGTACCAAAAAAAGAGGCATTTTAAGTCAAAAAGACATAAAGGAAAATTTTACTACAATCGGAAGTCCTTTCAAATACTAAACTTATGACGCGAGGCTTTATCTGAAGAGTCTGAATCAACTGAAACCTCCCGCTTCAGGGGGGGACAGGGGATGCAAACAGCTTTGTGCAAATGGCAGGGTTCTTTGGGGGCGACTTTGGGATGCTTTGCAAGTGCATTAGGCTGAGGAATAGGCCATTTAATCAAGAGGTCGCGTGGACATCGTATTTACAAAAATAAAAGTTATATGATTTTGCCTTTCCAAAACGCTTTAGAGTGGCTTCATATCTTAAACAAAATAATAGTGATTTGGTTTTCAAACTCACACTATTTTCTTAAAATGAGTAAGTTTGTAATCAAGACCAAAATGTGATTTTTTTATGAATTTCTCCTTCTGAACAATAAATTTTGCACTTAGACTTCAAGGAAAAATTTTGAAAAGATGATGGGTGGCAACGCTTACTGCACATCTGAGCATCGTAACTATCAAACATTTAACAAAATATAAGCAAAAAGTTTTTTGCTGTTGAGGGCAAGAACATGCCCTCCAAATTGGGGCTAATACAAATCATACCACTTTGTTGAAAAGCAAAGTCCCACAAAATATCTCCCTTTAAATGCGCGCTTGCCTCAAATTTCAGGTATAAGATCATTTTATGCTCTCAACTTTGGCATCAGCAAGATTTAACCATTGTTTAAAGGGAAGCATTGGTCACGTGACCTCTTAGTGCCAGTGGCCCATTGAGTGAATCAAATGCAGCTAGGGAAGGAGGTGTGGGACAATAAAAAATATTCAGTACTTAAAAAAACATTGCATTTTTAAATAAGTTAACTGATAATAAGCTTAACGGTAAGTGGAGAAACAAAACATCGTTAGGACTAAAGGTTGATTTCCACTGATGCGTTTTTTTGGCTATGCACGTTAATGCATTCAGCTGCACCGGGGGCTGGGCATCTGCCAACCCCGTGGCTATTCCGAGCTTTTAAGATGCACATGGTTTCCTATCAGAATATAACTACACAGAGGATATTACTGAAAAAAAAGCAGATTAGCTCATCTGTCAAGGACAGGGGGTTGTAAAGGCCTGTTTTTTTATATATTTTTTAAATCAATACTAAAACCATAAACTGGTGCATGTCGTCACAACGTGAAGTCTTAATCAGAATTCTAGCGCTATTACAAAGGAAGACGTTACTTGAAACAAAAAAGTGCACATTAAAGTGTTTTAAAACGGCACTATTCGACTGTGCAATCAATGAAAAATGTTGCAATGTTGACTGAGGACAGGGTATTTGCCCTCTTTTTTCCCTCCAATGGGAATCTGCCATCCAACGTAAAAAAAATGCTGATGCCCGGGGGTCAGCCCGGGGAGGAGGGGGGCTGGGCGCAGCTGGAATTGACTGATGCATAACACAGGTAAATTTTAATCACGTAAATAAAATAGAGGCAAGACAAAAAGTGCTGAGCTTAAACGAGAAGTTGAGCGAGGTTCAACTGTTACGCTTACGAGCGACCTTTCATGCTTGCCTCATTTTACTTGCTCGTTAAAATTACGCGACAGTGGAAATCAACCCTAAGTTGGAACTAAATTTAGATTTTGCGAGTGGTGGACAAGGTAAAAATAAGGGACGTCAAAGCGAAACTTTAACAAGTTATATCAAAATTACTTACTTGAACAAAGAATTGTGGAATATCTTTCAGTGAAGAAGCCCATTTTGGGGGCTCGTATGAGCGCAACTGTGTCAGCATGTTTAAGCCTCGAGAAATATTTCTGTTCATTTTCAAATAAAATATCTTACATCAGCTAGCGTTCTGAGTCCATGCCAGTTCCATATTTTGAAGATGAGGGAAAAAGGCACTTTTTGATGAGGGAAAACGACGTTTTTGCCTTCCAAAACATCACGATCGATCGCGATCAAGGCGCGAAACGAGGCGGAAATCTGTCAGCGGTTCTTCAAATACATCATGTAAGGAGCATCAAACCGGTCAGTATAAAATTAGGACTGTAGACTGCGGACTGCGGACTGCGGACGATGGAAGTTATGGAATGCCTACTAGGCTTCAGGTCCACCATGACGAGCATGCATCCGCGAAAAACTCTTTTGTCCATGTATTAATTTGTCAAGAATTTGAATAGTTTGCAATAACCAAAAGGGAATGTCTAATTCTAGCAAGACAAGACAAGACAAGACAATGCTTTATTTGGAGTCCTATGTACATCGACTTTATCCAAATAATTTAAAATCATAACACAAATTGCACACTAATGGAACTATAATCAATGTTAACCTAAAGAACTAATGATCTTCTTTTCTCATAGCAGTCGAATACGTATTTTGCAATTAACTTTTGCACTGGTTTGTTCTTGCTCGGAGGGTCTATTAACAACAGAAAAACATCATCTGGTGCCATTCTGTTTACTGATATTCTGTATTCTTTGTTTAAGTATTCAAATAAAGTACTTCTTTTTTCTTGATACGCAGGGCACAGAGTTAAAAGTGTATTTCATCTTCTACGTCTTTTTTACAGATAGGACAGATCCTCTCTTCCGGTTTCTTATAAGGTCTTACATACCGACCTGTCTCTATCGTCAATTTGTGATTACTTAGACGAAGTTTAGTTAGAGTTATCCGGTGTCGGATCAGTTGGTGACCTGACGGAGATAATCTTCACATTTATAATTTTCTATTGTTTTAAATGTTCGGAAGGTTCTTAGTTTGTTCTTTTGGTTGGCGTCTTTTTCCTACGTCATGATTGTTTACGTCACTTAACCATCTTTGTAATTCTATGTCTTTCAGTCTTTGTTTGATAATGTTCAAGATTCCTATGTCATTTTCATGTGCTTTTGTCCAGGTATCCCAGGTATCCCAACCCTATTTGGTCTAATACGCTTTTGATTTTTTGGTTCCATAATTCCTTATTCATCCTCGACTTCATATCATTATAAACCACCTGTGATAATTTGTGTTTTGGGTGTTTGGTTAGAGTTAACCAAAACTTAATTAAAATTCCTGTTTTGTGCTTCGATTTTTATTGGGAATCTTCCTGTTTCAGCCCTACACGCATTGTTGCTGCAGTACTTATTTACACCTAGCAACCATTTCAAGAATTTAATTTGAACTAGTTCCGCGGGATCTTTTTCTATTTGGTCGTTACAGTCAACACCCCAAATTTCACTTCCGTATAGACGTACGGGGGAGAGCATCGAATAGCTTAATCGTCAGCATAATATTTTCTCTAAAGTTGTCACCCTTCTCTTTTCTTAGTTTATAAAGTACCTTAAGCCCAACTTTTTTTAACTCTTCTCTAGCTAAACTAAAATTTCCATGTGGGTTCAGTGTCATTCCCACTGAGATATTTATAAGATTTAACGTTGTTTAGTTTATTTACTCCATACTTAAACGAGTAGTTATTTAAGGACTTGCCACAATTATTAAAGATCTGATGACTTTTGTTTTGTCTAGATTTACAGTTAGTTCAGTTTTCTCACAGTAGGATTCCAACTTGTTGAGGAGTGTTTGTAGGCCATTTGCTGACCGCGAAAAGATCACTAAGTCATCCGCATATAATAAACAGTTTATAGGTCTTTCAGAGTCATCAAGCAGAATATCGGTTGAGCTTGATGAATTTAAAAATTCGGGTAGGTCACTTAGATAGAGATTAAAAAGGGTGGGTGATAACATACAACCTTGCTTAACTCCAGTGTAACACGGAAGAGCTTCGGTCATTTTGTTGTTAATTTTGACTGCTAATTTATCTTTTGAGTACATGGACATTACTAGCATTCTAGCTCTCTGCCCTTGGTGCTCCCTTACCGCGAGGCTTGACCCCTCCGAGGTTGAGGAAGGAGTAGCCTAGCGCCTGTGTACAGACGATCTCCTCTCCTTCGGGAAAAAATCGGGATGAGAGACTTCCCATCTCATCTCATCTCATCTTCTCTTCTCATCCCTTCTCCCGATTTTTTCCTGAGGGAGGGGAGACGTCTGTACACAGGCAAGGGAAAGAGGCGGGGAGGGAGTGGTGGGGGGAGGTTTGGACTCAAATATAAAAGTGACAGGAATGTTAGTCGTCTTTCTTAGGGGATGAAATTGCCGGTTTTGGGTTTCAAGACGGAAAGCCAATATTTTTACCTATAGCGCTATCGCTTTCATAAAGAAATATCAATCGCTGTTAAGCGGTATTGGAAAATGGTCTCCGAATGGCCAAATTGCCTAGGCCACGCTCAGATTGGTATCGTTAGTTTCCTGAATTCTAATTTTACAACAAGCTTCCCCCTCTGCTTCACAGGGGACTCCTCACGGGGTCTTAGCCCGGTTGGAAAATATCTATCAGGACACGATACAAACACCGTTTCAAGTATTGTCTTCATCAGCTTCGGAAGAAGTACTTGATATTACTTGTTCAAATTACTCTAAAATGAGTTCAAAAGTTGTTTTCAAGTTCAGTTCTTTATTTGACATGATCACTACATTGTAGATACAATTACGTCCCAAAGGACATATACCTCAGACAGAAAGGTTAGTACGTATTCGTAAATATTGTTATAAAGATCACTAAGGACTATTTTTAAACGTCGAAAGTGAATTCATCAATCTGACCTAATCGCCATTTTTTCCGGTTTACAATACAGATAGAACATATTTATTGGTTCATTGATGATTCAAGTTAGTCTTTTGGTTTTTAAGATTTTTAATCATTTGGTTTTTTAATTTAGGGATTCCGGCGGGGGGGGTCCGGAGAATGTGAGTACACTGTACTGAGCAATGCGAAGTTAGACACCAAACCAATCTACAAAGTAAGAGGTCATCTTTTTTTTCATTCCGGTTTACGTCCAGTCTTGTAGTATTCCTTTTCTTTATCAGCTCATATTCCCTTTCGACATTCAGCATGGCAAAGGATCACTGATGTCTCCCCAATACAAAACCTGCTTTGTTTTTTCTGTGGACTGTAAGCTTCTCATCAGAGAAGCGATTTTACCGTCATACAAATCAAATACCCCACCTAAAAAATAAAACCTTTACGTTAACAATAAAATAGAATGACGCATAAACAGTGAATGAACTTTTGAATAGCACAGCAAAATACAAAAGATGCAGTGGAATCCCCTTTAATACGGTCACCAATGGGTCAAAAAAACTTGGCTGTATTAATGAGGTGGCCGAATTACCGGGGCAGGGTCAAATTACATGACCTGAGGGCCGTAATGACAAATACACAATACATTAGCAAACTGTTCTCTTTAATAGAGAACCGGACTGTAGATATCGCTTACAGTGATTAAAAAAAAAACACTTGCAACTTTCCTTCAGTAAATAAAACATTTTTAAAAATCAGCCTATTTAACCACCACAAATGCATTTTAGGTGTAATAAAGATTACAAAACAATACAAGAACAAACACAGCTTACTAGTTAAATAAAATTGACATGCCACAGGCACTTTAATTTTCTAAATTTCGAACGGGTGTCGTCGAGAAACTGTTCAGCTTGCCAGTTTTCAAAGTTTATCTCTGCTCAGTGTCTCTGCTGTTTGTATCTTTGAATTCTACAACCTCGTTTCCAGGTTCTCACTCTCTCGCTCCGTAGGGACAGTTAGGACAGGACCCTCGGGATGAGGTTGTAAATTTTTATTCTTGGAAAACATTTGATGGCGTCATAAATCTGTGACTAGGACAACTAAAATCAGTTTCGTTGCTAACGGTTAATTGCGAGTAACTGGCAAACCTTATATTTAGCTGGCCTTTTGTAAAGCGCGCTAGGTTACAATGTCACTGGCGTATTTCAATCTTGTACCTGTATGGACGTAGAGTATTCTTTTTCCTTTGAATCTTCCAGGATTATTCTTCATCTCTGTTAACATTCCTCTAATTGCCTTTATATTGTACACTGGGTCCACCAATACTCCAGTTGTTCTTGAGATCTCAATAATGTTTTCTGAAGTTTTATTAAACGTTATAATTATAAAACAAACTAATAAATTATAGAAAAAAACTACAATTCAGGTTACGTTAAGAACACTTTGAGTTACGTCCATTATTTGCCATTTTACTTGTCTTAATTTCCTGATATTTTTTTCTAATAATGATAAAGAGCGTTTTCACTCATCACGTGGCCAGGTGGTATGCAAAATTATAGGAACGCAAGAAAGTTTTTACGTAAGAAAAAGGTTCAACTCCCACAGAATTGGTTTGGTACACCAATATACTGTTATAAGATCATCCAATGAAGCTAAATTCAACAACTAGTAAAGACTATTGTAACATGTTCGTGTCCCAGGCATCAAGCGAAAACGCTCTACAGCTAAGCACAAACATTACCATTCACCTTGTTATTTCAACGTTTTTCAAGAAGGAAAGAACGTCAAAGCAAAACAAACTCCGCAGATGGATCTAACTTTTTAGAACATTTCTTTACCATCATTGCGCGACTACTACGCTTAACTACCTAATATAACCGTTTACGGGAGACGTAAACAACAAGATCACAAAAACACGGACTTAGGTCATCAGGTGACCCATTTCTGACAGCGGACAATCCGGACTCTGATATGAATTATTTTGTACGTCATTTATAAAAGAACGAAGGGCATATATGCCCATTGTTTCAATTTCCTTCAAACAGGTGAGGGGTGGTCTATATGTTGAGGATTACGGCCTATAGCGACAAAAAGTGAGTAAAATAATGACTCTCAAAAGTTTATGCGATTCCGTGAAAAAAAAAAAAAAAGTAAATTAGGTCACGTGACCTTAAACAGCCATTTTGCGCGTAAAAAACTTAAATTAAAAATGGCACCAGTTTATAAAAGCAGTCAATAAAAGAAATTGCAACCAAACATGTCCCTAGAGGAACGACTAGACATCTGTTCCCAGGCTTTGTTAGATAATTTATTGAAAGTGTTTAAAAAAAAAAACGGAATTTTGTACTAGAACCCAGTCCCCTTATCAAACGATTTTCGAATTTCGTCCCTGTATAAAAGATTAACTCAAAAGGCCTGGACACAGAAATGATGTACCGACTAGTCTCATAACTATGACGATAACTGTGACTTCCAGAAAGTAATTAAAACTGATTCCATGTTGCCAAATAGATTTGTGTGCTTAAAATAGTCTTAATAGGTCACGTGACGATTAGTGACTCCAATCATCATGCAAAGTTATTAAACTTATACATACGTAAGAGATTAGACCACCCACCTCCTCCCCTGTTTGTGAGGAATTAAATAGAAGACCCATACCTTAATTTTCTTGAGAAGTGCGATATTTCACATTTGCTTACATGCAGCGGCCGAACGGACGTTTCATCGGAGGGAAAGTCGCGTGAAAAGCAAGGCAAAGATTTGACCCTGCTAAATAAAAGAGGGCTCTAGCGGATTTCCGCCTATGGATAAACGTTTCTTTAATTCGATCACCAACTTCACCAGTTGTTGGTACCCACCTAGTTCATGTTGAGTTGATACAGCATATCCCTTTCCTTTGTATCCATCAATGACATCGATAATCTCCTCTGCTTGAACATCAATCCCCACAGCTCGGAGGTCTTTATTTATGATATCGTAATAGTACACTGCATTGTCGGCTACATTAACAGCATGGCATCTAGAAGATGAAATGAGTAAACAAGTTCGTTTTAAGGTTCCGCGCAAATCGTCTTTATAAGAGTACAGACAATTAGCATTACAAATTTGATAGCTTCAATTAAAAGATGACAGACGGGAAATTGTTTGTTGCTCAAAATATCTGTTCATCAGTAGAATGCCTAAAATGCGTGCGATTCCACAATTGGTCTCGGCTCCATTAAATCCTATAACAGCCAACTGTGGAACATTTGAGCGAGAGGAGCCCTCACAACGGAACACAGTACTAGTTACTGGCAAGCCGTTCTAGCGTTACCACAAATATAATGGATACCAAAGGTTCACCAGACACCGTACAAGGCAAGGTATATTGCAGCTTCAAGTTCATGCACTACATGTACAACAAAGCTCTTCTGCAATGCCCACTGCAAAACCATTCGAGAAAAGAAAAACAAGAGAAAGGAAGCTGCCTCAATTGACGCGGGTTGTTCAAATACGCGTTTTCAGTGTAGACCCTTTGCCCACCGCAGTGTTTTTAAAGTCCGGGGGCGATACTCTCTAGATGGCCTTTGCGAGAAGGCTCTGCTCGAAGGAATACATTTTTCTGGCGTTGGGTATAGAAAACGGTAGGGTTTCTTGAGTTGAGGTATATGAAAGGGTAAGGAAATTTGTAATTTAAGTATTTAAAAGGACTCTAAACTGAAATATTTCGAGCCGACACACCTTATCGGTTGTATCAGTTTAATTTTTTAAATGCCACATAAAATGACGAGAAGATTTACTGACAGTAAGCATGTGGAAGAGGCAACATTTTTCAATGGAAGTTTAACGTATACGAAAGGTGTACCTTGTTCTGCCAAAATGGTATATAAAAGGGTTAAGGGTTGGATCGCGGTGCGGAACCCCTCCGTATAAAATGTTGCTATGTAACCCCCCGGGAGTTTAAATTTTCTGATGAATAGGTAGGGGAAATCAATGAAGTGTTTCATATTATTATCCTGTTATGATGCACAGCAGACATACTGAAACAAAAACTGACTTCATGGTGGTAACACATTTACTGGCAAACCATTTACAAGCGTCGCCGAGAGTTTTAACTCGGGACTACCGTGAAAAGATCCAGCTAGCACCCTAACCACTCAGCCACCCTGCCTCCTCCTACTATTGGGTAATAGGGAGCTTAAGCAACAACAGTGGCGACGGCTACGAAAATGTCACATAAAAAGTAAATTCGCGCTGCTTCAAACTTTATCGCGCTTATTCCATCTCGTTTACTTCGTCAAGTGTTGGCAAATGTTTTTGCAGGAGTTAAATTCTAAAGGCCTGTATCAAAGTTCAGGAAAAGAAAAAAAAGTTGTTGTCTTCAACTTGTGTTCCCATCCTCGACAAAACGTGAATTTAGGCACTTTCACGTTGTAGTCGTCCAACGACGGCAAAGAGAATGTACAAAAAAAAGCGTCACGCACGTGAAAATAAGTTGCTGTTTTGCTTTACTGCCGCTCTCGTTGCCGTCGCCGTCGTCGTTGCTTAAGCTCTCTAATAGCTGTTATGACGTCAGAAGCCTTACTTGAGTTTGGATCCAGTTAAGTAATTAGCAATAGCAATGTCTGCTGCCGTTCCTCCTGTACCAGCTGTCACCACTATGTCGTCATAATCTTCCAAAACATTCTAAATATAAATCCAAAACATCCTTAGTAAACTGAGTGTAAACGTTTGCCAATGATCGCAGAGTCAGCACAATTAGTTATGTTGTCAATACACACACTAATGCAAAAAAGCCAACCATTCTCGTTGCAGGCTGAGCTTTCCGTATCATAGAGTTGTCATAGATACATATTTTCTTCCTGTATGAAGTTTGGTGTCTTTGGCGTTTCATTGTTTTAATGCCGATATCATCGTTTTTGAACGAAACAAGAAAGGAAAAGATTATGACGTAAAGTGTTAATAGACCTTTTTTAGGGTTTTTACGTTTTGTTTTCACAATTCAGAGCACGTGGCATGATGTTCTCCGGAGAATTTGCCTTTTGTCTTTTCATAAATTATGAATACATATTTTCTTTTAATTATTTACCATAATTTAACATAACACTACAATAAACTATACAATTCACTATTTCACATAGACCGTAATTCACCCTGTTTAGCCCCCCAAATTTTACATAACCGTTGTTTTCGATTTCTCTTGGGACGACTGTAATACCCAAGAGGAATTGGAAACAATGGTTACGCAGATTTTTTTTTTTTTTGAGGGGGGCAGAGGGGTGAACAAGGTGCATTATAGCCTATGAGAAAGCAGTGAATAACATACATATGCACGTGGATGCACATGTATCGGACGACATTTGAAACAAACAGTTCTCTGGGGTACCATACGTGGCCTGAAATGGGAGAACAAACTAAACAATCTAAAAAGGTCTATTACAAGAGAATGGCGGCAAAGTGTTGTCGTCAAATAACTGCCTACATTCTTCCATACGTGACTTAAGAGCATCCTCGTTCTCATTTAGAACAACATGCAGTGAACACGTGCACTAAAGAACATGTACCCTACTTTAATACAGAATTAATATTGGTACCTGTTCTATCATCTCCTGAAATGCAGTTAAGTAACCAAACATCCCTGTATATGATGAGGCGCCTATTTCTATGATGTATGGCGATGATCCCTGTTGCTTTCTGATGAAATAAAGAAAAATACATACTGAAACGTTCTAGTGCTATTACAGCATGGCTATGAAGAAAAGGCGTAATCAGTTTGGCATCTCCCCTACACAGCATGTTATGTCCGTTTCAAGAGATCCGTTGGCTCTAGGCCTTACAACAGCTTTCAATGTAGAAAATCCCGGGGGAGAGTATTCCTGGGAATTCGTGGTTTGCTGGGGGTGTGCCGCCCGTTCTACGAATCCTGACCCTATTTAAGACCCCAAAATTGACATTTTCCACCTGGCCTCTAAAATTTATACCCGTTTTCAGACCTGGCACAGGCAGAAATTATGTTATCATTACCTAGAATAGAACTGCCAACCAAGATATTTCTTTAAATTCACCTTGAATTCGCACATAGTACTCTTTCTATCATATTCATTTGGAATTAAAACGACAAATACTTTCATGCATTCCCTTGAAAACGATACCCAAATTCAGACCAAAATAGGCAAAGTCTATACTCGATTTCAGACCAAAACGGCAGAAAAAACTATACCCTTATTGGAGCGGCACATACCCTATAAGGGAGTACCCCCGGGGAGAACATGGGCAATCAAGCCAAGTTTAGGCAGAGGTGTGCTGCAGAGGTCTTCAAACCGTGACCCTCTTGAAAACAACAATCGTTTAATTCGCTACCCCGTTTAAGACAAGAGTCCGTGTTTCATGGCCCTGAAACACGGACAAAAAACGCATGCAAAATTAAATAATTTAATAACCAACCAAGAAAAAAATTGTTGTTATCACACATACATGCACACTGGGCAAACAACGATAAGCTCCATATCACAACAAAAATAATACATTTTGGTCCTTTAATACTTATCGGGTCTACTCACAAATTTTCAGCCATTTTCTCTATCATCTTTTTTAGGCCTGGTCTATATCGAATATTAGGAACAACAATAATATTGCTTCCGGCCATCTTGCTCAGTAAAAGATTCCCGTTACATCCGATATCTGTAGACTGGATTTACAAGAACAGGAATTAGTTCATAATCACCAACCTTCCGTCCCGTCCCGTCCCCTCCCCTCCTTAAAAAAACATAGCAATACTAATACTCTCACAAAAATTCAAGTGTACCGTATCTACTCGAATAAGCGCCTCATTTTGAAAATTTTCATCAGGGGCGTAGCCAGCTTTTCGACTAGTTGTAGGCCTGGCTGACTTTCATTTCCACATATCATGAAAATAGTACGCATGAGTGGAATGCTCTGACCTCACCAACACTTTGAGCTCATAAGCTCAGTTTTAGCTCACCCCAACAACGCACAATTTATTACAGGCGGAAGACTTTAAAACCAAAAAATTGTAGGCGCGACCTACAGGTCTATGGGCTGGATACGCCCGTGTCATTTCCAAATTAACGCCGCTTTTAAATAAGCGCCGCCCTACAATGAGCGCTGCATTTGAGCCGTTAAAATTTATAACAAGCGCCGCCGCGCGTTTATTAATACTTCGCAAGAAATTAGAAGCCAAATGTTGTGGCTGTTTTATTTCGCAATATTTTGGAACATACCTTCTCAGAGCTTCTTAAGAATAAGTAACAGTCCAAGCCAAGCTGTTTCGCTGCTAATGCTGTCGCTCTACAATGATTTGACTGAGTTCCACCGCATGTGAGAATGGTGTCGCACTTCTTATTCAATGCATCAGCCAGAAGAAACTCCAACTTGCGCACCTGAAACAAAAAAGGCATCAGATGATAAAAAATGGACAGTCTTGACATGAACCTTACTCCCCGCGCGCTTCTTTTTTTCCCTCCCCAACCTCTACGACATAAAAGGGAGTTTCAGAAACAACGACGGCGACGGCTACGAAAACGTCACTTAAAAAGTGAATTCGCGCTGCCTCAAACTTTATCGCGCTTATTCCAACTCGTTTGATATGTCATATGCAGGCAAATGTTTTTGGAGCTGGCGTTATTAAAGTTCGGGCACAAGAGGAAAAAAGTTGTTGTCTTGTGTTCCTGTCCTCGACAAAACGTGAAATTAGGCACTTACACGTTGTAGTCACGCAACGACGGCTAAGAAATGTACAAAAAAGCGTGATGCACGCGCAAAGTTGATGTTTTGCTAATCTAACCCATTTGAAATTTGCCTTTTTCCGTCCCCGTTGCCGTCGCCGTTGCTTAAGCTCCCTTAAGAGGCCTCTGCGGAGGAGAGAGCGGACCTTACGATAGGTTCCACCTATCAGTGATATGAGATCGATCAACTTGGGAATTGTAAGCGTTTTGGAAAGGGGTTACGTCGGGTTGCGTTCAATGGGAGGTCGCTTACAAGAGGTGATCACACATGGAAGTTCGAGTTAGTACTTTTTATATTTAGAGTATCTTTTTTTTTACCTTATTTCCTGATAAAGTGCTGCCAGTTAAGTCATCCCTTTTGATGGACAAAGAAAACCCCTCTGGAAGATTTGGGATATGCCATCGGTGAATTGGAGTGTTTCGCTGTGCAAGCTGTAAGAAATCAATTCGTATAGTTGAAAAACCTTCCTCTAATGACCCTAACTCATTCTTATTAGTCCTCGTAACGCGAACGCCGGGATTACACTCTGCGAGCCACTGGAGAGAGGTTCAACGGAGATGACTGGATAGGAGTTAACAAATGGCAAATCTGTGAGGTCATGCTTGAGAAAGATTTTGCACATCCTCCGACTTGCATCATAACTGGTTCCTGATTTTTCTCACTAACAGGTAATTTAAAACCTGGGTGAATGGGTTTTAATCTAAGAAAAAATAGTACATTGGTAAAAAGGTTGGAACGAAAAAAGACCTCATCGTCCCAACGAAAAGTTACGTGCTGTGTCATGTGACAATTTTTCTGAAAATCTTCAATACAGTTAACTCCCTTTATAACGAACACCGAAGAGACTTCATTAGCGAGAGTCCGTATAGTGGCAGTTTATTTCTAATCAGTCAAACGTCTCTAGTATAACTTATCTTTGTCTGGGATTTAACTGCTGTCCATATTATTGAGGTGTCCGTTACAGCGGGCTGTCCGCACGGCGAGAGTTGACTGTAATTGATAAATTGGTAGCGGAGGCACGAAAAAAATATATTTATCATTTTTCGGCTTACTAACACTTCGCTTTTGTAATCGTGACTGTCCCTTGCACTTCAGATAAATCGCGAGGACAAAAGTCTTACATTGTTCTATTCTTCATTAAAAACGTAAGGAAGTAAAATATGATTATCCTCTAACAGAGACGCTTATTTATTCAACCACACAAACTAGATTTCCCCCATTTCGGTTACATCTTGCAAACGCCCTGATTTTTATGTTTTGACTTTACTAACGGAATAGTCCTGGTGTAAAGTTAATCCCTGTTTGCCCTAATAGGTCTAATAGATCCCGACTTTCCCACAACAGCAGGACTGAAAAGGCGTTTCTCGGCAAAGAGTTTCCACATCAGAGTTTTCCCGTCAGCTCGTTTACCCACCTAGCCTTCATTCCCCTTTCCGATGCCTTTTCCTCCTTGGCCTTCCCCCTTCGACGCCTGCCACGCAGGTTAGGCAAAGCTTTGTTTCCACACTGGAAACGTTGTCAAATCTGCACAACTTGATTTTCTACATTGTTCCTCGTAGTCACCTAGTCTGCTTCACAGCCGTTCTGTGTCGTCATGATCACGCGACGTTCCTCCCCGAACGTTTGTGGGGAGGAGCGTTGCGTGACGACAGAAAGAACGGCTCTGGAGCAGACTAGTGCTCACCCAATTGCACAACAACTTTTACAAATTCCAGCCACCCACCGAAAAACAAAATTTCTCCTCTAAAAGCTAGCACACCCCTTCCCAGGGGCGATGCGTACCCTCAATTCACAAAGTACGGTACAAATTCCGCGCCATGCCCGCGTATGTTCCCGGCGTCGATCCCCCGGGATGACCACTTATAAGTGCATTACGTTTCGACCAAAAGCTTGATTATTTCTCAGCGAAGTGGGACTGGAAGCCAGAATTCTTGGAAGTGGAACGGTCAGTCTCCGTCTGTTTGGATCGACCGGTCAAAGAGAACCACCCCTGGAAGAAGACACCAAAGGCTCGTTTTTCGAAAGGCCCGGTAACTTTTCGGTTCCGAAGGTAAAGTTTGAAATCAAAACCTGTTGAATAGTAGCACAGTTCCTAGCTCACAAACCGGTCAACTTTACTTCGTGAACTGATGATTTCATTTTAGTATATACACACTCAGTGATCTTGGTGATTTAAGCAATCTGATTGGTTCGCTATCTCGGACTATTCAACAATATTCACCTCCTAGTGAGGGGATAATGAGTGAGCTCGGTTTTTTGCCCATTTTCTTAGAGAAAGATCTTTTAAAAGTCGACAAAATCCTAGGGTTGACTTTTTTTCAGGCAAGAAAAGACTTCGAAGGATTAAAAACGGCGTTTTTCCATTTACTGTTGTTGAGTTTTGTGGTCGATGGATTGTTTACAACTCCCGTTTATTCGCCTAAAAGAGGCCGTTTCGTGAACTCAGCGTTTCCTAACAAGAAAAATTTGGCCCAAAAACGAAGTTTATTTATGACAAACAAATTTGAAAGCAAACGCTTGTAGAAATTCTACGTTTCAAGTAAACACGAGAAAGAATGCTACATGAAGACGACATCTTACCTCGAGGAACCGAATCGCCATTTTTGTCAGCACTTCATGCGAAGAACGACACAACAAACCTTTTCGGCTATAAACTTTGCGAGTCAACAGAAAACAACAAAGCTCTTCTTTTCTTCTCAGGTAAGGAAAGAATTCAAACTTTTAGCGGTTCCATTTAAGTCCCTGTAACGCTGTTGTTTGCGAAATGATAAGCTTGTGAATTGCCATGTTTGAAAATCTACAAAGATCTATTTTTAAACTGTCGCGTGTCTAGCTGACCTGATCTGTCAATCAAATCGTACTTTTTAATGGTTTCTTCTCTGATTTTGTTGAGATCACTTCGTCTGTATATACTAAAACAGTTATTATTCTTTTCAATCTCGGTGAATAGTGGCTTTAGGAATATTTACCTCGCCACTTCGTGGCTCGGTAAATATTTAGCCACTATTCACCTCGATTTCAAAGAACAATTGTTAAGTATCTACTGCCTGTGAACAGACGCCCCTCCCCGTCTGTACACAGGCTAATTAATTGTATCGTTTTCAAAATTGCTAAAACCTTGATCTGGAATAGCAAACACGGCAAACATAAAACAGCTTTTTGGAACCGAAAAGTCACCGGGACTTATGAGAAACGGGCCAAGCGTCCTATTTATATTTCGAGCAATATTTACGCACCCTAAAGTTCCTAGTCCAATCCAGATTTTACACTTTGTCCTCTGTAGAAACAATTGGAGAAACAGCCGTGTCACGATCGAATATCCTGTCCTTGATCTGCCGCCAGCTATATATTATATGCCGGCAAACTAATCATCATAATACCGGGCAAGTTTGTCGGTTCATCAACGGCAGCCTCGGTGAAAATTTAGTATTGATTTCATCTTTTTCTCCCATCGCTTGGTTAATGTACATTAAGACCTTCCTTCTGAATGGTAACACTCGCAAGGATCCATATTTTATTCAAAGATCTATAATTCCCTGGCTATTACTGATTCGTTACGGAAATTTAAAAAACTCAAAGTACCCTTTCTTTCTGTACGGGTTAAGTACCGGTTAACAAGTAACGAGGACGTAATTTTGATTACCCAATCGCATTATTCATGGCTTGCACTATTTGTTGCAGTGATCTTGACCTTGCTATTTGTGTTGCAAACAGAGATCGCAACTTCAGTAAGGAAGGAAAAATAGAAACTATAAACAAGATATAAAATCATACTTACTTTAACAAAGTACTGAGGAATATCTTTCAGTGATGAAGCCCATTTTGGGGGCTTGTATGGATGCAAATGTGTCAGCGAGTTCTTTACAATGTGTACGTCTTGAGTCGTGTTTGCATTGAGATCGTTCATTCTTGTGCCGGGTGTTCGAGTCCAATTATTGATTCTATTCGCTCGGGAATTTACCTTATTGGTAGTCCCAACCGCTAGCGTTCCCGAGTGATTAAACTCTGTTTGTCCGGAAAGCCAGGCGCCGGCTTTTCGAAGCCATATTTCAAGTATTCATTACCGATTTAATAACATTGTGATATCATTCGGTATATTCTTCACCGGCTCGTGATTGGTCCGGCGTGACACTGTATTGTGTCATGTCAGACGTAAGACGAATTGTCAAACAATTCCAGCGTGACGTGAAGCTCAAATCGATGAATTAATCGATCAATTCTATTTGTATAGGTAATAGCGCGATTTGTCGAGATATTTGGCATAAATACCAGGAGTGATATTTCGAAATTGTTATACGTAATTAAATTTGAGACAATTTTGAAATATCACGAGTGTTATTTATATATCACGTACAAAAATAATGCTATTATTTGTTTACTACTACCCGCAAAAGGTTTGTAATTTTCACGTGTAGGTATTTCAAATTAAGCTGAAATACCACTGCTGCGGGGGCAGTTTTTCAAGTAAGACATTTAGGGCCATGTATTTTGCAATCGCTCCGAAGCGCTTCCGCTCGAGTTTCGGGAAAGTTGGAGCTAAAGCAACAGCAACAACAACAACAAACGGTTTATCAAACAGTTTATCAGCGGAACTATAGTAGGTGGGTAACAATACAATATTGTCTCCTATAAAGTCAGCAAAAGAACAGTGAGTAACGAGAAAGCAAAAATGAAATAAATAAATAAATAAATAAATAAATAAATAAAAGGTAGCCACCTATAGATATACTCACAGAGCAAAAAAGTGGAAGAGGGGGAGGGTGAGGGGGGACCCTTTAGGGCTTCAAGAGGAGGTGACGTAGAGGTGAAGCAGTTACTGATATAAATAATTCAAAAAACGAATAAAAGGAAAAGAGGAACGTGTGATCTGTGTAGGTACGGTTGTAGGTTGAAACAAGCTAGACTTCGAGTCTGTGGGCCTGTACGCGTACGTACGGGCCCAGAGCCCAGAGTGACGAAATTAGGGTTTGCTTAAAATCAGGATCCGGAACAGGAATCCCGAATCCGGATTCCAGATTCAGGTTTTCGTATTCCTGTTTTTAGGTAAGCCCGCGCTGATCCTGAATGATCTTCCGTGTTAATCCTTGGAATGATAACTGAAACCTGGCATTTTGTAAATTGTTAAATAAATGAAATTCATAAATGTTCAGAGAAGTATTAATTTGTTCCTGGAATTATCAGGCATCTTCATCGACATTTTCAAGTTGTAAAAAATATTAACCTATGCCACTGATATTAGTATTATAAAAGAAATAAAGGGAGATGTAAAGAAACAACCATAAGAGGACACAGAAAAAATCTGAGCCCTTGATGGGACTCGAACCCACGACCCTTCGTGTTCCAGATCGGAACCTCTGAGCTATTGCGGACTCGTTGGTGAGCAAGGGTCATTTTGTGCGTTGAACTTGCAAATGTGTGTGTTAGGAGTTCTGGGTCAGGGCTAAAATCAGAGTGCGCGGATATTTTTTCATCAGAGCCTGATCTCTGGTTGTTACGCCATACTGACGAGCCCCAAAGTGGGCGAAACAGCTGCCTATGGCTACAATCCTGCTCTGTTTTGAGTTCTTTCGGTGTCGTGTTGATGTCTTGCAGTGTTAATTTTCACGTCGTACGATCAGCATTGCAGTATTCTGCTTGCAGAATTTAATATGAATGATAGCGCTACCTAGAATTGTTAGCAATGAGAGTGCCTTTAGCCAGTCAGCATTAAAATGGGCACAGAGAAGTGCATAATAAAAAAATTTGCTCTCAGTTGATAAGATATTATTTCAAAATCTTTTATTACAAATTTTCCACAACATATAGGGATTAAATTGCATGAAATGTCGAATGATACATAACCCATTATTAATTACAAATGTATATTATGAAGTATGAAAACGTTTCAGTGAAACATGTGATTCTGATCAGCCAATTCGCCTACAACACTAAACATCCCTAGCGAAGGGGAGCAAGGAGAGACGGCTGTATTCTAGACTACGAGTAGGCCCCATTTTTCCTTATATTAGGGATAGTAGAGCGAGCGAAACGCGAGCGTGCGCGAAAATCACCCCATCGCGTCTCGCCTTTCTCGCGTGGAGTGATTTTCACGGGCGCTCGCGTTTCTCTCGCTCTACTATGGGGACTACTCGTAGTCTAGCTGTATTCGCATGGTAGTCAGCAGTCGTACCAAGCGATCATTCCTTTCAGTATTTCTTTCTTTATTTTTTGCGCCCAAGGCCGAAAACAAATTTATAATTGTTTTATCATTCGATCATCGAGCCTTAACGAATGAACTCATGGATTGGAAGCGATCGCATGAAGGAGAAAAGATTGGTTTCATTTACGCATGGGTGGAACATATTGCAGCCAAACACAGCTGGACTACATTGCATATGAGCAGACCATTATATGTGGGCAGTTATTTGCAGGTCAAGTGATGTGCTCTCGTCCAACGAAAATGAAGAAAAATTTGCATTGAATGATAATTCGTTTTATTTGTGAGTTGTAAGTTATAACAAAACACTTTTAAGTGTTTTGTTTTGTCCTTAAAAGGACTGGTTCCTATCGGAATTGAGCGAAGCAATTGCTTGTAATGCAGAGTTTTTAAAGGACAACCAAAGCAAACGTTACGTATGGAAACAAGATGCGGACAAATTGATCTCATCAGCCAATGAGAAATCGAAGCAAATATCTATTGACTGAGCTACAAAGGTGATCGATTGATTGTCTGAATAAAAATGGAAGGATGAGGGACTGGGACTGACCAGAACGTTCTTTAGGTTCCAGTCCTTCATAGGAAATCTCGTCAAACGCTGGAAAAATTTGCTACAAGTTGATTCAAAACTTAACTAGCTGGAAAGCCCGGCAATGAGAAACCAAGGCCAAAAAAAAACTAAAAATTTATCGGAGCACTAGTACAAAAGCTGTTTTATCTGTAAATTTCGACACGTATAACAAATAAAACGAATTCGAATCCATAAAAATAAACCTAATTAACAATACTTCAGCCTATTATTAAAGTAAATTTAAAAACGTCCATGTCTGTTAACTGTATGTGATACTATTTACAACTGAAAAATCACCTCCATAAAACACCAACTGATTTGATGTAACGGGCCTTTGGTTGATTACGAGTTTCATTTTGTAAAAAGGAATACACCAAGAACAACAGGATTGAATTTTAAGGCAAACGATTCGTTAGCTTTCCTTAAGTCTCGCTTATAGTTGCCAATTTAATAGAACGAGTCTTTTGTATTGCTGGGAAACCACATCTACGATTAGTGTCAAAGGAGTTGACCGAGATCAGACGAGAAAAAAAAATCGAAAAAAAAATATTCTGCAAGGCAATTTACAGAGCAAATCACGCCCCCGTTGCACTCGACAAAGTTTTCACCAATGACCGAACCGCCTGACACTGAGTCGTTGTTGTGTCGAATTGCATCATGGGACTTTTTGGGTGAAGTTATCTCACCTCTGTAGGCGAATCCTTGTTTTCATTTTTTGCTTCATTAGCATAGGCTTATTATTGTGATGAAGATAATAAATTGAAATTTCTGAATATTGAAAGAACATAACAGCTTCACTCTCTGAAAATTTCAGTCCGATATACCAACTAGTTTCGGAGAAATTGTCTTTGAAAACCCCCGAAAATTACAAAGAATGTAGGAGCTTATTATTGTAATTTTTCAGTTTGTAATACTGTTCTTTTCTTTGTTACCTATTGCAAAGAGCTGAAACTTGCACAAACTGCATAAATTAACCAGCTCTTTAATTTTTGAACCTAGTTGGTATATACGGCTACTTCTTCTGTGGGTTAACTCGTATGCTAATGAGCAAAAATGACGTCACGATGAATCCGCCTATTAGCTACTACGAGGTTGCGTGGGAAACTGGGTCCAAATTCGTTCCTTAAAACAGTTCCTTGATCCCTTGGTGCAATTCAGCAAAGATCCATCCCAGTCTCGTGGGCAACCTTATGATCAATACACCTCTTTAGCCTCTATTTTTTGTTTTCCTAATACAGGTCATGTGATAACACTCTAGAGAACTGTCTCTGTCAAATTACATCTTGATCACGTTCATATCTACGCATAATTTATGAAGAGACAAAGGGTCAAGTTTCCCAGGGACTTCTATTGGGAAACCAAACCATAGAAGCTAGAGGTCTATACATAGCCTGGGCCAGGTTCTCGGTCCGTTCAGACGAGCGAGAAAAGAGAGCGAACATTGAAATAGTGAACGAGCTAAAACCGGCGGGAAGAGAGAAGGGGAGACTTGGTCTCTCCCCAGCCCCCAAGTGGCTTTTGCGTAACTTTTCCCCACTATCTTCCGTTGGATCCTCGAACAGGCTAATCTATACAATGAAATAATTCTACATTATACAGAACCAAACACAATCCAAGATGTTTTGAAGGCAGAGTCATGCAGTTGAGAGGTTTTTTTACTACTTCTTTCCACTCATTCGACCTTGAAAGTATCTCGAAATTTCCATTGGTTCTGAGTTATACAGAACCCACTAAAGTAGTCGAGAATTTGTGGAAACTTGTCAGATTGGCAACAGCAGGGCGATCTACACTGTAAAGATTAGGTTGTCAGTTAAATTAAAAAAAAAAAAGCTTGATCCTGATCATCGCGCTATTGCTTCACTAAGTTTTTTTTTGCAAAAAACGTTCTCATCTGCACCATTTGCGACAACTGTTTTGATCGCGAACTTATTATGTAAGGAAAATTAAAGCATCGTCGTCAACTAGCTACTATTTCTTACATTCCAGTTACCCAATTTTCTTCACCTTACAGTCCCCTTGAATAAAATGAAAAACTATTAACGCTTGACCGCGGTGGACATTGAAGTTACCCTCCCATTGATTAACGTTCCAACAAATCCCTTTTCACTTTGAAATAGCTAAAGCCGAAAATACGTATGCCTAAAATGGTCATTTAACTGAAATGTGCCGCTGAAAATTACATGTAAAAAGAAAAATATATATAATCAATACCGTAAGCCCGGCTTCTTTGGTGCTTACAGTTCATATTCAACCAGATTTGAGGAAACGGGACGAGGTTGCAGATAGCAAATATATCTTACTCTAGAAGCTTTGTCCTGCAGTGCTCCCTTGCGCGGGATAATACCCGTAACCCTCGGGATAAGTCCACTGGTTTCCAGCAAGGCTGCCGCCTTCTTGAGAAGTGTTCGCGTAGAAATTCGCATTCTGCGAACTATTTGCCGTGTATGGAGGCGGGGGCTGTTGTGGTGGGGCCGGGAAAAAATTGGCATCAGGAAAATTTCCACTCTGTTGAGGTGTCATGTAGTTACTCTGAATGTTAGAGTTTGCTGAAACCTGTTGGTTATAACCTCCGTATTGACGGTTTCCAACAAATTGCCCCCCAGAGGGGTAGGGTGGTGGTAAAGTTTGAGTTTTCGCGGGAGCCGATAACGCTACTGGCGTCGTTCCACTTTGCTGGGGAAATTGCTGATAATTGTACATGCTATTAAAGTCATTCTGACCTCCCCAGATGGAGCCGGGTACGTTCTGTGTGTGAGGTCGGCTTTTCATACCACTTAAGTCTCCCATACCGCTAACAGTGGCGTTATTTCTACCAAAATTTGACGTTCCACCGAAATTGGCTCCTACACCGGGTCCGAAATTGTTCATCCCTCCGACAAACGATCCACCAAAGTTTGTTCCATCTTGACCTCCAAAGTTTGTATTGGGGAAATTAAAGTTTGTGCCTGGAAAGCTGGGTCCTCCAAAGTTTGTCCTCACATTTGGGACCTGCTGTGCCCCTGGAAATGATGGTCCCCCCTGAAGAACACCCGGCGCACTGTTGGAATGGAGATTTCCAGCTTCTGTGAAATTATTTCCGGGGATATTTGACGTAGTGACGTTTGAAGCTCCAAAATTTGGTGTAAGGTAATTGGGTGCCTGTTTTGTAGGCAGCTGGGCCTTCAGCATGTCAAAATTAGGAGGGTGTGGAAACACCCCCTCTGGGGGGTAGTCTGGGGGTGTTCTGTAGTTCTTCACGTTGGCGACGGGCGGATTTCGAGCAACCGGAGCGACGGTGGCTATCCGGGAATGTGGATGAATCTTGTTTCCTAAGGGAGCTGCGTTTTGAGAAGGGGCAGTTGTGGCAGTAGTATTGACCCCTCCTTTCGACTCTCTCTCTAAGCTCGCAGCTTTTTCACTTGTGGCGTTTTTGTTCTCCTCCAAAGTCTTCTCTTCTTTTCCGTCGGGTTTTTCCTCTGTTCTGTCATCGCTATCTTGCTTTTTATCCACAACTGACTCGCCAACTTTCGCGTCGCTGCCTTTCCCTTCTTTAACATTGTCACATTCGGCCTCTTGTCCGGTTTCCGTGACTTTAAGATCTTTTGTGTTTTCATTCCCGACGTCGTTGTTACTGCCATCATCTTCATCATCCTCGTTAATAATCCTTCTCTTTCTTCTAAGGTTCCCGTGCCAAGTGCTGGACTGTTGACTCTCTTCTTCAGAGTTTCCTTCATACTCGAACCCACTCGTCCGCGACTCTGAGTCGCTCTCGTAATCAAGGTCCATTAACCTGCGGGATCTGCGGGTGTTGCGCTGTCCCGTCCCGAGCAACCTGCCCGTCTCGTACGCAGGTTTGGAATAGAGTAAGCCCTGATCTTCTCCATTGACCTCTTCTCCTTTAAATCTCTTTTTATCATTTTCAACGGCAGATGTGATGTCGTCTTCAAATTCCCTAAAAGTGTAGTCGACGTTTTTTCTTGAGCGCCCAGAACGCCTGATCCCTTGATCTTCCTCGTCGTCAGAGGCTTTCTATAGGAAATGGAAAAACACAATTTAAACTAAATGTAACCCTTTTCGAAGCTTTCATTTGAAGAGCTATATTCTTCACGCTGTTATCATACATTTTAGGGGATCAATAAGAACAATATGTTTTAAAATAACGGTGATCACTCCCTTTATTCGTCGGGAAAGAAATCCGACAGCATGACTTCATTATTTTGTGATTAAATATCAGTTACTTAGAGATTGATTGATTGATACAAGGATTTTAACGCTACCGAGATAGATTTCGTGACACAAGACTCAACAATTTGTTAACAAAGTCCTTAGTAAATTTACATTATGAAATGTTGTAATGCGATTTTGCAATAGCAACTAAATCAATGTTTTCTACGGTTGGGAATTTACTGTACATGCGATTTAAGTAAAATTACTACAATGATAGCAGAAAAACCTTGTGTAGGATGTAGAGTAAAGTAATCACCGCTTAGGAAGGCAGTTTTATAAATTCAAAAACATAACATGTAAAACGAGATACCTGTAAAATGTTATTTAAATCGATACCAGCGAAGCCCAACCTGAGAGAGAAAAACAGAATAAAGCAGATGCAATGTTAGAAACCAACCGTCTGCGCATGCGCACGGAAAAATACAAAAATAAGATGTTAGTTACTTTCAAAAGCACCTTCACAAAGTCGCATCAGCAGGAAATACCAAAAACAGCAGAAAAATAATACTTTTCCAAATAATGATCCAAATTTTGAAAAAGTGAATCAAATGGGATACCATAAGTGTGGCCCGTACCTTCACTATAACAGGTATCGTTCGCTCGAATTACGGTGATCAAAAACTTTGCAGTCGTTGACCTGCCACTCGTAACCATCCTCTCTATGATGGTACGCGCGCCAATCAACGGACTCAGAGCAACTCCAGTTTATGAGAAACAGTTGCCATATTCATTGGCACACTGTGCCGACAGCTGGAGACATTCTTATTTCTCACTAAAAATAGCAGAGGAAAGCAGCTCCCATATAACAAGCAAGCTTGTGACTTCACTGTCAGGCTGATGAATTTCTAACATATTGGAAGGGTAATGGGAAATCAGCCTGGGTAGTTTCTCTAAACTGTATCTGAGATTGACAGGTCCAAATTAAAACATTAAACGTTAATTTATCAAACTGCTCTATGATGATTCAATCCCCTGTAAGGAAAGTACGGATATTCTATGAAGCTACAGACAGCTCCGTCCAAAAAGGACATCTTTTGGACTGGAACTGTGTCTGTCTTGGAGAAATGAGAAAATGCAGGGAACTGTAGGTGTTCGTTTTACCAAGGTGTCCGTCTTAAAGAGGTGTTCGTTAAGATAGTTGACTGTACACATTTGTTTTTAATGGTCCAGCACAGACACTTTGATCTGCCCAAGTGTCGTCTAATCATCAGTTCTCTTCCGTCTTAGAACCTGCTTCATCTGTTAGGATTAATTAATTCTTATATATTAGGTGCTTTATTGGACAAATATCAGTCTGGAGATTCTTAATCAGGAAAAAGTGTGACTTACAGTTAGATAGAAGAAAGGCTTGGGAAAAATAATCGGATTATTTTACCTTTCTGGGAAACTGCCCACCTACCCCTCCCCTAAGCCAACGTTAATACCTACTTCTCACTTTAGGCAAAATGCTGGCTTAGGTGAGGGGTAGGTGGGCAGTTTCCCAGAAAGGCAAAATGATCCAAATAATCATTCAAACTTTTCGGAATGAAACGGTAATTTAACTACCACGTTGACAAACAGTCAAGAATTATCTAAGCTAAAAAATGCTATCGCATGGTTTGCTTAAGATAAGAAACGCCCCAAATGGTTCAACTGGAAGTCTAAATACTCCTTTTTTCAAGTCTTTCATATCAGTTCAAATATGACTGCAGTTCCGTAATAAATTGCACTGAAAACACTGACAGGTCAGTTCGATTTGTCTAAACGTTTCACTGTTGGAGGAACATGAAATATTCGACTAATTATTTAGTTCTCTTGACATTATTAAATGTCACTGTCATTTAGAAAGTTTTCGCTAACTGGGAAAAAAATCTGTTATGTTTTCCATCTATGAACATTGAGTACCACTATTTTTGCCAAACTTAATGGTCATCAGGACTATTCTCTCACTTCTTAAGTACAATTGTCCAAAATTCACTGATAAACGTCTTTTCTAACCCCCTTAAGAGAAGAAAAGCTATCAGCCACCCCTCCCAATGAATAACTTTCTCTCTTATTTCCTTACAAAAACCAGGAACCGATTAGCGGCAATAGGCTCCTGCAAAATGTATTACTGGCTTTATCATGAACGTACCACTGCCACTCCATATAGACAGATCAAAGTACAGTACAATACCGTAAATGACCTAATAAACGGCCGGGACATCTGTTTAACTTTTGGGCTCCAAACGGGGGCGCTTAGAAGGAAGGAGCCGTTTAAAAGAGAGACGCGTTTATTCTCATAACTGTAACAAGCTCAACAAAACTAATATACTTTCGGCAGAAATATCAATAGTAAAATATCGTGGTAAATAGTTAAATATTAGAGTTTAAAAATAACGGAATATCCAATCCACCAATTGATACGTCTAGGCCGTCTAGAGATCTATATCGCTCTTTCAAATCCCAACATCGATGTCAGAATCCTTGCTCAGGGTTATTGTGTTGCCATCGTTAGTCTATCCTCAATTTGAATTTGACATTGAACAGGATGAAATACCGCCGCAAAGCCTTGTTAATCAAGCAAGAAACTGAAGGAATTTAATGATTTTGCTCCTTTTTGCTAATTCCTAGTATTTTGGAGTGATTCTCAAAGGGAGCGTCGATTAAACTTCATTAGAAAAGGGCGTCTGATACAATTTTATAGGCGTAGAGGAGGCGTTTATTTAAAGGCGGGCGTTGATTAGGTCATTTACGGTATGTATCATCTGATTTTAAAGACAATTCTTTGCCTCGTCCATCACAGAAATCACTGCACCGTGCAACTTAGTTTCTTTCTTTCTAATTTTATGCTATGGCTATCGCGTAAGCTTAACACGTCCCCAGTCCCCCTCTGAAGGAGCTTCCTACGGGATTAACGGCAATACCTAAGCAATTTCAAAGATATAAACGACACACAAAGAAAACTCCTTTAAATCAATTACAATGTTGCTTGGAAAATTTGACTCGAACATCTCCTAAGACTGACCTTGGAGTATAAATTTTGAAGATTCAGTATTTCCTAAAATGAAAAAAGAGAGTGACAGGGAGGAGTCTGTGTTCTGGTGGTTAACGACTAGTGTTCTTTAGAACAAGAAGATATTTGCAATGTAAAACTGTGAAAGGTTTGAACCCAGAAGTCATTTCATAAGTAGGTTGAGCATGATCATCCGGGTGAAGGTAGACCTGTATGGGACCGTTGTTGTTGACAGTGACTGACGTTTCTACAACCTGTGCGGTAGTCACTCTTAGGATCAAAGTGAGTTGTGTCGCGTCAGTTGATGGTATTAAACTCTGGTTATTGACATGATTGGTCCGTTCAGTGGCGATGTTGTTGGTCGTCTGTCGGTTAAGCCGTGCATTTTATTGGCTATAAAGACTCGAACTGTCATTGGTGCGTTTCTATCCGTCTATTGTCACAGTTTAACAGTCGTTTATTGTCAGTCAAATTGTCCGTTGTCCACTGCAATGTGTTGGGAAAGAAAAAACAAACAGGGAAATTCAGAAACAATACAAAACGGCGACAGCAAACAAAAACACAAAAATAAAATATTTTAAGCCAGTTTGAAAGGTGCAGAGATTAGTGGATACTGAGGATATCTGCGCCCAGACTGTTAAAAATGTAAAGGCATCACTGAGGCCATTTATATAGCTAACGTAACTGTGTAGAAGCTCGCGTAAAATGATCAACTCTTTTGTGGTTCATGCTGTGGTAACTGGTCCCTGATCAGGACTAAAGCCAACAACAGGACAGGCGCTAAAAGTCATTGGAAGAAAGGATAAGCTAGACCTTTTTCAACTACGGTGCATTCATAACCGACTGCCATTGGTTAATTAGAGATGTTGTAAAATACAGTTCAGCACAGACTTAGTGTCCTTGAAAGAAACGCTGCGTTAAAGCATCGAAACCCTCGGGAAAACAAATTGTTTCCCTCGAGACAAGAGAGTCATATCAACCACTGACCACACATTGAACGAAATGTTCACCCGACTAGACCATAGCGTTTTCGATAATTTTAAATCACCTTTTGGCTTGCCTTTGCCTTAACTTCATCCGCGCTGCTATACGAGTCTTCTTCTCCTTTAAAACTTCCAACAAAGCCAGCTAGTGACAAAAACAACACAAAATAACAATTGCGTTTAACATGACGTGGGAAATGCAGTTCAGTCCCCGCAATATTTCTTTTGAGATATAAAATCTATTGTGGCGTTTTACTAACCGAGTCAAAAGCTACGACTTTCAAGTTTGTTTCCCACGGAACTCGCCGCGTGCAGTGCGACTTTTACGCGGGAAATTTCATAACCACTCCTCTGATTGGTTGTTTTACCGTAGGACTTTGAAACCCGAGTAAAACACCTCCGTGGTTTTACAGTCGCTTCTTTTGACCGTTTTGACGTTGCCATGGTTATGGCCCACAATAAATGTATCTCGGAAAGAAGCGGACAAGCGTTCAGACGCAGTTTTCTTTGTTCTTATGTAAAAAAACTTATCTGGTGGGAAAAATGACCTAGTGTAATTCGGTCTGGTTATTCCGTGCCGTAATAAAATCAACTGTAACCCACCTGTTGGCAGAAAGGGCAGAACCAGTCCCCCTGTGGCACCGTTAGAAGAGGGGGACGAAGGCAAGCTGTATGATAAGCGGCGTCACACTTGTCACACAGGAGAATCTGTGAGTTAAAATTGACACAGTCATTAAAGAGGCAGATACAGACCAATTTATAAACATTGCGGCATAACTGCAGCGAGAGTTAATACGGTCAAATGACAATAAAGAATTCATAATGATTATCAAACAGGTTGTCGGAACGCCAGTCACTGTCAACAGCAGTCTTATTCAGGACTACACTCGGCAGAAAAGTCTTATTCAATTTACTATAAATGACATGTCTCCGCCCTTGGCCTTAAGCTGAAAACAGTCGGTTTCATTCTCTTAAACCTGTATCGCTGATTGTGAAGCACAAAGCGCCGAAAGCGTGAATTCTTGAATGCAACGATGCGCGCTTTGTTGTCCACACGAAGGCTTTTATTCCCAGTCTCATCTTGGATTTCATCCTCGTTCCAGAGTTTCCGCTAAGGTGTTTGCAATCGACCTTTTTACCGATACGGCGGCCATATTGAATTAATTCGATTTAAGGAGTATTATAGGATGCCCAGGGGGCATGAGCACATTTTGTTTGTATTTTCGAGCGCTTTTTGGGACACGTTTTCTTAAAGTTTTCTTAGAATAAGATTGTAATCGGAAAAACGATCCTTGTGCCGTGTTTGGATGTAATAATGATCGCCTTTTTGCCGAGAAATATACAGTGAAAGACCATTATTTCTAATACTAAACTAGAAAAAGACGATCATTATTACATCCAAACACGGCACAAGGATCATTTTTCCCATTAGAATCTTATTCTAAGAAAACTTTCAGAAAAAATGTCCAGAAAAGCGCTCGAAAATACAAACGAAATGTGCTCATGCCCCCTGGGCATCCTATAATACTCCTTAAATCGAATTAATTCAATATGGCGTCCGTATCGGTAAAAAGCTCTATTAAGACCAGCACAAAATACGACTTACAAACAGCAGTTAACGACTTAAATGTCCACATAATCTGTTTCGAGGGGAAAGTGTTTGGTGCCCTGCCATTTCCAGGAGCCTTGCCTGGTAGCAAATTGTTGTTTGAAATACACTGATTACCAAAGCGCATGTGGTTTTCACGTGATTTACAGTGGACTTTTAATATTACGGAGTAAATACACTACATGAACTCACTGAATCTGGTCGCACGTTTGAAAAACATCTCGCACATGGATTGTCGTCGTCATAATCTTCTTCGACAACATCTCCCTTCTTTTTTCCTACAAAAACAAAGGAGTAAAAGTTTCATAAGAGGTCCAAACGAAGTCTGGGTCACAGAAAAATCTGTTAAAAACGTAAAACGCACCCGCAGAGCCATAGAACTGCGCACCCAAATAAAAAAAGGAACGCAAGGTGGCTTCAAATACGGCATACGCGTATAGACGTCCTAATCTTCTGATAGAATTTTTTTCTTGATTTCAAGCTTTAAGAAACAATAAAACAGTTCAGCAGGCAAATGCGACACCCCAGAACACATCGGTTTGGCGGTCACTTGGCTAATTCCCGAGGGTGAGCGTTTGTTAGGTTTTACTGTAGTAGTAATAAACTATTAGGACCATTTTACCTTTCTGGGAAACTGCCCACCTACCCCTCCCCTAAGCCAACATTTTGCCTTAAGTGAGAAGTAAGTATTAATGTTGGCTTAGGGGAGGGGTAGGTGGGCAGTTTCCCAGAAAGGTGAAATGATCAACTGCGAGCAAGCTCTCTATAATTAGTATTAATTCGTTCATTTATTTACTATTAAGGGGGAGCAACAACGGTAGAAATCACACTCGAAAGACCGACACGAAAAGGAAACGCGAGGGCAAGAAGCGGGTAAGCGAAGCCCTTCGTGGCTTTGCCGCTCTCTGGCACCAACTCTAACGGCTCGCTTCACTCGCAACTCGAAATAAAGTAGAGAACTTGTTCGGAGGCCGGTAGTTCAGTTGTAAAAATCTAACCTTTCTTTCCTTTCTTCTTTCCAGGACTCTTGATATCTCGTTTCTTTTTCATTTCCTTTCGTTTCTCCAGAGCAATTTCCTTTGGATTGACCTCTGACTTCGACTCGAGGAATTCAACAACAGCGACTAGTTCATCAGTTTCACTGTACGAAAACCAAAACATTAAGATGTATGGGTAGACTGTTCACAGTCCCCTATTTTTTTCGTAAGATCGTAGAGATATAGCGCGTCTTACCGTTAATGGCGGTCATCTTGATTTTCTCGCTTCCTCCCAAACCGCCCCCGCCCCCTAAGTAGTTTTGACACTTATGCAAGATGGCAGCCCGTAACGCAAAGCGCTCGATCTCGGCGATCTTACTGAAAAGTAGAGGACTGTGAACAGTCTAGTGTACGGGCGAATCCTTGTTTACATTTGTTCCCTCATTAGCATACGCCTCTAATTATCTAATGAAGCCAAGAGCATCGGCTTCAGGAAATTTTTATGTAAACAGTTCCGATAAACTGTCTTTCTCTCGCTTTGGGGCAAAGCTGTGGAATGAGATACCCTGTCACATCCGACATCTTCACAAGAATAAAATTCAAAAAAACACTCCACAAATTACTTTTTGATATTTTGAATTAAGAAGGTGACTATATTGATATGCCCACCTTAATTGAACAGGTAAAATTAGCCAAAAATAACGAAAAATAAAGTTTTACTTATTAGTTCTACTTTAACAATTTACTTGTTTAATTCTCTCTTCTTTATTGTGTTATCTAGTCCTCTACATATTACGATTTTTATTCCATTTGTTTGTGAACTGTAAACCGTCCTTAGTTAGCCTTAGTCTTAATTTCATATTTTGCACTCACTGTCCCGCCTCGAGTAACCTTGCTTGCCGCGGGCAACGCTTCTGTAATATTATCTTTTTGTTAATAAAGTTTGTTGTTGTTGTTGTTATCTATAATAACAGTCCCAGAAGTCTTAGCAAAGGTTGACTCGGTCCAGTTTCCCCTTTTGCATTGCCTTACTGTATTCTGCCTTGCGCAGTACCTTCTGTATTTTGGGATAGACTTGTTTTATCTACACATGTACTTACCCAGCTAACAATTTCCACGATTCACAATTCACTTCATCTTCCTCGGTGGTATACAGTCGCACACCATTACAATCGTCCTTTCAAAAACAAATAATACTTTGAGAGCTCATTTCCTGACCTTGGAAATTTAAAAAATAAGTCTAAAAGTCTCTTAGAGTGGATTTCCCCTGTCGCGTAATTTTTACGTGCGTAAATAAACTAGAGGCAATGTATATAAAAGGCCGCGCGTAAACATAAAGTCAACCTTTACCTTTTCGCGCAACCTTCCATTCATTGCAAGACTGCAAAACGGCCCGTACTTTGTCTAGGTTGAGAACAAGCGCCCGAGCGGTCAAAAGAAAGGTCAGGGGTGAGAGTGAAAACGGATTGTGAGAATACATTGCCTCTATTTTATCAATACGTGCCCTATAAACCGATTGGTTTTGTTGAAATTGTAAACTGTGACGGGTTAGATCAAACGGTGTTACAACTCAGAGCGCTACTCATCAAACATATCATGGAAAAGGAGTGATAGACTCTTCTTGCAGGGAAGCAGAAAAATAAGATTTTGTTCAACATTTCTGGGATGACTCCCTGCAGGAATTGTAAGGGGTCACGGATTAACCCAAAATATCCCACTGCCTGAGAAAGTCCAACTAATTAGCAATCACTGGATGAGGCTGAGTATAATCTGAAGAATTATGCTGATCGAGGAGGGTTCTATTCTCCGGCATTAAATAAAGAATAACGGGGAGAGAGACAAGTGTGTATCCCTTGCGCGCGCCATTTTTTTCTTGCGTTCATTATATTTTTTGCAAGTGCTATGAAGGCCAACTTCAGAAATGGGGAAATATTCTCAATGTATAATTTGCCTCACTATTAAAATTCAATGAATAAGTCTTTAATACCTCATGATACCAGTAAATAAATCCATCCAAATCTCGTCCAATGGGCTGCATGCGAAGATCTTCAGCATCAAAACCTTTATTAACTGAACTCTTGAGTTTTTCATTCTGATCAAACTGGCATTCAAGTAACACCTGCAGATAACAATATAGAAACAAAACACTACAACAACCATTGAATCTCCTTGTACAGAGCTATCTTTGTTAGGCTGTTCCAGGCTCCAAGATGGAAACATACAGAGATCGTGGAAGACTTTATGCAAAAGACAAGCAGAGGATGGAGAGAGACAGAGAGAGGAGGCCACTATCACCTTCCCCATGTCCCAGGTCAGGTGCATCTTATTTTCACTAGACTTGTTTTCATAGCCTGTGTAGCAGGTGCTTGGAAGTAATGGGCGCAAGAAAGAACAGGTGCATGTGAGGGAGACGAAAAGGGAGAGGGAGCGCCTGCCTGAGAGGCCCATGAAAATCGTTTCCTGCTCCAGTCCAATTACCTGAGAGCGGCTGCGTGATCTGTCAAAAAATTTTGACAGAAAACAATCGTCTCGCCTCACGTCTCCCTCGCACGCCCCTGTTCTTTCCTGTGCCCATTCCTTCCAAGTGCCTGCTATGCAGGCTATGTTTTCATGACATACCAACTACCTGAGAGCCTGGCACAGGCTAAATCATTGTCATAAACCAAAATCTTGCATAAATTGGTTCCTACTCTACAGCATAGACATATACATATAAAGTGCGTGCATTGCATGTTGTGCCTTATAACGCTGGTTTAATATAATCTGCACCCAAGAAAAGTGAAGTAGGAACTTACATATGCCATGGTTCACTTTATCCCCTGGTTTAAACTTCATTTTTCTTTGTGTTGGGGTATAGTCAAGTATGACAGTGAGTTTGAAACAGAGGAAAAGAAATTTTAAGCCATGGATAACAAAATAGTTTTGCTTGCCTAGCTCTTCGCTGAACATGTATTCATATAAAAATAACTCAAGTGCTAACGTTCTAGAAATTTACGTGAGTGGAATATTATAGCATAGGTATTGCAAGATGTATAAATACTAAACACATGTGTGAGTAGCAAACACTCCAAAAACCAAGGAACATATATGTTATGGGTCAAAATTAAATTTAAGTTAAAATTTTTTAATCTAGGTTGATTCTCTATTTCCTTTGTCTCCTAGCCCTAATTCATGAATAATTAGGGCTAAGTAAGAGACAAAAGAATTTAACAGAGAATCAACCTAGGTTTAAAATTATTTTAACCTAAATTTAATTCTGACCTGTAACATATATACCAAGCTACAGGGAATGTTATTCATGCATTCACTTGGCTTATACACGTACATCTGCAGACAAATCAAGTCCAACTTGACAGTGTTCCAGTAAACTTATAGAAAAGAGCTATAAATTGACCACCCTTCTCTGTCTCCACTTTAGCTTAAATTGCATCTGTGAAAAAGCACTCTGACTACTTTTAAGGTAGGCTCAGTCTTCAGCCTTGGGTGTCTCGATGTGATTACTGCGGGTGCATTGAGACAACCCAAGGCTGGAGACTGAGCCTAACTTTAAGGGGGCTGTGTTGCAGCTATGTAGCTCATTTTGTTAATTTTGCCTATTACATGTGCTGTGGCCTTAACTTAAGTTAAGATATAACTGGCAAATGACAAATTCACAACTTTTTGGCTTGAAAACAAACAATGTCTCCCAAGCATTGCAACCGATGTAACAAATAACAAAAAATGAACTTTGGAAAACTTTATGCTGGCAAGTTTTCAAAAACCTAATTTGCAACCCATTTTAATCTTCTTTAAATTTGCCCATCCATACCTTCTTTTGTATATGCTGTGATATTTATTTCTTTCTTTAACGTTTTGAGCAGCTATTTTTATATTTCACTCAATTTACGGGCAGTTCCCACATCGCAAACTTTGATAAATTCCAAGACACAGCTCCTTTGAGGGGAATGGCCATGATATATGACTTTTCAGTGCAATTACATGTAAGTTTTAATCCACAAAATAAACCAGTTGACTGTTTGGAGTGTGGCTTTTGCACAGGTGCAACCTATATGTGGGTAAATACTAATACTTTAAGAAAATTCAGAAGATATTTTTCACAACCTTAAAGAGATCCAGCTTGGATGAAACTTCTAGTTCCTGGTAGCCAAACTGCTCTAAATCCCATGCACAGACCAAGCCATGTTCTTTAGTGACCTTGAAAAACAACAGTTTCAAATGAGTAAAACATGTTACTCAACTTTTGGTACAATACTGAGGGATACATGGGGGGTGGAGAACAGTGGGGGTGTGCCAAAGCTATTATCACAATAGCTACAATGTACGCAAAGATGTCCTACTCCAGAGAATTTCTAGAATGAACACACTGCACAAAAGGAAAAAAAACTACGGCCTGTAGTATCTTATTACCAGAAACTGCAAAGTTTTACAGTAAAAGTATTTTCTCTAACTTAAGGAAAGATTTGGTCTGGTTATTGATTATTATTGATAGATACAAACCTTAAGTAGAGATTTTTCCCATCTTTCTGGGTTTACAGATACTCCAATTCTTCTTAAAAGCTTCTTAAACAGTTCTTCAATCAGCAAAACATTGCCTAGAAAAGAATACAGGCTAAGCAATCAGTCATTTTTCTTGTGCTATAAAGTTGGCAGAGACACTGGAGGTGGCCTTTCACAAATTCTTAACAAGAAAAATGTTACTGATGCAACTTCAGGGCTTAGGGCTGTCACTAAGCTAAGACGTCAAGTTGGCAGGTATATGTAATTAGTAGGCGGGGACAGGGTTGTCACTAAGATTTCAAGTTGCCGGGTAAATACAACAAGTAGGCGGGGAATCAAAAGGCTAGGGATTTCTTTTGGTTCTATTTTTGTTCTATTTTCCAATAAAAGTAGCCGGGGGCCACTCTCTTAGTAGCCGGGGAAAATCCCCGGCCCCCGGCTCTTAATGACAACCCTGTGGGGAATTCAACTGCCAGAAAAATCTTTTGGTTCTAATCTAGTTTTGCTTCCCATGAATGTTCAGTGAAATTGTTACAAAAAATAGTTAAGGTGAGTCCCAGTCCACAACCAATCAATGAGTCTCGGCTAAAAAAAAAAGTCCAAAATTGAAAATGCTTGGGCCTTTACGTAGCCAGACAGTTAATCTGAACACAGACTCCAAAACTCTGTATTACAGTATACTGAAATTAAAATATAGAACTTCTATTATAAAGCACAACAAAGGCTAAAAGAAATATGCATCGTTAAACAACAGCCATAACAACTGCCACAGAAATTACATGAGTGGGATATTGCTACAAATACACATGTTCAGATCAATCGATCGATCTTTGCATCCTACAGGATGCATACCATGAATTATTTCGCTTCTTTGGGAATTTTTATGTGTCAGGGATGCAGGACACAGAGGCACATGTAACACAATCACTGAAAGTTACCAGGGGTCATGTTTGTAGTAGCTGGATAAAATCCCTGGTCCCTGGCCCTTAGAGGCAGCCATGTATGCTCCTTCTATGAAAGGTATTACAAGTATGTCACAAGGGCAAATCCAGTAAATTCACAAAGGGGCAGCTGGGATAGTTGCCAGCTAGATATGGATACTATTTCACGAGCAAAGTGTGAGATTTGGAAGGTCTCTGCAAGGGAAGAAAAGTTAGAGCACAGACAGTGCTCCAAACAAGCGGGGTCTCAGGGGTGTACTCCTCCATTTTCTGTGGGACATTTTCAGTACAAAAAAAAGGAAAATGCAGTGAGGTTGAAGGGAAGGCACATCTTTTCATTTTTCATCCCACTTTAACAGTTTTTTGGCTGATTATGATAAAAGGATAAAGGATATACTTACACACACACAAAAAAACAAATATTCTGCGAAAGAATTATCAGTCATTCTGATTTAAGGATAAAAAATGCTTTCAAGAAATAAAAAGAAATTCAAGATTTCAGCTGTACATGCAGGCGTACGTGCATACACAGACGCTACACTTCTGCAGTAGTTTTAGTCTCAAGACACTATAATACCGTAAAATTCCGAAAATAAGCCCCTCCAAGTATAAGCCCCCCAAAGTGGTAACACAAAAATCCCTCTGTTAAATCGCCCCTCCAAATATAAGCCCCCCGGGAGCTTGTACTTGGAGAATTACCCTCAAATACAAAGTAAAACAAAGCAAAAATACTAAATTTACTTTCAACTATAAGGCTAGCTCAATCGATATTGAAACACAAATTTTCCTCCGTAGACAAGCCCCTCCAAAAATAAGCCCCTCCAAAAGGGCCTTTGAAAAATATAAGCCCCGGGGCTTACTTTTGGAATTTTACAGTATTTATTATTGTTAACCCTTCACTTCTCGTCCCAAGAATGACCACATTGATTCTCTCAACAGTTTTCAGACAGAATCAAAAGATTAAGTTATGAGAATTAATTAAGTGATCACCTTCTAAGAGAAAATGCTTTGATCTTTAATCAAGTTCTCTTAACTGCATCCTCAAGTAAGTGGATATCAGGGCTTAAGGAAATAAACACGGGTCTGTTATGTTTTGCTATAATATCTCGCATATAATAATAAAAATTAAATGAATTCTTTGTTCATCTCTGAAGATCTTCTTACAAATAACGTCTCACCCCTAAAAAGATCCAATTTTTTTACACTAGCCCTGAAGAATTCTGTCTCCCCTCTTTTCGGGAGGGTGCAAAAGTTTTATCCAATGTAGCCCAATGTAAACACTTACATGTATCCCAGGAAGTAATCTCTCAATGATCTTAAGTGTACATGAGCTCATGTTATTCTTTAGGTCTACTTAACTGGTACTTTCCTAATACACCCACCTATTTAGTGGAAGAAATGCCATTATATTCGTTTAAAAAATTGGAAGTATCTGTATGTAATAGTATTTAAGCTTCGCGAAGATCCGATTTTCCGACCCAGATGTTAAAACGATTATCATTACGGGAACCTCGACGGCAACAAAAAATTAATTTTTAAAAATGATCCCGGGAAATGACCAGGGTTTGTATAAATTTAACCCGAGGCCACTGAGAAAAGCGCGCCAAATAAACACAAAAATTATCATATTGTCGTCAATGCTGGCGATATTTCTTCACACAAACGTTGCTCGGGCCGAATGAAATCTACAGATTGACAGAAACGTGCACGATTTTCGGCGAAATTAAAAAGGAATTGAGATGGTCACGCAATTTGGAGTAATGCAGAGCAAGTTGAGCTGTAAATTATAAACTCAGTTGGGGAAGTGACAATGAAAAGAAACAGTGCAGCTGTCTAACAGCTCAATAAAAGCGCTTTGTTCGGGCGTCAAACAAAAGCTAAAAGTACCGGAGAAGCGAAATACAGCCATTCGTGGAATTATAGCCACAAAAGGGAACTAGCCAGCATTTTGTCGGAAGCAAAGAGGATTGGTTAAAATAATTTCTCAGAAAAACGCCCCAAATGCTGCAGATAAATGACACATCAATTAAAATTTGACCATCAATTAGGCTTACCGTTTTCAGAATTATGGCTGTTGAATCCATCCTCCAGGTCATCTAATGAAAGATCAGGGAAGTGCAAAAGGTGCCTAAAGTTCTCCAGAAATGACCAAATAATTGCAAAGTCTGGATATTCGGCAGCTCGGCCCGTCTTCTGCGTACCAAACTTTACAGTACCCGTGTCTTCCTCGGGATCGACTTCACTGCTTGCTGGAGTAGACGCCATTTTGATGGCAAATAATATATGCTGGGATCCAGACTTCCTCTTCTTTGATACGCTACTATCCCCAGGCCTCGGGCGAGCGCGTTCCTTTCTTTCCCCGCCCCTCGCACTTCAAGTGCATGCGGCTCTCGTTTATTTGCTCTCCTCTCGTTTGCTTTCTAGTCTTCTCCGATAAGGACGATAAGCCGTAGGCCCGTCTCAGAACCCTTGCGTATATAAATTCTGTGTGACGTTAAAGAACCCACAATCTGTTCGGAGTGGTGGTCTATCTCTCATTTGGGGGGAGGGACTGTTACGGGCCCTCAGTAATTGGCGTCATGCTGTTGCAGTGACCCTGCCAATAATTGGCGAAGCTAATAAAATAAAATACAATAAAAGTATGAATTCTCGCGACTTTCCTACCCCCCAAAAAAGAGTTTGCTCGGCTTATTCTTTTGAGACGAGTTACAAGAGAAATTACTTATTGTAACAGGGCCTTTACAATGCAAGATAGTGTCGACAAACAGTTAATCACGATATCAGGTAGAAGGGTCCGCCAAGTGTTTGGGGGAAGCCCGAGGAAATTACATAACCATTCCCTTCCAAAGGGATATCCTGCCATAACTTTTGGAAACAGGGGAATTATTGATTTATTCGGAAACATTGTTTTTTCTTATGGCTTCTTCGTAATTTTATTTTCAGTCATTTATATCCGGCGACTCTTTTGCTCAGGGGTACCCAACAACGGTTTTCACCTCTAGTGCATTGAAAACACTTTTTTGGCTATCCACAGTACTTTTAGATCTCTAGAAATGCATTCTAAGAGGAGCTGCAAAGTTTGTATCTGTTCGGTCATCCTGGTAGATCTTGAGTTTGTTCGAAATTTCAAGGGCTTCAATATTATTTTCCCCCAAATTTTAGATACAGTTAAGCGTATTACGTAAGAAGTGATAATTGTTATGATTTTTCTACCCATCACATTTTTGAATCCGAAAATTTTAGGTTTCCTTTTCTTTTTTCTACGACTGCGGAAAATGTAAAAAATTAAACTTCAGAAAATCATAGGGAATTTGTTTTTGCTCTCAAGTAGTTAATTTGAGAAAGAGTGAGTTGCATCAGTCCAAAAACCCCCCATGAATTCATACTCTAAACAATTTTATTGTTATTTGGACTCAGAGCTAAGCGCTCCCTTTCAGCTTCATCAAGCTATGAAGATATTTAAACCACGTAACTTATACATCTTTATACTGAGTGAGTTAAGGCATAAATTTTTTTCAATAGTAACACGACAAAATTTATACTGTAAAAGGTTTGAATCCTGGCCAGGAGTCATTTCATAAGTTTATTGTCAAACTTATTGACAAGATTAGATTTTGAATGTAAAAGCTTAGTTTTAGGCTCGATTTCCGCCGTCTCCCGAGTCCGGTCTTTGATCCTCCCTAAAGAGAGAGCTCCTTCGGTAGGATGAGTGCGGGGTCATTTTCTCGAACAGCGGCTGGTAATCGAGCTCACACACTTCATTCACACGCAGACACAGAGTTTGGATAGAACTGTTTTATCGAGTCATAGTAGCTACAGGGGTTTAAGGCCTGGGTCAAAGGAGTGTTCTGAGCATAAGAATGACTGGCAATATCTCTCACTAGGAGACCTAGAACCAAATGAATTTTTTTCCTAAAAGTATATCTTGAGGTTTTCTTTTCCCTTCACGTTTAATTATGGTCACGTGACATGCCACGTGACCAAACATTTAAAATGAAGGAAATTGGGGAATTGGTGGCAAATTTGCTTTGTTTGGGTAAACAAATTGGCATTTCTGAAAGAGAATAAACATACCAAACTTTCTACATTTGGAATGAATGCACGCGAAGTTTAAAATTAAAGTTTTAAATAATTCAAGATTTAATTTGGGCATTAAAAATGATATTTTTCCTCACTATTTTTTAATTGAAGTGCAATGGACGGTCATTCCAAACGTGAAGTGTTAGAAATATTTAATATAAATTAGAAAAATGTTATTGCTCCATTTCTTTTCTTGAACCAGCCACCAATTTCTCCATTATTTACGATTTCTAGCTAAATGGTCGCGTGACACATCACGTGACTTATTAATACAATAATAATTCTTAAAAATGTTAAGGAAGATGAGTTCTTTAAGTGTGCCAAATTTTGTTCCAGCGCCATCATCTATGCCGAAGTTAAGAGCCAGTAATTCATTTTCCACAGGTAAACCCCTTAGTCCCAGGCCTTAAACTGCTTAAGAACAAAATGGTTGATAACAGGGTCCCTTACTATACTCTGTCAAGCAAGATCGGGGTATAAGAGTGTGTATGGCATGTTCGGGACAGTTTAGCTTCAGGACCAATGCTCACAAACAGGATCTTATACACTTTTATCTGGATTCATGTACTTTTTTTCCATGTTCATTACACAAGTCCGTATATAGATAGGAATCCTTTCACCTTAGGAATGCTATCCATAGCCGCTACATACATTCAGCCGGAACTTAGTTTCTTTGAAATCGCAAGGCACATATAACCTCAGATCGTCAGGTGGGATTTTGCTAGCATCGCCAATATTTAGAACTAAGGTCACACTAGGCGATAGTCCTTCCAGGTGGCTGCGCCCCAGTTATGGAATGCTCTACCGCGTGAGCTTCGCGATATATTCCAAACTTGCATACTTTTAAGAGCAATCTTAAGACGTACCTTTTTAAGTTCGCTTATGTTTGAATGAATTTTAATTGTTACATATCAATATTTTAGGTTTTCATTGCGGAAGTGTATATATTCTTATTGTTTTGCTTAATGTAAATAGGTTTGTATTTTTTTTTTCATGCTTTAATAACTAATGTAATGCGCATTGGATCATTTTTATGAATACCTGTGCAATATAAGTGTTTAAATTATTAAATTATTAAGCAATGCAACTCCGTGTACCCGTATAGACAGTGCTTATTGCACCCCCGCATTTTGTTAACCAGCGTGCGTGTAAAAAGATTGAGAGGTGGGGATTGTGTGTCTCAAATATTGCACAGAATCTGTAAGTAAACTCTCTCCAGTCATCCTCACTTTTAAAATCTATCTGCAATCCCAGCATTCTTGGCAGCCACGGCTTTGTAGCGGATAGGGCCGCGTGACTTGAAGAAGAAATTACAACAAGGCTCAGGGTTAACAGTTAATAAAGCGTTGTTTTAGTCTCGACCTGGGATATCTTTCTCACTTTATTGTTGTTATTTCTCGTTTCCTTGTTTTCGTCTTTTTTGTTGCGGCTGTAAATCTGTGGAAAGTATGAAAAGGTGAATGGTCTGGTCATCTCCATATCTGAAAATAAAACAAATACAATGGAAATGAAATTTAGGAACAATATAAAGTCATAGAGCAACAACCAAGGGCGGTGAGGGACTGGAGAGCAAGGGGATTGAGAATAGCCCACTTCCGAGTTCCAAAAACCCTCACTTTCAAAATGAGGTTAGGTGCACAACCTTTCTCGTGAAAATGAGTTTTATTTGCATGAGAATGAAAAATGATTTCCATAATTATCAAAGGCAGCACCCACCCTCGTTTTGAAACAGAGACCCGGGGGGACTCGGAAATGGCCTATTGGAGAGGAGTAGAAAAGAGTTGAAAATTATCGCTCCTTTCCCTCTTTCTTCCTCAACGGATTAAGTAGCACTGCTAGTTACTAAGTGGCAGTGCCAGTTACTAAGTGGCAGTGCCAGTTATTAAGTGGCAGTGCCAGTTACTAAGTGGCAGTGCCAGTTACTAAGTGGCAGTGCCAGTTACTAAGTGGCAGTGCCAGTTACTAAGTGGTAGTGCCAGTTACTAAGTGGCAGTGCCAGTTACTAAGTGGCAGTGCCAGTTACTAAGTGGCAGTGCCAGTTACTAAGTGGCAGTGCCAGTTACTAAGTGGCAGTGCCAGTTACTAAGTGGCAGTGCCAGTTACTAAGTGGCACTGCCAGTTACTAAGTGGCAGTGCCAGTTATTAAGTAGCAGTACTAGTTACAAAAACAGTTTTTCATCTGATAGCCCTTACAGGGCACCGTATTCCTCTCCTCACGAACCAGAAGCTTGATAACAGGACTGCGATTTAAAAATGGGGACTACTTTGGTAATAATATAAGTTGTCACTTTGCTAGCCTGTGTCAAGACTTCTCCAATAACTTTCTTTCCTTCACGCCGCGAACGGACTTTTGAAACGGCCGTTGCCAAATGTGCTTCACTTTTAGCTGTTTTCACAGGATTTGAGAGTGTGTTCCGATTTAGTTGGTTACGGCAGTTGAACTCAGATTGTCTATTATTATAAGCATTGCCAGAAATAACTTATGTAAAATCAACTTCAGCAAGATATGCATTGTCGCATCAATATACTTGCTCAGCAATTTTACAGTGTAAAGCCCGAGGGGAATTCATATATGTACGAATTGGGCCGAGATTTTTCTTATCTCGTGAGGAATGCAATACTAGCTCTTTCTGTAGCTCTTATTTGGCTTTCTGTTTTAGAATAATATCATTTAGGAGTTAAACAAAGCTTAAGCCAGGCCCAAACTTTAGAGACCCCCAAAATGGGACCAATTTGAAAACACCCCATTTCATTTAGGGCCATAAGTACAGTTGGACTGTAATTGTGCACCCTATTGAAATTAAAGTGTTATTTATATTTCACATGGAGTTTACCGCCTCGCTATCTCTTCCAATTGGCATGGAGCAAAGGAATTAGCAATTATAAAACGCCTTCAAGCAGGCTTTTGTCTAGAGCCAAGATCCCCAATCGAAACTTACTGAACTCCTTTTTGAGATCCAATCCGTATTTGTTGGTCATCTCCTCGGACATGTCCGAATCTTCAAGATTCGCTTTATTCCCATCTTTCGCGTCATCTAATTGGCTTGTGTTCAACTGGCTCTCATTGCTTGCGGTGCTCTGATCATCTTTAATCTTCTTTCTCTTGGAACCTCTCCCGACTTTTTTCTTGGGTTTTAAAATTTTCGGGAGTTTTTTCGAGTCTTCAAGAGTGTACAGTTGAAATGATGTGTCGCTCAACTTTTCTGCCGTACTTTTCTTGCGAAAATTTGAGGTTAAGTAGCCGGTTTCTCCCACAATTGTAAGTCTATTTTCCAGCTTATTTAGTTCTCGGTCTTTTTCTTTTGGCGTGTATGGATAAGAACCGTCATTTTCGCGGGAAGAAGACGTTTTCCTGGAAGATGTTGAGCTTCTTGCAGATGGGATTGGAGGCATACGAGACTCCTTCCTTAACCTTGAACTCTACGTGAAGGAAATAACAAAATGAGTTTTAAACAGAGTTTAAACTCAGGACTCATACTTTAATGCGACTTGGGGAACGCCAGTTACAAAAAAGAAAAATTGTCTCTTTACCAGCCTGCGTGGCAGGCGCAGAAGGTGAGGGGAAGTAGGGAGGGAGAAAAGCGCAATCCCCCTCTTTTTTCCCTTCCTCACTATCCCCTACCCCTTTCGACGCCTGCTACGCGGGCTAGGGGCTTTCGCAAAGGAACTCATTTTAAAATGTTCGTACGTCTCAGATCAAATTGAATTTGGGAGAGTTGGTTTTTAACGAGAGGGGAAATACCCCAGGGGGTACTACTTATATAATGGCTTTGATAGCCTATACGTTTGGAGCCTACGCCCCAAAGGGGTACCCTTTTCACCTTTTTCAGGCTAGGGATTTTACTACAAGTTAAAGTATGAGCAAGGGTCAGGGAACTCTGTCTTTTCGGTCAGTAACCTTAAAGGGCTAACAATCCCATTTGATGGCTGCGAAAAAGTCAAGAGAATTTTTTGGTTAAAGGTGATGTTAATACGGGATGATTCGCAATGACGATTTTCAGCGCAACACAGCGTTACAACATTGTTGCGACATTGAATCGAATAGTGGCAACGTTGTATCAACATTGCAACGGTGTGTTGCGCTTAACCCATTCGCTCCTGGAGATTTTGCCGAAAAACGCGTTTTGAAGCTAGTCGAGTGGTTTTCTGGTCACTGTCGTGCTATAAAGAGCTAAAACTTACCACAAACTGGTTTACATGTCGTACACTTCGCGGCCTTCTGATCCAGATGCAAAATATCAGCTTGCGAAGTTCGGGCATGCGCAGAAAGCAAAATTTCGAGAAAAGTGACACTGCTGTCTTGACTTTTACTTTTCGCTTTCTCTCCTTCCTTCTTTTTTCGCTTTTCTTGCCTCATTTTTTTTTCTCTTGCTGGGCATTTAGTAGGCTTTAATTTGGTGGGAAGAGTTTTTAGGAAAGCTTTTAGGATCTTGGGATTAGGTGAAAGGAAAGGTAGGTGGGTAATGGAACAAGATTTTCATGGAGATTTTCAGGTCAATGTCACGTGGTTTTTTGCTTCTTTCTCCGGTGTCCTTGACTGAATTGTGCTCATTCTGGTATGGTTTGAAATATCTCTTCACTCTGCACAAGTTAGCGAAAAGAAAGTTGTCCTTGACCGTTAGAACTGATGACGTCACAAAGTCACAAAGGGTAGAAAGGACCTGGATCCGCACGGGTGGTTACGGGCGGTTCAGGGGCGAATGGGTTAAAATCGTCGTTGCGAATCGTCTCGTGTATGAATCACCTTAGGTGATTCATTCTTATTTAAAACACTGCATTGACCAGGCAATCACGTCGTTTTACCGTAGTTGTTTGTGATTGTTGTAACAAGAACCTCAATCAATGAATTGCTTCTAAGATTTAAAAATCGGACTTTTTTGACATTTTTTCCCTTGAAAGAAATTTTAATAATAGCTCTTCTCTATGCCAGCACACCAAACTGGATGATATTTTTTGTACCATTGATGATTAAAATCCACACAAATTATCTCAGTAAGTAGTCTCCACAAGTCAAATTTAAGAGTGGATGAATCTAATGAAACTCCCTAATTCCTTGTTTCAATTCTTTGTTCTAATACTTTTGTTTACTTTCCATGAATATTTAATTATTGGCGTTTCAATCTTTTCGCTTCTCAGATTTTGTTTTTTAGATGAAAGCAAAAATTAGTAACGAAGAAACTTCAAGGTGGAAATTTCGAATTCTTAAAGTTAAAAGCTATAAGCTGTATTATGCAATTTTATCCGGTTGCAGGAACAATCAAAATATATTTCATTTATTTCTTTTGTTAAGACTAATTAGATGAGTCTATTAAGAGCCTACAAGGTGCTAATGCTAATATATCGATTCGGAATTTGCGCTGAAAACAAACACGAAGGTTAAAAATTCGTATCGCAGTAGTTTAATAGGTTATATTGAGTAAAAGAAAACAAACAAAGAGACTCTTATCTAAAAACTAGGGGCACCCACCGTCAATTTTCGGAAAATATCTGTTCGGAAGACGATTTGAGATCTAGAATTTTCGGAACATTTGTTGTAAAATTTCTTGCTTGCCTGCCTCTCCAGGATTTTCGAACATCTGAAAAATGGTATAATTGCCCGTTTTTAACGGGTCACCTAGAATTTTCGGGAGCCTTTTTTCTGGCTGAAATTTTCGAAAAGATAGGTTTTGATCGCTGTAATTTTCAGATCACTAGACTTTCAGCGAGGAAATCCGAACAGATAAAAAATTTTTAGGGCATAAATACGCCTATATCTACCGTTTAAATACTAAAATACGTTTAACAATGCTATGTTTAGGTGGTTTTGAACTATATTCTCGTTGGTTGCCCCTGAAAAAACGTAGTCGTGAAGAAATTAGTTGTCCAGTGAACCGCCCGTCTCGGGGTTTTGCATGGTCTCTACTTCTTGTTAGAGTTTTGAACATAGAGTACTCCTAGAGTTTGTGTATAAGCAAACGAATAAATGTACTGGTTTCTAAGTTCTCAGAATTTATGTATCTTGAAATATCATCCAGAGCACAAACTTAGAGGAAAAAGATGCTGGAAATTCGGTCAGTCACCAACAAACGGCAGGGAGCTACACTGTGTCATTACAGAACGTTTAAATCTTCTGACTTCAGTGACCCTGAAGATCTAATGTTAATTATTAAAGAAACTTCTTATAATCAGGTTTGACTATTCATGTGAAACCTACTAGCATCACCTTAGTGTTGCTGTGTTAGGGTATGCGGGTGAATCTAGTTTTCCTCAGTTTGTAGATGATCGAAAATCCTATTAGACAGTTTGGCCATGATTTCTTTACACCAAAACACTAGTTTGCTCCGAATTCAAGCGTATCAAACGTGATATTTCACTTGAGTTGTTGTCAGGGGTTGATGAATTCTATAAGATGGTTGTGGAACTTCTTAGTACCTGTTTATCACTCTCTGAGCTTCCAAACCGTGAGTGAAGTTTAGCTGTGAGTCCTTGACAATACACATTTCCTTCTTGGTTTATATCCTCCCTCGCTAAAGGCTCAAAAATCGGCGGTACACTAGCCACGGATACTTTTTTCATCTTGCCGCGGTTGACCACAAGTTAGGTAAGGAGTGAGTTAAACTGACCCTGAGAAAACTTTTGCGATAATAATTTGTTTCCTAGAGTTGAAAAGAACTGTCACAAAAACTTCAAGAATGCGTGCACATTGTACACTCTTTTCGCCTCTCAGCTGGTGACGATTGCCTTTCCGATGAAAGACCAATATAAATCAGTAAAGTTTCAGCTGTTTCAATTCTCAGGTAGGTTATACATGCAAAATACTTTGCATACGGTACTCGAAAAACCTCGAAATACCGCAGACGACCTATCTCGCTTGATCGGAAGTAGTGCAATTCATTTCACGCATGCATGCAAAACCTAAAAGAGAATAATTCCATGAAAAATAAGTTTAACAGAAACAGCAAAAATCTAATTGCGTCATGCTTGCGTTATTAGTCTTCAAAAAGAAATAAAACAATTGAAACAGCAATTAACATCAACGCTTAAATGAGGTTGTTTTGAAAAGGTAGTTCATTGTGAAACGGGGTGCCACATTTTGACTGCGAGGGGGGCGTGCGGTTATTAAAATGCTAATAGCTAATTGATGGTTATCGGTGATGTTTACACACATGAAAACGTCATGGACGATTAATTCACTTAAGATGTGCCATATTTTGAGCGCGTTTTGTCTGTTAATCACCAGCAACCATGGCGATAGGTGTATGTGGTGAATAAGAGTTGACAGTTTTTCATCGTGATCAAGTTATTTTTCGTTTACGTGACATAACTATAAAATCGGAAAACGTTTTGGCCCACAAGAACAAAGCAAGACAATTGTTAAAGGTGTAATTACGAAACATCGTTTTAAGGTTCGAAAAGGTGTGAAGAGAGCCTTCTTCGCAGCCTTGCCACTCGCGACGGACTCATGGAAGGCACGAGCGACTGGAAAAGAATTAAGCTCTCCCTCCTGCGCACCGCTATTCTTTTACGCCCACGTTCCTTTCTTGCGCCCACTGCGCAGGCTTGAAAAGAGCACTGTTAAAACAGAGATGTACCACCCTTCATTTGAGTGTGGGTTCTGTGCATTTTTCACTTTTTCTTCCGTCCCCCCACGGGCCAGGAAAAAACCTATTTTCTTTTTTGTCCCCTACCTCTAGAACCGTGACTTTCTTCGCAGGTTACCATAGAAATATCCTGAGCATCAGCCTGTTCTGTGAGGAAGGGGAGACAAGAGCAAAAGGGCGGAATGAGTGCTTTTTTGTCAGGTCTTCCTTCCCGCCCCTTCCAACCCCTCCACCCAGTTAACGAAGGGTGTTACCATAGAATTGAAGAGCCATGCTACACACTCTTTTGTTTGTAAAGGAAAGAAGTTATTCTTTTTTCTTCGATCAGAGATCAGTAAGCGGGGCGAACACCCTCGCCTGGTTCGTTTGTTCGCACACTATCCCAGTCTTTACAAAATCTACTCTCTACGTAGTCTGAAATGTCAAAGCTACTCCCCTCATTGCGTGACGACGATACCGCTGCGTAGAACACTAAACGAAACACACGACAAAAAGCTCTTAAGACATTTTTATTTTTTTGCTTCTTTTTTACCGATCACTTTCAGAGTTCATTAAGGAGATGTAGAAGATTCTTTTAAGTTGGAAGCCTCTGAACGAGGTGCTATGATATGGCCATTCAAATAAAAGTTTTTCAACGAAACTTTCGCTTGGTACTATAAGTTTCTTGAGATTTTATAAAATGAAACTGGCGATTTTTCTTAAATTATTCTGACTTGTCTTTTACAGACTACGAATGCCATCGTTTGTTTATCACACGGTGTTACGTATCTATGTACCTTCTCTTTCACTATCCTATTATCCTTTTTTACGTTTAACACTCATAGACTGTCTATGGCTAAGAGGGCAAAAGTGTATTTTACTAACACCGCTCTCAGTTACAAAGGAAACGCTCCTTTTGGTTACTAATCGAAACACAATTGGCACAAATCCAACGTCAACGTCACGTGATCATCCTAGGCCCCTGGTCTGTGGGTACCACCACACCACTCATTTCCAAGGCAGGAAGGTAACAGCAACTTAACCCACGTATAACGCCACGTTAAGCACGGCTTAGCGAGAACTTTCCTTCAGTAGAAGTCGTCATCATTATCATCGTCATCATCATCATCATCATCGTCATCAATCCCTGTCACCATTGTCCATGGTTTGCTGTTGTTAGCGTTGTCTTCATCGTTATCGAGACCTTTTAAAGCCATTATGTCGTCCTCGGCAAGGTCTTCGTCTTCATCGAAATCATCCTCGTACAAACTACGAATCAGAAACAAAAATTGTTATAAATTGCATGATTTGTCCTGGCATTGTTAATCGATGAAAATCGGTAATCGCAAATTTGCCGATTAGTCGATACTTATGGATGGGTAATAGTTTATTGAAATATTTTGATATTGGCCAAATGTCTTGATACTGAGTCAAATGTGCAATTTCGTTTATTCCCCTCGATCGCTATCTATGTCTCAGAGCGTACATATTGATCACTCCCGAAAGTTGTTGAGTTGAAACGATCAACAAGGAAAACAACCGAACACAATCGAAAAAAAACAGACGTGGTAAATGTTGCAATCTTGTCGATATTATCGATTCACCGCGCTGGGTTTGCCTTTACCTATTTGAACCAAAAAGGTTAAATAATTCAGTTAGAAGACACCCTACACAACACGTGCTTCCCACGAGTACATGATCACGTGATTTAGGAGACAGCATAGCCGAGTCGTCCGTGCTTCCTTCGGACTCGCAATCCTGTGATCCCGAGTTCGAGCACAGGCAGATCACTCTCCTATTGAAATCTGAGGATGAACATTACGGCGGCTACAATTCACACCAAAATACAGATTTGAACCTAAACGTTTCAATTAAAGTTCAAGCGAAATGTAACTTTGTCATTTGTCAAATGTACATTTTTTTGCCGACCCTAGTTAGCATGTCCCGATTGCGCTGGAAAATTCGCCAAAAAGTGCTCAAAACATGGCAAAAAAAAAATGTTCAAACGGTGCTCGAATTTTTGAAAAAGTACTTGAAATTTCGAAGTAATGCTCGAGAGTTGCTCGCAGTTTTTAATTATTTCCTAGCAAACGTTCATAAATATTCTTACTTTATTTTTTAACCCTCGATTTTCTAATAGGTGACCAAACAGGAGATGAAACACCAATGCCTTTTTTTCAAGATCGACTGTTCCCACGGTTAAAAGGACGATAAAAAATTGTACATTTTCATGACAACAGTTGGGCGACAAGGTGAAATTATTCAAATTCATGATAACAGAATTACTCGGCTCACTGAAAACGTTTCGAAGACAAAATATTGGAAAAGTGTAAAAAAACTGCTTAAATGCTACCCAAAAAGCGCAAAATTCTCAAATTCTGTTCACAAGTCAAGAAAGTGCTCAAGAGTGCTGGAAATGTAAAATAGTGCTCCAAATTCGAAAAAGTGCACAGTGCCTACTGAGTCCCGCGCTGTACAATCACAGGTTTCAATACCAACAACTGCCACACGAACAGATTGTGGTCTGCCTGTGGTTCGAGTGCTTTTTCCTCCACTAGATCGAGTTCTTTCTCGGCAGTCCCGAGCTTAACTCCTCGGCCATAAATGCAAACAGCTTTTCCTGACAGTTGGGGTTTTTAACCAGGCTTTTTTTACTCAGGTTATTTCTTTCTGATTAAAACTGCTAGCAAGAAAAACTACGACTAATTTTACACTAGAGGAGATTTTTCCGCGTATTTTTGCCACCTTACCCTTCCGTTTGCTCATTGGCCCCTTCCTCAGCAACTAACAAATCATATTCCTCCTGTGCGTATCTTTCCCAATCTGAAGGCTCAGTTCCTTCACTCTCTTGCAGGTCCTGAAAGCAAAACGACTCAAACTTAACAAGGCTGCGCTGTAAGGAGCACTGAATGGAGCCAAGTGCTCTGAACCTGTAAAATCTAGGGTGCCCAGCATATGATTTGTTTGAAAAATCTGAGATTTTCTAGTCGCCCAGCAGCAAAAGTTGGGCGCCACCAGGCTCTGCTAGAGCACAATCCTGCTTAAAATCCACAACTTCATGGGAATGAAAAAATTAACGGAAGGTAGGGGTGACATATTAAGTAAGCATGGTAAACGAAAGGAACACCACGCGCTCAAAATACATGTAACATCAAATTTCCCTCAAAGATCACGGGACATTGAATCTAGACGAAACTCAACAAAAGGTTTGTCACTCTTTGATACTTCAAGAAAGTTGCAAAGTACATGCTTCTCCACTACAAATCATGCTATTACCTATACTAATTCCACAGTAGGACAAGGGGTCAGAAAGTAGCATTATTTCATACCCTAGCTGCAGCAAATGGATCTCTCTGCTCATATTCGAGGTATTTATCCAGGTTGAAAAACGTATTGAAGAAAATGTACGCCATCTTGCAGTTCTTTAAATCGCTTAATTTTATACAACCTTTAAAAGAAATAAAAACACATAAGATAACAGATTAAACAAAAATGACTGATGAAAGGGTTGACATTTTCTTCAGTCTAAGTGAGGAAACAACACAGCGATAAAATACCCATTTATACACGGGTGCAAAAAGACAATGCGGGAAGTTTAGTTTAGTTTAGTTTAAATTATTTATATTTGTCAAAAAAGAAATCACATAGATACAAACAACAGCAAGCTGACAGGAGATGAAAACAGGGCAGGAGCCCAAACTGACTTTTAACCCCTACAATGTCTAAAACTATTAGACAAAAATACTAAAATCGTACGATGGGAAAAAAAGGGTACGCGTAATAAGAATGTGCCACAGGTGTAACTACGGCAGCCCATAGGAACTTAGCCTGGTCTTTATAGTGAGTGAGCATGTAGAAAACTTTTAAACTTTTGAGCACTAGCAGTATGCTAAATAGAACGAGGGAGATTATTCCAAGGCCTAACTGTCCTAGGAAAGTACCACCTAGTAAAGTAAATAATCCTGGTTGCACTGTAATTTTTAGGGAGTTATTACAACTCCAAAAATGGAGTAAAAATTTTAGGTACACGATAACCCCTTTTTGGGGTTACTTTCAAAAGAGCTCTTGTTACTCCCAGTCTGGAGTTAAAATAACTCCGAAAATGGGGTTATTTTTACTCTTTACATGGGTTGTTTTTACTCTTTTTGGAGTTAATTTAACTCTGAAAATGCAGTAAAAATTTTAGGTACAGGATAACTCCTTTTTTGGGGTTATTTTAACTCCTCAATATCTGGGGTCATTTTTACTCCAGGAAAAGAGTTCTTTAAACTCCCCAAAGAATAACTCCACTGTAAGGAGTAAAACTAACCCCACTAGAGGAGTTGTTATAACTCCTTGAAAATTACTGTGTGTGAAAGGAAAGAAGACTGAAATTTGCAGCGTCGTATTTTCGAATAGCATATAAAGGTACTGAAAGTCCCTTGTCTAAGGCATAATGTGCGACTACAAAAAGAATTTCGTCGAACATTGTCTGATGACGGAATGTTATTCGCAGCTCTGAATTTTGTACACTTGCCGCAACTTGTATGGACTTTGGTTATTGCTCCGAAATACTAAAAAGGAAACTGAGGAAATCGAATAATAAATAATTCTCTTTTTAGGGAAAAGCCTACTCTAACATTATTCACTTTTCGTTTCTTTAGTTTTTATTCAACAAGAGTTCGTAGAGACCGCATGACCACATGTTGAACCAAGCGAAAAAGAAATATTACCTGGAACTTTTGGCTTAACCATGTCCAACATCTAAAAAAAATAGAAGAAAACAGTGGTAGATATTTTCAAAATGACCTCACGCTACAGAGGCTTGGACACCAGTGTATTAGATCCCTAGCGGTGGTAGCCTGCAAGAAAGGACTGCGTTTGTGACGAACGAAGAGAGTGCGCGTCGGCGTGTCTTCTCGCGATTCCCCCAAATGGAGAGCTTGCTTTCTGGCTACGGCTGTGGGGAAAGTGGGGAGGGGGGGCACTTGTTTGGGGGTGATAGGTGGGGGTCCTGTCATGGGAATTCGAACACAAAAATCAAACGAATGAACGTCTAAAGCCAAGAATTTGAGACATAATAGAATGTCCATAAACAAACAACGCGGCAATGTCTCATCTCTCTTGTTTCCACTGCTGAGTTGTGCTCAAAAAGTGTTAAAAGATTTGATTTTCAAACAATTTCTCCACGTAAGCACAATAAGAGTGTGAATGATAATATTCAGGGGCGGATCCAGGATTTTTTTTAGGAGGGGGTGCACTCGTATCTTGCTCTACTTCAACACCAATAAACCACAACCACAGTTTTTTTTGTCGTTGTTGCAGAATACCAGTTGTATTAGAAAACCGCAGGTCATCTCGGGGGGGGGGGTGCGCACCCCCTGCACCCTTCCCCTAGATCCGTCCCTGATATTAGAGTTTTAAAGCATAGTTTTTAAACTTTTTTTGGGGGTGGGGGGTGACTTTGAAATTGAATGGCCCAAACTATTTATAACCATACCTGACAGAGGCAATCTTGAAACACCATTGTCTCTATACCGAGAGCATCCATCTTGGATACCTGCTCTGTGTAAAAGTATTCCAACTCGTACATCGACAGGACACCATCACCGTCCACATCCATACAGCGGAACCAGTATTCAATACTTAAAGGGAAAAAAATAGAAAATAATAAGATTAAGAATAAAAAGATTTTTTTAAATAAGTGCAAACGTCATTGTAAAGTAAAGTCCTTTTAGAAGATCGCACCTTCTTGGATGCTTCTTGTCCTCTTCTGAGAGAAGAAACCAAACAAAGTCTGGATATGACATCTTTCCATCAATATACGTTGGGCCTCTGCATGGTCAAAGGCAGAAAATAAATTAATGTAAGAAAACAGGCCTTCTGGGTCATGCTTTCCTAGGAAGCATCGCCAGGCTGTGTAGCTGCCAAATTTGCCGATGAGAGTTGTTTTTTTTGGAAGCAGTCAGGCACAAGAAGATTAAGACATTAAGCTTAAAGAAGACAGCCAGAATGTAAACTTTGGCGGCTTGGCAATCGAGCGCTGAAGGCAATTTGAGGCTGTCACTCCCTCACTTAACCCATTTTCCCTCAATGGTAGACAGCTCAGACCTGAAACTAGCCGGTTTTTAGCTGGTTTCCGGCACTCAGTGAGAACCCTGTAAGGGAAAGTCAAATTGAAGCGAAAATCCCTTATGGCTTTGCTGCCAAGAAAGTGCTCTGCGCATAACAATCCCGCCAGCTATAGACTGCGAGCAGTCTCTTATTTTTCTTTCTGAGAACTCCAAAATTTCATAAGAAAGAATTTTATATGGACATCCACATAAGTGTCTGACAATCCATACATTTTTTGTAAATTTTTAAGTACTATATTTTAAATGTTTGTATGTTGGTCAATATTGGCTATCTTGAAAAGCGTGTCTGGTTTCAATAACGATACTCTCTTTATGGGGTTTGAACACTAACCCATCGCCCAACCCTGAACCTGGAAGGCCAGGTGTTGAAATTCGTTTGGCCTTTCACCTGAGACCTGCCCAGCATGGTTGAACCAGTGAGAGATTGAGATCCCAAGTGGTATAGCTTCAAGAATCACTAGTGCACACAAAACACCTCACCACATTAGGGCATAACAAAGTCAAATTGGTCTGTATGCACTTAACCCAGGATTAAAGCTATCTGGACTTCAAACAAGTCAATGACCTACTAAAGCTGAGCTACATCTGTCATGTTCTTACCGTGTGACACATCCAGAAAACAGTCTCTTTATAATCCTTGATGACAAAGCTAATTTGGAAAGACAAAAACAAAATTGACTAACTTTGGACACTAAAAATATAAAGACAAAACGATTATCTCTATTATTATCAAAAGAAATCAACATAATACAGTGTTGAGAAAACGTTTGTTGATCAAACTCAAGGCTTATTACAATACAACAAGACAAGAGAGTGGTAGATGTAGTGGCTAATGCCTATAGAATTCTTGAAGGTTGAGGGTACAATAGCACTCGTATATAAGAAAAAAGGTTATACGAATTAATAAAATAATGACCAAAGGGAAGATACTTTGATCTTTTATCAGATTCTCTCAACTCATTTTTCATGGAAATGTATTATAAAGAGATCAGTCTTCAGAATTTGAGAGTGGATACTGTGGCTTGAAGGGGAAGACTACTGGAGAGGTATGGTCAGGAAGTTTTCTGGGACAACCCAATGAATGACAATAAAAATCAGGATATTATAATACGCTTGAATGTCTCCTTAAAGACACATCTATTAATAACAAAGAAACCTTTTCTCTGGACAGTTCTCTTGGTCCTAAAGATACCAAATTTCACACAATCCCCTATGTCTGATCTAGGATTTCCAGCTAAGGGGGCAACATGTCCCAGTCAACAATATTTAGAGGGACATTCCGCTTTTTGGGGGGTCCCTTTTTTAATCTAATGTACCAGGTGAATATGTTACCAACAAATCTCATATTCTCTGAATTTTGGTTCTTGCTTTACTTTTAAATATCTGCTAAAATTTAAATCAAAATATTGTTTCAAAACAATATATTTTGCATAAGGAGGAATCACATTTCTTTGTTTCTTTTTCTTTTGAAACACAATTTGAAGTGCGCAAAAATGACCCAGAACAGGTTTTTGAAGGGGACATCTTTGCTCAAAAAGCGGCAATCCCGCAATGGTGTGCTCAAGATCAGACACTGAATCCCTAACTCTTTTTGGCTCTATAATAAGACAGGGTTTTGTCGTAATGGTTCTCCAAACAATCTCTGCATTCTTTACCTCTCTATTATGGACCCATAGACAGATTTAGGGGCCATCCAAGGGAACTGTGGCAAACCTTTCCGGTGAAAGTTTCCATCATTCTTGACAAATTCTCAGTAAATTTATAGTATCTATAGTGTCCACACCACTCTTTCTTAATGCTCTAAAACCAACCCTGTGGACAGTGCTGTTGATGAACATGAAGAATTCCATACTATCCCTACCTCTATTATACATACACCAGCACCTCCAATAACAGGGTACCTTGCTATAATAGACCCCTTCACAGTTGTGAGGGCATGCTGGGTAATCAGGACAAGATGATGGGGAAGTCAAAAGTTTGTATGGGAATTCAAAGTCAACTAATTCTTCCTAATTGAATATATTTGTCACTTTCTCTTTGCAAACTTTAACTAATGAACTAAAAGGAACTATATACACTAAAATGTGGAGAGCACAGCAGTCCTTGGATGATTTTTAGAAAATTTGACTTTTTCCATACATTATGGGTAATTTTTGTGTTGTAGGATTACAGAAAATGTATGGAAGAACTCAGGTTTTCTAAGAAGCAAGAAAGGACTGCTATGCACTCCAGATTTAGTGTGTAGTTTCTTTAAGTTCATTAGTCACATTTTTCAAAGGGAAAGTGACAAAAAATATATTCAATTAGCAACAATTAGATTTAGTTGACTTTGTTCTCCCATACAAACTTTTGATTTTCCCACCATCTTGTCCCAGTTACCCATGCCACTACAACTGTGAAGGGTTCTATGGAAGGCATTTATGATTTCCATTGGTCACACCAAAAGTTATAAAATCCATACCACTATAATTTGGTCACTGCCCTTTTTTAAGAACTGTTGTTTTTGTATCAGAGATACACTTACCATGGTTATTATGTCTCATTAAATCGTTCTCATCAATTAACAGGTCATGGTCTGAATCTAGCTCCCAGAATTTACAATAAATTACGTAAAAATGCTCATAAGAAAAATAGTCCAGAATCTAAAGAGATGAAAGAGAAAATACAACTGGAATTAGAACCTGAGAGCTCCTTTAACAGAGATTATTATTCATTTAAATCCCCAATTCTGATTGGCTAAAAGCACATGCATAATTCGCCATAACCAGTTACTGATGACAAAATTTGGAAGAATTTTGTGTTTAACGAGGAAATGACGTCAAAAATGCAGCCTTCTACAGGTTAATGCACTGTTAACCGAAAAGACCTGGGGATGATCGAGATTGAGTTGTTTTCTTTGTAAAAACTAAAATGGCGGACACTTGACTCGTTTCAAGAGTAAGAACTACAGCTGGAACTAGGCAAAATAATGGCTAAGAACATGAGCAAAAACAGCAAGAAGACAACTCAGAGTGCGACATCTGCTATTTGGAGAATATTTGTGGAGCTGGACAAACCTAAACGTAAACTATCGAAGATAAACTTAACATCGATGTAGGTAAGCTAGTTTTAGCTATGTTATAAACTAGGAATTATTTTGAATGAATAATAAAATGTAATTATTGAATTCAGCTTTCGTATCGTATGAAGAATTATGGAGATCTCGGAGGGTGTTATCCGTCGACGCCGTAACACCCTCCTCGATCTCCATAATTCTTCATATAAGATACTCAGCCTCATTCATTAATTGTTAATTATTCTACTATTTAATTTTAGTATTCATTTTTTTCAGTGCTTTAGAAGATGTATATAGTTTTAGCATTATATAAACAAATGTCTTTATCTCTTTATCTTTAATCAGCTATAAGACTATTGATTTCATACCTCATTAATATCTTCTTCCTCTTCAAGAGATGCTAAAACCTGGTAAAGAACCACATTTGTTAATGAAATGATATGAACACAGCTGCAGTCATAACATAGCAAAAGGTAATTGGTTATACAATGTATTTTCCTAAGATCAATTACCCCATCTATCAAGCTTTCTTACAGCTTTAAGAAAAAGACGTTAGAAGTTTTACTTAAAATAGCCCTTAACTGGCTGGAAGTGGCACATGTGCTTTTGGTTTACAATCAAAGGTTGCCTCTTCAATAAGCCCAGTGGTTTCTTAAGGGAAGAAGATGATAATTATTAAGTTTAAATTTTCTTTCACATTACTATTTGGCCTTACTTAATTAAAGTGGAATGGTTAAGAAACCCTTGGTTATAAGTTTTTGTTAGCTTTTTTGGACCTTTAACTTTAACTTTAACTATATAACTTTATTTAACGAGGGTAAAGACATTGATTACTGGTCACCCAGTAGTTTTCATAATGGCCCTCCTAACCTGGACCTGACCATGCACAACATTCAATAGCATTCCTATCATTTTGAAGTTATTGACCAATAGAAAAATTGCATTAGTTTATTCAGTCATAATTTGTGAACAGAAAACAAAGGATTGTCTACGGTCAGGGAGCTTCCAACATAACCTACAGCACCGCTGTTTTCAACTTTGATGTTTGCCAGGTGTCATAACCAGTCTCCTCAACTAACTATGCCTAAAATTATCAACAATGATGAGTGGGGAGAGAAGTGCCTGAGAGGCAGGTGAACTGAGTACAATGTGTAACCATGACAACCCTGTGAGTGGCATCCACCCAGGCACCATCACACTCCTAACCAGTGGAACCAAGCACTATTGCCATACTTTATACATGGTGGGGCGGGGGGAGGGGAAAGGGGTAGGGAGCAAAAACACTAGAAGCAGGTCTGAGCAATGAGTGGCAATATGAAAATAATAGTCTGAACTCAAAAGAGAAGCTGTAAAGACATGATGACCCCTGTGAAGTTATTGGTGCCCCCTCCCTCATAATCAAGTGCGAAAGACTGATGGCCAACATTTTTTAGTTTAACTTAGCCTAAATTTTGCTTAGCTACATAAATAAAATAGTGTTTGATATCTCAAAGAGACCTTATTTTTCAACAGTTTTTGTACTTACTTCTAAAAAATTGCTATTCCTCAATTCAGGAATTGTGATACGACCAGTCCATGAACTATTTACACAGTAAAATATTCTTGCTATAACCTGGAGTTATAAAAGACAAACATCAGAAAAACACCCTTCTTAACAACATGAATTTACACTTAAGGATGGACACATTTATGAGCTGGGCTTAGCAAGATAGCACAGTTAAGATCCAAAATTTTGGGAGATGTCAAGCTGTTCGGGTTTTGCTCAGCCAAATAGTAAATTTTCAATAAGCATCACCCTGAATAAGTCCAAACCTTAAATAAACGAGCTTCACAGACAAGTTGGAAAATTTAATACCCACTAAATACTGTGAAGCTCTTTTAAATAAACAAATTATGTTTACTTACAGTATGTATGTATCTGGAATGAAAGTCAGGAGCTTCTCGCAGAAATTCTAATCCTGGATGAGTTTCTACGATATCCTTGAATAAAAACAAATTGACAATTTAGACATTAAACAGCGAGAGCAAAATAGCCACAAAGAAAGTTAGGCATGATAATCACATGTAACAATCTACATCCGGCCCAAAACAACAAGACTCCAAAAAACACCCAACCAAAGGAAGCAAGAGTTAGGTTGAAAACTGAATGTTGGGTTAGATGGGGAAGGTTAACTACAATATCCATGACAACCGGATGAACAGGCTTGGAGTGTGGAAGAAGTGCCTGTAACAAGATTCTGACTCGTTTGCAGTTTTCTCCTAACAATACCACTGCACAACAAAGATAAAAGGTTATGAGAATTAGGATAATGATCGTCAAAGAGAAAAATGTTTTCAGCTCTTATCAAATTCTCTTAACTAATTCTTAAAGGAAACGTTCGGAGATCAGTCAGGGGAATCTGCACATGGACACTGGGGCTCAAAGGGTGAAGACTTTTAGAGCTGTCAACAATATTTCAAAAAGTACTTAGAAGTAACAAAGAAAGATACAAGAGATGATAAAGAAGAGAGAAGATAAATCTAAGTCATCGTTAAAATTATTTATAGAAACTGATCCAGGGAAATGTACTTTACCTGTAAAAGTGGAACAAAGTCGTCTGACTCAACATAATCCTGGCAATGTGTTGTACTTAATAATCGAATGAATCTTGATGCATTATCATGACATTTAGATGTTACACTGAAACAGAAGAGTAAAAAATTTTGGTGCAAACAAATTTTTTGCATCAAATAACGTAATTGATTAATTAATTAGATTATTAGATTAATTAAATTAACATGTGTGTGTGTATGTGTGTGTGTGAGTCCACAGTCAAAGTTAGCCATCATAAGCCCATACTGTAATTATATTATCAAGACTAGTTTATCTAAGTTGAGGAGACCTGACTCATTATAAGCCTCGTGGTTTCTTTCAAGTCTCCTCGCCATTTACTTTTTTTCTAATCTCACATTATTCTAATCTTGTGTTGTAAAATTTTGTATATATGGCAAATAAAGAATGTCGTGAATGAATGAATGAATGAATGAATGAATGAATGAATGAAATATGTGTGAATATCATAAACTGCCAATTTTAAGCCCTGGCCTTAGACATCTTCATAAGGGGTTTTACGAGGGCTTATTAGTGAAGGGGCTTATATCTGAGAGGGGCTTTTAGGAGGACCAGAAAAAGTTTTTTTAAACGGTATATAGCTATAATACACACTATAGCAGTGCAATCAAAATACTAATCTTTTGGCATACTGGGCCGCGTAATTTTCAAAGCTGGTTTAAGATAACTCAGCTGTGCTAGTAAGAAATTTGAATTCAGATATGAAAGGGTAAAAAGCAAATTCAGTTTAATTATTTTTGCCTACTATCTGATGATTGGATGCTTTAAAAAGAACAGAGAAAATTTATCCAAGAAAACGCATTTGAACGAAAGAAAAAGAAACTGGGATTAAAATTTAACCCCGTGTTAGCACTAATCCGCCTTTGAACAACTGGACCCTGGTTTGTAATTAGGCTTTAAAATGTCATAATCAACATCCAAATTAAGAGGAAGGGCTTATAATAGGCACTAGAGGGGGGGTCATATCTGGAGGGGGGCTCATAATAATTGGATGTATTTTTCGTTTTAACAAAGGTAGATGGGCCTATAACTGGTAGCGGCCTTATAACTGGGACCGACCAAGGGGTTTATAAGTATAAGTGGCAGTTTACAGTGTTTTTTTTTCAGGTATGGCCAGACAGATGTGAGCTATACTGGAGATAATGCCTATAGCAAAGGCTGAAATATGTAAGGAATAATTGCAGACAGCAGAGGGTAGTGAAGGCACCTGATATAAACCTAAATTACCTTCCTCCTAAAGTTATTTCTCAAAAAAAATGAATGTTTGCATTTTTTGTGAATTTACTTTTTGTTTGGCTACTATTAGAAGCGAAGGGGTTATGAATTACTGACAGAAATACCTTTTCCACAAAGCAGTAAACATGGATAATGTGACATAACCAGTCTTGTGTCCTCCAGCTGCAGAAAAAAGAGGTTCCCTCCAGTAGAAAGATAGACCACAGGCCTGAAACAACGTAAAAAAACCTTAATAAATTATGTCACTTTTAAAAGTATTCCAAGGCTGTGCTCTAAGAAAAAATGAAGCAGGCCAAGTGGTCCAGGTTTATCATTAAGAATCCTAGTTGCAGGAGAAAGGTTTAATGTTACAGCAGAATATTATTTTTGAAAGAAGCTCTATGTCTGGAAATAAAAAATAGGCATAAACTACGAAATGTTAGTCGGAGAATTCTGCGTAGTAAACGAAAATTCTCCAATCTCCAAAACCTAATGAACAGCCTGGTAAAAATCCATCATGCCAAGAAAATGATTTCTATGAAAAAAGCTACAATTTTCTGGTCGCCTGGGAGCAAAAGTTAGGCACCAAGGGCCTCCAGGTGCTGTAAGAGCACAGATTTGTATCCACAATCAAGATATATAGCATGGCCAAGGCAGTGTGGCCAAGTGGCCAGTGAGTCGGACTTGCAATCCGGTGGTTCCTGGTTTAAGTTCTGCTCTGGCCACTGGAGGGATTTTTTCTCGTTTAACCTGAATTCAAATCTTCGGCCACACATGTAAATAGCCAGCTTGTTGCCTCGTGCCAGTTTCATTTTTTTAACCCTGTTATATGTAATATTTAGATTATTTGTTGCTAATTATTTGAGTAGAGTGCCAGTAAGTAAACCTAAATAATTAACCTATTTTCAACCGTCAAATTCATAGCAACACAATGTTAACACTTTGTAGCTACCGTAAGTTTTTTTATTAATAAAGTTATGATGAAATGTAAAATTCATCACTATTGCTGGAAAACTTGTAATTTAGTTAACAAAATGTACAACCATGGATATTTGGGAGGCAGAGTAATAGTAGTTTTACAGGGATCAAAATTAGCACTCGCAAACTTGCAAAATGCGAGTGAGAAAAATATCCACTAGCAAACGTTTGTGAGTTAGAATCATCTATGTCTCCCAAACATTTGGAGAAAGCTGTTTGAATGCCACACCTGAGCATTCATGTGTTGTTGATGTTCCTCATGGTTTAGAGCTATTGTTTTCTTACGTATGTCTAAAATAACTTTTTCTTTGAGAGGCTCTCGGGGCCCTCAACCTCTAACACGAGTGCCAATGTCAATGAAGACCTCGAGCCACCGAAGAACAAGATTTCGAAGTCGGGATCCATTTCGATTTTACTGTTAAATTTTTTTTAATTTGCTCTGACAGTTTTCTTTCAATAAGCTCAAGTAAAGTGCTGGTTTATGGAAATAATCAACCCCTTGAAAGCCATTTTGCGTCGGGGTTGTACGTGACTGTGCGAAATATCAATTCTAATCTTTATATCAGATATGGTCATTGACATTTCAAAGGGAAAGAATTTGTTGGTGGTCTCACCAGTTTGCAAGTGGAAAAAAATGTCACTAGCAAAACTTTGCAAGTGCACTAAAAAGTTAACTTCGGGCCCGGGTTTTAAAGTGAAAATTAGGAAGTCTTCACAAAAAAAAAAAAACAACTTAAAAGCACATACATGTACAGTTTCATTAAATCAAGGTGACAAACAAAAAGGAAGGCTACAGAGGTACATGATAAGGCTAACTTCTTGTGCAGACACTGATCAAATGCCTACGTAAACAATGACAAAATGCAGCAATGGGTGCATCAATTTCCTTAAATGAACTTGAATTTGTTTTCTTTGGGGGATTTTGGAAAAAATTGCCTGTTGCACCCATGCACTTTTGCATCTTTGAACTTTTTGGTTTACTGGAAGGTTTGCATTAGGAAACGCTCCAATGTTGACACAATTTTTGGTAAAATGAAAAAGAATTCACTCACCGCCCTTTTTAGTCATAACAGTGGCTATGAAAATTCATAATTATGAATAATTTACTTTAACCCCAAAATGACTAGAAAGTTCTTAACATAAAAAGTACTCATGTACAGTTTTGCTTTTTTTAAGGGCTATTTGTTGATTTTTTATCACAACTTAATATTATTGCATTTTGTTGGACGAGAGTATTAATAAAAATGTTAAACTAACTTGTGAGATCACTCATTAAATATTCTAAGCAGAAACATTAAAATCCTCCTGCCACTTAAAAATATTGACAGAATATCACAAGTAGTAGAAAATTTAAATTGATAGAGAACTTGACTTTTGCTTTCATTTTACTGCAACCATATCTGTCAAATAATTAAAATTGACTCATACCTATCGAAAAGCAGGGCCTTTTTTTCTAGCAGACTGATATTTTTCATTTTCATATTTTCATAAACCTTGTTCACCCGCGCCAAAATTTTGCATAACTATGGTTTCAAATTTCTCCTGGGTATTACACTCACCCCAAGAGAAATTGAAGACAATGCTTATGCAACATTTTAGAGCCGTCAGTCTAAGCGTGTTGTTCGTTCCAGAGCTCTAAAGATATAAATTGCACAATAATAATTATTGTCACAAAATCAACTGAGTCAGATGAAAAAGCCTTTCAGGAAGTTGTACAGCTCATGTGGCTTATATTACTATTAAAAGCTGAAGTTTTATTCTTGAGCTGATTATTAGGGACAAAAAACAAAAATATTCGATTCGAAGACAGATTAACATATTTGAATCATAGCCAGAGGTGAAAGTGAATTGACCAGTGGTAAACTGCATAATTTTCAACTTACAATTACTTAATAAACAAAGTTTTCGTGAATACGTGATAGGGTATTGTTGACTATATTTGCTGTCTTAAGAGGAACATTTTAGGAGCTGTGTAAACATGATCGGGTTATAACTCTTCGAAACGTTTGCACAAACATTCTCGAAGCCATTGGAATACTCTTCAATTATAAAGCAAACAGGCCATTGCTGCAAGCATAAAAATCATTCTGGTTCAGCGCCAATGGCGTAGAATCATTGAGTATCTTATTCGAATCGTCACGAACGATGGATTACTTAAATCCCTTTGAAAAGACGCGGGGCAGATCAAGTTCTGATAACGGAAATTTGGGTGCTTCGTACGTTTTCCCTAAGATGTGAAAAGAACGTCCCGATCACGTTATGTTTCAGAACAACGACATAAATAATGACCAAATATAAATTACTCATCAGGAAGATCAGGCAAATTCGCGCGTTGAAAACTGACAAGTCACTTAACGGCCAACAATAAGTTAGACAGCTACACGTTCGTGAGATAGTCCACGTCACGCAAAACAACTTATTTAGAAACATAAAAAAACACAAAATCACATTACCTTCGCCACTGCTCCGAACTCCTCTTTTGATAAACCCTCCTCGGATAGTTGGAAAATTTTCTTTACTTTGTCCAGCGCGTTCTCACAAACAGTAGAATCTTCTGGCCTTCCAAGAGGAAAGTAAAATTGTGGAAGGCTTGCCGCACAGCCAGGAAAGATTCTAACATTATTTAACACCAAAGATTTATCCTTCATCAGATACTTCGTAGCTTCATGGTTCTCTAACCTAGGAGAACGCGGCGGCGATTTAGAGCCTGGTCTTCGCGAAGATCTTTCTCGCGGACTTCGCGGTGACCGTAGCACTTGAGACGGTGAACTGGTTGGCGGGGCCGGAGGCGAAATCGGTCTAGTACCGCCTACTGTATTAGAAACCGACGAAAGTGACAATTGCCTTGGAGACAATGGGCGGCCTTGGATTAGTTTGTTCAAATCGGTTTTGAGGACTCGTTGAGTGTCGGGCATCGAAAGCCATCGCAGAAAGAGTTCGTCGACTTTTACTTTCAGTATCGGCGATAAATGTGTCATGTCTCGTCCCGAAGGTGTTCGTTCAAATTCTTATGGCAACCAGTGTTCGAGGTACACCATTTATTCACGTGCTTCATCGCATTATGAATGAATGAACCAAAAGATAAAATAATCTCCCAAAAAACCTTTGTGTGACCAATGAATGTTTATGCTTGAAACCATAAATCAGTAGTAAAATCGTCGTAGGACCTACAATATGCTTTCGTAGTTCACGCCTACATGCAAGCTTACAATTCTTCCAATAAACTTTCACGGGATTCCAACGTTGTCTAGCTCGCTTTGGAACCAGTTTGTTGTCAACGTATTTCACGCCACTGAAGAGAACAAGACATACAAATTTCCTGATTAGAACTAAATCCGAAACGGGAAAATATAAAAGAAAATCGAATAGGGCGCGCGGAAATGGAAGACAGATTATTTACCAGCGGTCGATCACATGGGAGTATGCTTTCGTTTCCAGTCTCTTGGAGGAGGAAAAGATGCTTGCCCATTTTCCTGCGTGCGGACGTTTCTCGGGCAGGCAACTTGCCCATGTTGACGCCCATGTATCCAAACCTATCCCATCCACTAGCTAAATAATGAATACTTACTAATTTTCTAATTTCTTTTACTTTGTACAGCTACACATGGCATTTGATAGTCACGCAAGCTAAGCAAGCTCAACCCTGGGAACGAGGTTGGTGGGGAAGGAACCCAACCCCTGGCTGTGGAGATTGTGTAAAAGTTTCCTTGCTAAATAAGACAAAGGAGACTGCACAGAGAGTCTGCCTAAAAAAAATTATGAAAGAATGGAAAGGGTCACGTTTATGTTACTTTAAGAGGATGCAGACCACATCTTTTCCCCGTTTTTTTGCTTTTCCACATGAAAAATGAAACAGCAGAGGTCAGCATGACCAGTAGGCCTCCCCATCGTTTTACCAAAAACCAAGACTCGCAGGCCCAAGATGCTTTATTTCAGCCAGAGAACAGCTTTAAGCTTCCACCCTTCCATACTTGTATTACTTTGAATTTCAGAACTAAGAAAATAGCAAAGAATTTCAGGTGCAGATCCACAATGGTTTTCACCGTTTTATGGAAATTGGTCAGATTTTTCATAACAAACATATTTTTTCTGGAAAATGGTTTGAATAAATTTTTTCCCAATTTCCGGGCATTAGGAATAATAATCATAATCACTGATTTATAAGGCTTATCATCCAAGGAAGATGGAACTGGCCAATATCCTGTCCGAATGACTCAGAAACCCAGGTAAGGGGACATGAAGGAGTTAAAAATAAATCCAAAAAATTTCATGGGGAAGCGTGTCCCCTGACCCCCCCTAGAAACTTTAGGAAATTGGACAGTATTTATATTAGATCTGCGCATGAATTTAGAAATTTAGAAAATACAGCAGTTAGCTATAGCGACCAGCTGTCTCTTAACAACAATTCCAAGAGCAATAGTTATAAACCATGAGGAAAAGAATGGGGAGGGTTCAATTACATTTGTGGAAATACCTGTAAAATAGCAATACTTGCAATACTGTAATCAGCTAAGCATATCAGACTGCATTAAAAAAGGTACGTTACTCACTAACTTACTTATAAACATCATTAATCATGTTATTCCTCTATTAAAGAAAACAGACCTTTTCTGCATTCCACTAAATTGAGCAAATGCGAAGAAATGAGGTTGAGACTTGTGTGGACAAATTCATACAAAACAAAGTATTTTGCCACCCCAAGAAGTCACATTTTTTGGTTCCTTTGTTCACAGGAAGGTGGGAGGGGTCTGTTATCCAGTTGAGGATGCAGGAAATCCAATTTTGTGGTGGCAGAACAGAAGGCGAAAAAGAGAACACTCCCACATTGAAATATCCCTTTACAGACAAGTCACACCTGTGCGCTGTAGACATACAGGCCAGATAATAGGGTAAACTTCTGACAAGAGACGTGGCCTTGAAAACATGAAACATGATGGATTTTAAAAGTCAGAAATTCAGACTTGCAAAATGCATTCCCCCCACCCCCTACTACGAGGGCTTTACAACTCTGACATTCCATTAGGCCACTCAAACAAAAGCACAAAATCATTAAAACCTCTTGGATGCATAAAATTTGATGACATGCCCATGAGATCAACAGCAAACTTTAATTGCTCAGACATTGGACAATCATCTGTCAACATGAGTAAGTATATTTTCAGGCAGATGTTCATGCATGGAAAGTAGCCTATTTACAACAAATAAACATGCTATTATACAAGCAAACATAGCCTGCAGTGGAGGCATTTTCTTCAGGCGCGTGAATTTTTTTGCTAACAAAAGCAACATGTTCAAACACCACAAGAAAAAAGGAAATGGGGAGGGTCAAAGGGAGCGGCAGAGGGGGCACCCTAGCACCTACCCCAAGGGTTGCTATTTCTTCTATCCCCAATCTTCCTGTCATAAAATCTAAGACAATGGCTACAGCAATACGAATATAAACAAACAGCTAACTTCGCCTGCCCAAAATACGCCTGCACTGCAGGCTAAAGCAAACATTGCTGATATCAGTGTTAATACTTTGCTATATTAGCATACAAATTTCATGGACAATAATATATTATAATTTATTATGTTATAAGCATAATAAAACTTCAAAAGTTGAAAGAAGTCATTTAGTGGCCTATGTGGTGTTCCTCAAGAATTTTGCATGTAATATACAGAAATATCAGTCACCACAAAAATTAATGAACAAATTTCAGTTCACACATTTTCTGTGATAAAATTATGAGTTTTCAATGTCTTTTATTGTGCTAGATCCTTTCAATGTTCAGAGCTTGCCCTTCACGTGTAACTCAATAAGAAAACAAAATTTGTATGCTAATGAGAAAAAGTATATTGTAAACAAAGGCTGTGTCAGGGTTCTCATTAAGCAACCAGCTAAAAAAATGGTTATGTTGAGGTATGAGCCGTCTAGTTTTGGGGAAAAGTGGGTAAAGTGAGGGAGTGAAAGCCTTAAATTGCCTTCAACACTTGATTGCCAAGCTGCTGACTTTTACATCCTCGAAGTCTACTTTAAAACTAAATGAGAACCCTGCTGTGTACACTAAGACTTTAGAATGTAATATACAATAAAATAAATAGGAAATTAATAAAAATCAAGCTTTGCACATAACTGACAGTCTCTGGATCCTTACTCTATTTTACAATAGTCTGACGACCAACAAGTACATTGTATGACAAAAAATTATGTTACAATAAATTCTTGAATGAAACCAAACTTCATGAATCATGCAGATGAGAATGACTGCTTTCAAGTGGTGTAAAGAAGCATTCTTGACCAGAGGCCAGAGGGCTAAAACTTTCAAGCTGTAATGGTGATTAATAGAGCCACAGTTCCGCTTGTAATATAGATGCTTAATCAAACTGGGAGGTTATGACAATTAATGAATTAAAGCAAAGGAGAAGTGATGCTGCTGGATGGCATTAAAGGCTTGTTGATTCAGACACCCCTGAGAGGAGTTTTGCGACTCAAAGGAATGTCTGAAATTCAGGCTACACTTTCCTGCATATGTGGAAATGTTTCTAATGGGTATGCTGTACAGGGAAGTTCTAAATTTTGAGTCAAACCATTAAATGTGATGATTCAAAGGAGAGTTACGGAGCAGAACTTTTTTTGAGGTGCTATAAGTTTATGTACTTGTTAAAGCCACTGATTCTTGGCGAGTACAGCTACATGTTTATCAGCATCTTGTATCCTCAGCTGGAGTTTACTTCACAAAACCAAACAGTAATCCAGGAAACCAAGCCACGATATTGAACCATCAGCATCACACTCTTCAGTTCCTGAAAGTCACACTGGTCACATGATTTAGTGTCATTTGCATTTATGCATGGCCACCTCAAGACGAGATACTTGACCTAATTTGGTAACAATGTTGCTTGTTTTGTCTTGAAAAAGACTGCAATTTCATAAGTTCACTGGCTGAAAGAGAGCCTACCACCAGCTTAAACTGGAAAACATAGACAAGGAGTAATTTTAATTAAAGGTGGGAAATGGCTGGACTATAATAAGCCTGCCTAATGTTTATTTTAGCTCCATGTACACTCATGAATGATTTCAAGTTTGATGGGCCAAACCATTATTAAATAAAAGAGTGAATATCTCTGGTATTGCCCAGGGTGAATTATGGAATCTTGTGAGGTGGTTCTAACTTTTAAACCTCTGGGTGAAATCATTGGGTGACCATTCAAATGAAACCTCTTAATAAGCAACACTTTTACAAGGTGCTATTTGTTTCTGAGCAATTATTGATAAATAAAATTTGAAAGGTTGTTGAAGTTTTCTCTTTGGCCATGCATGTACATGTGTATGTTTGGCCCCACTTCTGGCAGAGAAAGTGTGATGAAACATCAATATTTTAAAAGAAATTTGTTTTTCAAACGGCAGTGTATGTGAAAGGCTGCCATATGGAGGTCAAAGTGTAAATGGTGTCCAACAAAACATGCAACGTTCATTACCAAATTACATCATCTTTCTTTTGTGAGGTGGCTGCAAGGCTAAGAAAACAACAAGTTTGAGAGAGGACATTTGATGCTTCTGGTGACATTTTTACCTCCATCAAGGTGAAGTTTTTTTAGCTCCCTGGTACTGCTATGTGCTAATATTGCTCTGGTGCGAGTTGTTCAAAGCTAAATCCAACAGAAAAATCTCTATCCACTGGATAGCACAATTGGTTCCCCTAACATTTATCTGCTGGATAGCCATTTATCTAGTGGATAGCACTATCCAACATTTGAATAACTGGACCCTGCTGTCTAATACTAATTGCCTATTGCCTAAACAGTAGACACCACGGCAAAATATTAAGGAGCTATGGAGCAGATTTCAACTGTTATACATTTAAGGTGCATTCCTTTGGGATGATCCGGATCAGGATCAGTGATGCGATATCACTCTGATCATGGTACATCAAATGAACTGATCAATGATTTCCCAGGGTGGATTTGTTGGTTCCTTTGATGTGCTATGACCTGACTGATCTAGGATTCTTGGATAAGTGATCCTGCTCCAGATATTCATTGTACAGGAACACACCGAACGACTGTTGATTGTTTCATTCTGGTCAGTGCGCATGTAGATCTGTGTATAAGTGCTCACAATATCCTTTGACTCCCATCCTTTGAAACAAGTCAAGCACAATGATCTTTCATTGGAAAATACACTAGGACGTACTGTAAAATATCTTGGAACAGACTCTACTTGCTGAATGTTATGGAGTAGTCAGTAGCCTTTGTCAGTACCACCGCTACTTAGCAACTGTATATGTACATAAATTTAAAAAGCCAAGGGTGGGTGATAGCGCCTTTTTTGAAGTAATCATACCACCAGGTTGTTAAAAGGCTTCCAGTAGGAATTTCTGACTACCAAATCTCTCCACTTAGAGATAATGCACTGAACTGCAAGTTTGTCACAAATCAGTGTACAGGATCACTTTTTAAAAACTGATGATTCCTCAGCTTACATCCATCATCTGACAACAACTTGTCATTGTTATTATTAAAAGGATTACCACAATTCAAACAAGGGCAACATTCACATGAACCTCCATCATTGAAACATGGGCAACGTGTACTTACACAACGGGTATTCTGTAACTTGGATGATGTTCCGCATGCACACCTCTTTAGCTTACCTTTTTTCAGTCTATTCTTTCCAGGTGGAGTTACAGTCACTGGTTGTTTTTGTTGTTCCAGTTTTTGTCCAACTTCCATATTATCAACAACATCAACGTCCATGCTCTCCTCTCCTTCTTCTTCTTTTGAAATTTTTTGAGCAGAATTTTTGGTTCCAAAATCCAGGGTCTCAGTATCCATATCCACTCCCCCTGTTGCCTTAGAGTTAGAGGACAAATTTGGTGCACTCACTGTTAACCTAAGTGAAGTCTTTTTCTTTTTGCCATAATTGTAGTAAGTCCCTTTAAATGGCTTTCTCTTCCTTTTTTTCTCCTTGTGATTTTTGCTTGCTGCTGGTTCAGCTAAAATCCGAGCAATTTTCTGAGGAGCCAGAATTTTTACTTCCGGCGGAAGTTTGACCTCGTTGACACGTGACTCGGACGCCATGTTCGAATTCCCGCCCGAACTGGAAATCGAGGAATTTGATTCTCTGGCTGGGGTGTTGTTTGCGGGTACCTGATTAGACTGCTCGTTCTGACAGTTAGCAAGTGAGATCGGACTTGTGACAGCCTCTTGAATAATCGCAAGCGTTTTGTCGTACTCGCCATTTTGGGGCGCAATCGCTAGCCTTTGAATAATCGCTGTCTTCTGGGCGATGCATTCGCAAAGCTTTTGATAACAGGCCAGAAGAATTCGAGTCTGTCTGTCCTCCGTTAGCTTTTCCAAGTTTGTGCACCAACGACATCCAGGGTTAAGAGATCTTTTCTTTCGAAGGCAGCCTTTGCAAACATAATGCTGGCAAAGGTGAGATCCATATGGATCAATCAACAAGCGGCGGCAAACTCGACATGACAAAGCTTGACGGAGTTTTGGCAGTAGATGGATCAGTTGATCCGAAACTGCCTGATTACCAGCCTCAAGTGAAAGCATGCATTTGCAAGCGTCAACGTACAGGATTGTGGCGTTCATTTTAACGATGTTTAGAATGCGTTGGCGTTCGAACTACTGGGAAACGTTCCAAGATTGCTGATTTTGCCAATATCCAATTCATTGCACACGCATCGTTTGTATTTTAATCAATTATGAGCCTGCGTTTTTTATAGCCAGTGGCAGGGATAATAATCTGAGCATGCGTGTTAGCCGCACGAAAGCATGTGTTGCCGCACGTGTAAATCTGAGCAATTTTCGACCTGTGGAGAGGAGGTTGAATTTACGAATTTATTTCTATATTCTTTATTTTAATCCCATAAAAGAAAAAAAAACATTCTCGTTTGTGAATAAAACAGGATTGCGTCTCATAAATGTGAAAAAATAAAACTATTACCCAGGTAAAGAATAAATACATTTTTCTGCTAACATATCTTTTGCACTTACCCCACCCCCGCTAGTGTGAAAACGCCACTTGACGAGCGACATGGCGATGTCTACTCTCTGCAGAGCTGGGGTACTTTTGAGGTCTTTTTATCCTGTTTCTAATGGTTTTTCTTGTAAGACTTCTTTGTGGAAAAATGCCTTAATTGTACGAGCTTGTTCTGGGGGATCTGGAAGCGTTTTGCAGCGAATCGAAAAAAAGCAAGATGAAGCTGTTGTTGGTGGTGGCCAGAGGAGGATAGACGCCCAACACCGAAAAGTAAGATCAGAAAATTTAAAACCTTGAGTACTTTCCATTTTCTAGAGCTTCAAAGATGTTGTAAATTCAGACCGGCATCGCAGCATTACAACTCCAAGCCTTTAACAAGTTAAAACCGGCTGAAGTTATACTCTTTCCATAACCAATGCCTTGGGCCGTCGTAGGGGGGAGTGGGGTAAGGAGGGTGGGGGGGGGGGTGCAGGTACCAGCTAAAGAAGGTGGCAGTATAACTAGTAAGTATTCACCTAGTACACAAAGTGTTGTAAGTCAGAGTCAATTCCCAACTGACTTACATGCAGGGGGAAAGCCCTGGTGATTTTTTTATTTCTTTTAGCTCAGACTTATTTTGGCAGGCTAGGGATAATTTGGCCTAACTTTGTTTTACCTCACAATAACTCTTATAGCTAAGTCTCTTGGGCTCCTTATCAAACAACAAAGTATGTGAATAGAGTCTGGATTTAGTGCAAAGTGTATGCTTCATGAATGCCTGGTGCTGGGTGAAATTCGTAGATTCCATCCCTCATTATTTGCAAGTTAATGTATATGCCACCCCTCCCCCCATTTTAAGACTGGGAGGTCTGAATAAATATGATGTTGACAAGCCATATGCATCTATTAATGAAATATTATATAACCGGCTTTATGAGTACTAGCAAAGATAAGATGAATCCTGTGTCCTGATCAGTTCCCTGAGTGGACAAGACTTAATAGGCATCTTTTGTCTGCTCAGGATTGGCCTCCACTTTGTCCTGCAAGAAAAGAGTTTTTTTTTTGTCATAAAATAAACTTTTTCTTGTTCAGTCACAATGGATGAATATTGGCCTTGCTTTTTTTCTTTTTGCATTTTTGTCAATCAGTCTCAACTTCTTCTTGGTTCATAAAGCCTTAGGCTAGCCTGCAAATACAGTTGTTTCTCCTTGCTCCTTGTTGCTAGGGACTTTTCATCACAAGGAACGTCAGTGCTTCAGTGACAGAAATTCCTTACTGATGACATAAATCAATGTTTATACGATAATAAATCCAGTAGTCATGGGGCTCCAAATGTATATTTGTTTGATTTTATGTTTTTTTCGGGTGGGTTATGGTAAGTTTTGTGTTCTACTGCAAACAAGCTCCAGTTTTTTCTAAAGAAGAATATATTCCTGAAATATATGCTGTTTTGTAGTAGATTCATCACATTTACAACCCTGACCTTGCGGCCTTACGTCTTTTGTCTGTCATTCGGCCCGAGATCAGGCCAAAATTTGCGATATCCACATTTTTCAAGAAATCATTTTACTGTAACTCAGCATCATGTCGTTGCTTTGAACACAGGGAAAGTTGACTGCAAGGGAAAGGATCAAGTTACTGTGCGACCCAGAATCGTTTGTTGAATATGATATGTTTGTGGAGCACAACTGCACTGAGTTTGGAATGGAAGATCAGAAGGTCAGAGGAACTGATAATGTTTTATCAAGCTAACAATGATAAAGAATTTTTGTTTAGTTGTAATGACTACAAACTGACATACATGTACACATAAGATTACATAGCTGTACATAAAATTATTGATAATGCGTATTCATAAATTTCTGGAATCTTTATACATATATAGTTGAGCTAACTGCATGAACAATGCAAAGAACAGAATATGAACTGTGTGAAACTGATGCGCTATCATTAACTTTATTAATGTTTTAGTTCACTGGTGATAGTGTTGTGACTGGACAGGGGACAATCAATGGACGAGTCTGCTTCCTGTTTAGTCAGGTAAGATTATTGTCATGTTCTATGCAGTAAATGAGCTATATCACCCATGTTGCCATCAGTGTCAATATTATTAAATTGAGCTGAAAACTTTTAAGCAACGGTGGTTAAGCCATATTAACATTAGCTTCTAGTGGCTTGCAGTTCTTCAAAATATTTCCTGTTAATGACAGGGCTGTCATTAAGTTTTGAGGCAGCCGTAGCAAATGAAGATTCACCCGAGACATCGCACAAAAATTTATAGTGCCACTGTTAGCTTTCCACTTTGATCACCTGTAACATCAAGACGTTCAGCCGTATCAGGTGTAATGGGTTATGACCCTTCATGACAGCTCTGAATGAGGTAGCCCACCTTGTGTCTTGCTGCAAGGGGCAATTTTCTCTCAGTGCTGTCACTATATACATGTATTAATTAAGGGCTAGCCGGGGCAGCAAGTTTCTCTGGCTTCTATGAGCATGACCTGCGACTACTTTCATAGGAAACCAAAAAAATATTAGAACTAAAAGAACCCCTAGAATTACCTTCTAATAATTGCAGTTACACAACAACTAAAGAAATTGGACCTTGTTGATTTGTGCATTAGCATCACTGGTAGTAGCATAGGCCAAGTTAAAACTGTTTTGTAAAAGCTTTCTTGGCCAAATCCACAATCGTTGCATTTCCCCTTGCCAGTCGGCCAAAGAAGCGTGAGAACGTTGGAGCGCTGATATTTATCTTATAGTCCATGTGTTGTTACTGTTATTCACTTATTGTTTCAGTTGCTCAGACAAGGTTGTTAACCCTTTCACTGCCAGAGTGGATGATGGAGTTTGTTCGGTGGTTCTAACTTTTATGTCTGTGGACAAAATCCTATGCTGTGACCATTCAAATTAAATCTCTTTGGAAGTAATTTCATGTGGTGTTATTTGCTTTAAAAATATTTTACAAAATGAAATTTGGGATTTTTGTTGAATTTGCCTTTGGTCATATTTGACAGTGAAAGGGTTAATGGGCGATTCCAGAAAATATCCATACCATACCACGGACAGCTTTAAGGATTTCCGAAGGGGAGGGGGGATTCACGATTATGGAATTCTGAAGGCATGGGGGGTATTTACGATTTGAAATCCGAAGGTATGGGGGAATTCCACAGGTGGGATTTCTGGAGTAGAAAGTGTAGAGTAAGTTCCTGGAAAACGCTATTGTTGTGGACTTTTGTAGTTCGTAAATAAACCACGAACGTATGACCGCGGAAGCAGAAGACAAGCATCGATAGATCAGACTCGTGTTTCCGCTCATAACTTATAGAAGTGAACAATAAAACGTTGGTTTCACATTTACTTTGATGAATTTCTTGTCACGTGAATAAAAACTGAAAATGTATCTTTTAATGCAAATGCAAATTTTTGCAAATTTCTTGTTACTCCCGTCCGAAACCGTCCGATAAACAGTAAAAAACTCGCACCAGTCCCTCACTTCCAAGGAACGCCTGTCAGATTAGAACGCTTTTCGTGCGCACTACATGACGTATAAAAGGATGCAACACGACTCGACGGTGTATTTGACCGCCAAAAGATTTTAACAGTCTGTTTGAGCTATTTTCCTTTGTAAACGTCAAAACAGCACAAAAAAACAAAGAGGAGTAAAATTACCTTAAGTGGTGTTTATTTTTATAGCCAAATGCGGACTTAAAAAGGAGTTTGCACGGCCTGGCAACTAGCGTAGGTTTTTCTTGTCACTGAAGAGTAAAGCTTGTCACCTGGCGCCGCTAGATCACAGCCTTGAGGAGGCATAAATTCATGTTCGTTTGTTCTTATAGGCGTTGCTAAGTCGAAAATGTACTTCCAAAAAAAACCGGAAATTCTGAAGGGGAGGGGGGATTCACGACTATGGAATTCTGAGGGCATGGGGGGGTAGCGCATTTTGGAATTTCCGAAGGCAAGGGGGGGTTAAAACATGGAAGCCGTCCGTGGTTGGGTATGGATATTTTCTGGAATTGCCCAATGACAAACAAAGCATGTTTTTTCCCAAAGCAGGCCGAGGTCACATATTGAAATTTGTTTACGGTATTTGTAAAAAATCCCTTTCCTTGCTTTTTAGGATTTTACTGTATTTGGTGGAAGCTTGTCCAGTGCTCATGCAAGAAAAATTTGCAAGGTACAGTACAGTACAGTTATAGATCCCTTCAGTAACTGTGAATTGGACTTGTTTTTCTCATTGATAGATAGCATCCTACCAAATGAGCAACTTACATGTTAGTTGTCAGACTTTTGTTGTGAAACTCATTCTTTGAAGGACATCATGTAATCTGACAGTCTGAAAAATGTCACGATGAACAGCTTCTGAAGTAGGTTGAGTTAATGGTTGTCTGCTGAACGTAGTCCTGAATAGGACTGTTGTTGTTGACAGTGACTGACTTTTGGACAACCTGTGCGGTAGTCATCTTCAGAGTCAAAGTGGGTTGAATCATGTTGACCAGCTTCATTGGCCATTTGTCATAATATGCTGAGAAGTGATGTTTTTCAGTCGGTGACATAGGTGGCTCAGAGAAAGAAATCTGAGCTTACCCAATAGACTGTGAGCTGTCCTTCAGGATAGTCGCATTAGCGAGGAAATCGAGCAAAGCAAATGAAAAAAACATTGGTTGGATGAATCAAAACTGGGGAGGAGGAGGCACCCCTCTGCTGCTGAATCGTCATGCCCTCTCTCACTCCTCGATCTACTGCAGTCCATTTACCCAACATGAGTACGATCTTCTGGTAACTAGTCCAAATGTTCTAGCAGCCTTGGTAACAGAAGACTCATTAGTGTCATTTAAGTAGGTTCAAGTGACAAACATCTCACATACATATTGTCCTGTCGGAAGGGAATATCAAAAGATGGTGAATATGGAAGATTATTATGTCATGGGTGCTCAGAAAAAAAGGGAATTTTCAGTGCTTGATTAGTTGGCATTCTTTCCATGAAGCTCAGTGCTACAGTACAAATTTGCATTTGGGAACATTTGGAAGGACCTGTTAGTGTTCTGGTTTTTATTGAAAACTGTAGGATTTTTAATTTAAATCAGGTATTTAGAAGTTAATCTGCAAGTAAAAATTCTTGTTTTTTAATACTTAACAATATAATTTTAAGGGCCTTCTTTGCCTTCCAGTCTGTACTTTATAACTCTTTTTTTATTATTGCTAAATTCTCTTGATTTTTGCTAGTGTGTGTTTCATTTTGCAAGTAATAATTATTTTTACTTTTCATGAAAAAGTGATTTTTGCTAATCATCTAAATAATTAACAAAAAAGGAACATTAATCATGCACAACAACTGCTGTAATCATGCACCCTTGTAACCCCAGGTTATGGACAAAGCGATGTTAGTGGGTGCCCCAGTGATTGGTTTGAATGACTCAGGTGGAGCACGCATCCAAGAAGGTGTGGAATCACTGGCAGGCTATGCTGACATTTTCCAGCGTAATGTGATGGCATCAGGAGTTATCCCACAGATATCTCTTATTATGGGACCTTGTGCTGGAGGTGCTGTTTATTCCCCTGCTATCACTGACTTCACATTCATGGTGAAGGTGAGTAAACTAACAAATGATGGTTTATTTATAATGGTGTACATGTAGGTACACATGGTTGTTCTTAACACCACTTTCCGGATCAAAATTGAGTAATTTATAAATGTAGGGTTAGGGTGATTGACACTTTCGCAGGGTACCCAAATAGCGCATGCATACACAAGCAGAGTCCGATACACTGTACCAATCAACAGTGAGTGGAAAATAATTTATTGTGGTATATGCATAGCCTGTAGAGCTGAAAATTAATGGCAAACAGTCACTCAGGGTTCGCACAGTCTTCAAGAGTCCTTGAATTCCATTTTTCCTTGAAAAGTCCTTCATTTTCCGTGCTAATCTGTGAATAGTCCTTGAAATTTCTTTAACTTTCAATGTAGTGGCCTGGAAAGTGTTTTTTAAAATGCTTTTTGGTTGTCCAAGACAGGATAAATCAAAGCCCAGAGAAGTTATAGGATTACAAACACTGTCCAGTCAATTATACTTGTTTAAAAACAGGCATTGCCTTCTTTATTCTTTTATAGGATACATCATATTTGTTTATTACAGGACCAGATGTAGTGAAGGTAATAATACAAGTAAAATTACATGTATTTTCCAAGAAGCCTAAAGATTAAGTTCATCATGGTTCTTTGAGTAATTATTCCTGGGCTAAAAGCTTTCCATAAAAATTAATATTATTTCTAGTATTAGATCAGTTGATGTAAATTATAATTGCAAAATGTTGTGCACATGTGCACCAGCAGACAGCTGGGCTTATTTAAGGTGCATTTTTGATACTTATTCAAGGGTTGTAACACTGTAAATCCTCTATTAAGCCCCCCTCTCAAGTAAGCCCCCTCTCTCTAATAAGCCCCACCTTTTCAGGGGAAGAAAGGTAATAAGCTCCCTCCCCTTCCCCATATTATTCTTCACAGATAAATGATAGACTCCATTAATCAATCACAACTGTAAAACTTCATTTGGACTGATCCAGGATTTTTATTCACCAACTAGAAGTGCAAATTTGTTTTTGAACCTCTGCTGCGTGACCTCCAACGTCTTGTACTTGAGCTTTTTCAGTTTGTATTCTAGTTATTTATGGACATCTGACACCATTGCCTTTCTAAATTTAATAAGCCCCCTCAAATGTATTAGAAATAAATAAGCACTTCATGGGGGGCTTAAAAGAGGATTTACAGTAAAAACATTAGTTCCATTAACTTTCCTTATTTTATTTTCTTGTTACAGTCAAATCCTGTTAATTGGGGTGTTTATGAGGTGTCTGTATTTGAAAGGGGTTTGTAAATTGGGGTCTGATTATTGTTTTTACCAGACTGTTACTCAAGAAGATGTGACACAAGAGGAACTAGGAGGAGCTAAAACCCACACCTCTGTATCAGGAGTTGCTTGTGGTGCCTTTGAAAATGATGTTGAAGCTTTGGCAACGTAAGTAATAATAATAATAATTTAATAATAATAATAATTATAATAGTAATAATAAATATTTATATAGCGCCTATACTTTTCAGTGCTCAGCGCAAGTACACTGAGCACAGCATCTCAAGTCTAAGAAAGTCTCTCGATGTAGGAGATGGTTGGGTTTAAATCCACTCCTATAGGCCACATTCTGAAAATCTGAATAGTAGTGAAGGACATTGCATCATCAGTGCTTTCCTCACTTAATTTGTTATTTTTTAAGCATTCTGAACTCTAATTCTGCATGGCCTTGTAAATAAATTATTGAAGCCTGAATTTTTACATGTCTTCTCTTTGCGACAGTATTAAGTTGCATCTTTAACTGGGATGATCTTCTTTGTATTTATTTCTCCATTCCATGGTTCAACATGTAGCTCAGTCACCTTTTAACATTGACTTTGTATTGGCATTTTTCCATCTGTCTTAAATAGTTTTTGTAGCCTGCACTCAAACCCAAGGGAATTGGTGTAATTTCGCCTTGTACTTTTTTTTGGTCAGGATCAGAGACTTCTTTGATTTCCTACCACTAAGCAACAAGAACCCTTCACCAATCAGAGAGTCTGATGATCCATGGTAAGTGTAAATTAATAAAATAATTGTGAGACCCTAAATTAGTGACATCAAAATCTACCTTCTCCTCATCATCAAATGCACATTGAGAGCTTATTACAAGAGAATATTCAGAATATAAACTTTGCAAGAAGAATATGGGGCAACCAGTATAGGAAGCATTTTAAGTCCCTGCTCGCTTATGATTTATTAGAAAAGACTGTTGGTCAACAGTCGGCGGACTGTTGGCCGACAGATTTTTTGGGAGGAGCTGTTCTTCACTTTTTTTGAAAGTCAGTTTTACAACTAGGCAAGAATCCAATGATTCAGTTTTTAATAATTTATGTTATAACCTAATTAAGTGTTAGAGCGGTTTTCACTTGACTGTCGAAAGGGATTGGTTTTGGTTTTGGTTTTGGTTTTACTACGCCCTTTGGTTGGCTAGTGTATTTACTTTGGTTTTGGTTTTACAACAGTCAAGTGAAAACCGCTCTAAACTACGTTATATATGCTGCATTCTTTTGAATGAGAGCTGAATACACAAATAGTGGACAGTGATAAAGTCTTAACAATGTTAATATTCTGTTGTTTTCATTTAGTGATAGAACAATTCCAAACCTGGACACCTTGGTTCCATTTGACTCAACCAAAGCTTATGACATATTGGACGTAATATACCCAGTAAGTGTCCTTTGTGTTGGAAAACAGATTATTTTTACAATGTACCTTTCTTGTTCAAAAAATGTTTATCAAGGTCGATCCCCAGTTTTCTAGCCTGTGGTCGAATAATTTAGATGTGTATTTCCAGGCATTAGTACTCTCTATCAACATGTTATGCCTGAAAATCCAAGCCAAACAATTGCAAACTGTGATGTAAGAGTTTTTTCTGTGGTTGACCAATCAGATCATATATAAAGGATAGAATTGGCAAGTAGTGGTGTAACGATTAATCAAATTCTCAATTAATCGCGATTATGACCGTTCGGTTTGATTCACAAATCTTTCCTTCCACGTTTCGATTTGGGTTCAGGGTGGGTTCAGGGTGCCCTCAGTGAGTTATTCATTATTTTAAAATCAGAATCCAGAACTCTTTAAAATGTGCGCTTTTGATTGATAAACAAAGACGATAGCAGTTCCTGTGCCATTTTGTGTTGCCTGGCAAAAATGCTGTCTTTCAACCACTCCTTGAGAATTTCCAAATAAGGCAAACCATGTGTGACACGCTATTTGTCAGGTTCTCAAACATGGTGACGAACCAAGTGACTGTGAATCCTCCTGTCCCTCTTACTGTTCTCAAATTGAGGGTTAAGGGTTGCATGTTGTTAACATTACGCGTTATGTTATAAAAATTACGACACAAAAATATATAATCGAAATCAAAAGGCAATAATCGAAATCGATTCGAATCACAAGGCATATGAATCGTTACGCCCCTATTGGCAAGAGTATGCTCAAATGTATTACTGAAGGTATGGTAAAATGGAAACCATAAATGCGCAACTTGTTCTGCAACATTGCTGCAAAACGAGTTGGAATGCGATGTTGCACATTTTATCACCCACAAATCAACCTGGTCTTGCAACAAATCAGGTTGTTGTCAACCTGATTTGTTACACAGGTTTGAACGTGGGTGGTAAAACGCGCAACATCGCTACCATAGCTAGCTTAAAGAAGGTTTCCTTCCTCTTTCTCTCCTCAAAGGTCTACTTGGAAAGATCTGTGATTTTATTTGTGTTTTAACTTAGTTTACTCCGCTTGTAACTTTGATAACATTTTTATTTGCAGATAGTAGATGACGGTGAATTCTTTGAGACTTCTCCTGATTATGCTAAGAACATTGTGGTGGGATTTGGGCGCATGAATGGTCGTACCGTGGGCGTGGTTGGCAATCAGCCAACAGAAGCTGCCGGTAAGTGTTGTTACATGTAGTCGTTATTAAATAGGGTAGGAAGACTTAGGTGGGAAGGAAGGAATTCTTTTTTTTAATGTTGCCAAAAAATGATAAAATTAATTATAGTTATTTGCTGTTATGTTGCATAATATATTTAGGGGTTTTCATTAATTATTATGACCTTTGGGTGGGGCAGGGTGGAGGGCCATGGGTTATTTTCAAAAGGCCTGTGGTGACCTTGGTCTTTATAAAGTAAATTGATATGCCTAAAAGCCCAAAGGTTTGATCAAGTACAACATGGATGAGTGAGGTCAGTTGTTGATTTTTTGCTCTCTACATGAGAGTGGTTAAGGAAAATTTTGCATAAATTTATCCTCCCATCTTTTGGGTCATGAGCAATTAAAGCCCCGTATGCCCATTTTAATTAACCACCTGTCTCCTCTAAATCCAGCAAGCAGAAAAAAGGCTCTGCTGGGTGCAGGGTGCATTTTCAATTGCCAAAATTGAAATACAATAACTACATTTTAATGTTATGTGTATTTTTCTTCCCCACCTTTGTAGGCTGCTTGGATATCAATGCATCCGTTAAGGGAGCCCGTTTTGTTCGTTTCTGTGATTCTTTCAACATTCCAATAATCACCTTTGTGGATGTTCCAGGATTTCTTCCAGGTCTGTTTTCCTGTTTGTGGCAACTCTTACAAGGCTGCTCTTTGTTAAATTATTAACATACTCTAAAAATACTTATAGTTTATTAGTTGTTTCAAGTGACAAACCATAACTGATGTGCAAGAAAAGACAAGGCAGTAGTGACTTTTGAGAAGTGCTATGTAATGCTCCATGAAAACCATTGTCTAGTTTATCCCACACCTTACTAAAAATATTCTATTAGTCAAGACTAACTTATTGTGTTTTGGCTGTACATAATTCATAATTCTTATTGCGGGATATACTTTTGTGTCCATTTGGAAAAAGTCCACTAATAACTTGGGGTTAATTGGGGGATGTCCCTGCAAATGAAAATAATTTCCTTAACTTAGTTGCAAAACGTTCATTATCGCAGGGACACATCAAGAACATGGTGGTATTATTCGACATGGTGCCAAGCTTTTGTATGCATATGCTGAGGCTACAGTTCCCAAGATAACTGTGATCACCAGAAAAGTAAGCTTTGTTTTCTATATCACATGCACGTGGCTTTTTATTGTTAAAAGTTTAATTTGTTTTTTCATGACTCCCAGGAATTGTAACTTTTGGCTGGTCTAAAAGTGTATAGTTACTCCCGTTTAAATTATGGCTGTAAAGACAAACGATCTTGTTTGTTTTAATTGCAGTTCTAAAAATGTGGGGGGAGGGGGGATAAGATATGGGGTACTTTAAGTATGTTGTACAGGACATACACTTTTACAATCATGGTACCATTATAAAGTGCTCTTTTCCATGCTCTCTTGTCTTGCGAGACCGCAGAAAATCTTGGGGGCAGCTGATCAGGGTCTCTGAGACAAATTAAGATTTCAGGAAAAGTATAGAATACATGATGCTTGACTTGAATTTTCTTAAGGGTGGGGGAGAAATTACTGACATTGTATTATCATAATATTATCGTAGGCATATGGTGGTGCATATGATGTCATGAGCTCTAAACATCTCCGTGGTGATTTTAACTATGCTTGGCCAACTGCTGAGGTGGCTGTTATGGGGGCGAAGGTGTGTGTAGAGTTGTTTAGTACGTTATTTTTAAAATGTTGAATATTACTGAGTTGCACTCACTGGCCAGTTGCATATGAAAAATGGGATGGTTTGTAACTTTAGTCACTTCCAGCCTCATGCACAGTATTTGTAGTCCAGGGCACTATGCAAACAACTGTGAAAAGGTCTATTTCTTATTTTGCGAAACATTTCACTTTGGTTTAGATTTTAATAAGTGGGTACACAGATCGCAATGGACAGATGGTTGTAAAGCCATGAAACAACCAAAGTTTCTCATACAAATCCAGATTTTCTTACCCATGGCAAAATGGCACAGTACTCTGGCATGTGGAGCTCCACTATAAAGAGGTTGAAAATGGTAGAATCTGTTAAACTCAGAAACCCTAGTTTTAAATTAACTGAAACCTGTATTTCAGTGAAAGGTTCTTAACTCGGAGACATGAACAAGACTTGAGATTGACTTAGACCCAATCATTTCAGCTAATAATGTGACTGAAACTTTAGAAAAAAATATACCTGTAGGGCTGCCAACAAGGGCCAGGGATCTCCGCTGGACGCCATAAGCATGAACCGTGGCTTATTTGAGAGGAAACAGAAGGAGAATAGAACATAAAAATTCTTAATGAAAACCCTGTATACCCAGCAACTTGAAAACTTAGTGATATACAGCCCTGAAACCCTAAAATCACTACAGGAATATGATAATATTACCTTTGCTTTGTTTTCTTTGTGCCAGGGTGCTGTTTCTATCATCTTTAGAGGAAAAGAGGATATTGGTGAGTCATATTGCCAAGGCCTACAGCCAATCAACTCTTTGAGGCCTTTAAGTCTCCAGTATTAACAATATGTACTAGCTGGTATAATCCGTGTCCAGATCAATTTGGGTATTGCGATCCTGTATGTTAATCAAAATCAATTGACTGGAGAGGTGCTGTCCATTTCTAGTTTATATTTTAACATTAGACTTTAATATACAAAAAACTTTTCCGGATATTCCCAAAAAGTCCTTTCCAGTCAGAAGCTGCCTGCAGATTAACAGGTTTAATAAACTGGTACAAATCTAACATTCAACATTTTTCTTTTTCCAGAAAAATATGAAGCAGAATACATGGACAGGTTTGCCAATCCATTCCCAGCTGCCACAAGAGGTAAATTTTCATAACATTTTCATTTGTTACATCTTTCTGTTTCCCATTCCAACTTTTATGTGGGGGAGGACATGGTGTCAGAAGCCCAGGCCCAGGACATGGGGGTAGGACAGGTACGGAAGGTGGGAGAGGGAAGGGTGGCTAGGGGTTCTAATAGGGTGGAAATGGTAGGAAAATAATAGGAGGAAAATATGCAGCAATGCTTAAAATTTTGCAATGGAAAAAGGGGTGGGAGCCAGGAATGAGAGGGGACAGGCGAAACGCAGGAGGTGTTCTTGCACTTCCCCAAGTCCTTAATAGTCATCACTGAAAGCTTCAGCCTGAGCCAGGGTCTTGGGCAGTGTGGAAGAGCAGAAAAAGTGAGCAAGCAGTGAATTAACAAACAAGATAAAACAGCAGGAAAAGAGAAAAGGAAACCTGTAAGAATCTTTTCAAATAGCTTAATCCGCCCACTACACCACCCAAATGACAAATGTCAAAGAGTCTAAAGGTGTGGTGTAGGGTTGTTTGCTCAACAGATTTGTTAGACTACACAGTACATGTAAAGCCAAATGATTGACATAAGTGTTGAAAAAATCTATCATAGTTGACCGATCATAGGGTATACGACGAGCTGGTATACTGAAATATGGTATTGAAAACAATGCTTACAGGTTCCACCACTCCATCTCTTTCCACCTCCCATGCAGTTTTCTCACAATTCTTCTTGATCTGCTTTCTGCAACTTCTTGGAGCCTGGAACGGTCTATGAAACTTTCAATCCCCACTAAGTCAATATTAGCATTATTTGCTATTGACCTGTAGAGTCTGCCAGTTAATGGAAAATTAATTATGTTATATTACCCTTCTCCTGTATGCAGGATTCGTGGATGACATTATCAAGCCTCACATGACCCGTAAACGAATCTGCAGGGATCTTGAAGTGCTAGCCACCAAGCAACTTACCAATCCTTGGAAGAAACATGGCAACATTCCTTTGTAAAGTACCCTTCAACTGCCTGGCGCTGTTTGGTAGTTTTTAGCGTAGGTTAGGCCATTCCCTTGTTTATCTTGGGTCTCTTTTCTTCTGGCCATCCCAGATTTAACCTTTCAAGAAAACAAAACAATACCATAGGAAAGCAAACTGGTGGTTGTTCTAAAGAGTGTAAATTGCTGTTGTTGTTGGACAGTATTCTGACAGATGTGTCACATTTACACAGAGCTGATATAGATCAGTCATGCTGTAAGACTTAATCTGTGTAGCAAATGTTTCCATTCAACTTATTGCATGCCTCTTTGTTGCTCTTGTTCCAACTCTCTTGATTGACTCGCACAGAAATGTTTGGGCTTCTGTAGATATAGAACCTGCTTTAAATTTAAAATGTATTTCAGTCATGCAAAATAGTAGGCATGCACTTTTGGGATTACCATAAACAAAAGGTCTGTGGTTTGTAGTTCTAATCTACTCTGCTTTAGTTTTTTCAGTCTTGCTTCTTTGTTTAAGAAAAATCCCCAAATTAATAAATTAATATAGAAAAGAGGAAAAAATTGTGGTGATGGCCTTACTACAAAATAAACTAGTTTACTCCGTGAATTTAAGTACAGTTTTTTCCCCAAAATCATAGCAGACATTGCAAAGCCTTCATCCAGGTCTGGATCTTCTCAATTGGTGGGATGATCAAGACCATTTGGGTAATTATAAGTTTATAGAAACTGTCCTCTTTTAGGCCAGTCAGTTCTATCCACTGATTTTGATCACTCCAAATCATCCTACCAGCTCATCCCACATCACATGGAAGGTATAATGGGCAATTCCAGAAAATATCCATACCCAACCACGGGTGTCTAGAAAACTCAGACCTAGAAAACACAGACCACAGACCTCAGACCTAGAAAACCCAGACCTCGAAAACACAGACCTAGAAAACCCAGACCTCGAAAACACAGACCTAGAAAACCCAGACCTCGAAAACACAGACCTAGAAAACACAGACCTCGAAAACACAGACCTAGAAAACCCAGACCTCGCAATTTAAAACGAGTCTTAAGACCTACACATTTGATGACAACAGTTTACGCATGGCGCTTATATTCCGTATAGTTTATAGCTACTGGCGTGCCGACTTTGCTTTTTTTTGGTCGTTTGACGTTTATCTATAGCTATTGCTGGACTGAGCAACAAGAAAAGGCAGCAGTCAAACGCAGGCTTCCTTTGTTGGTCTAGGATCCATGATTGCGTGATGGAATGCCCCATTCTTTTTTTTTTATCTTTTCCCTTAAGTGTTGTTTTGCAATATAATTAAAAATGTAAAGCGAAATAAAATATATGGACTGAGTAGTTTTAGTAGTGTGAAGGAGATTATTCGGAAGGCCCTGCAATTTTCGTGAATACATCACACATCATCTTTATTAGCGACTAAACAGCTGACTAAAAATCACAATTACTTGGTACAACCGGAGCGGCAAATTGTAAAACATCAGTAAATGAACAGCAACAACGACAACATTGAAAACCACGAAATTGCAGTCTGTCAGCACTTAAACGGCCGCTTTGCCCATTCTTCAGTGCTGTTTCCATTAAGTTATTTGTTACTTTTGCGTTACTACATTAGTGGAAAAACCATGTTCATAGAAGTAAAGCTGTTGTTCTTTTACTAGTCGTTATAAACAGGAACTGGACTACATCGAAAATATCGCGTCCCAATCCAATGTTAAATAACGACAGATCGCAGGACATTTAAATAATTAGTAAGACAGCGGACGGCTGCATATTCCAGAGAATTAGGCGGCATTAATTTGCTTCTACTTGAGATCCTGAAAACTTTTCATTTAGAACATTCCCATGCAGTCCTTGTAGAGATTGAAATTGTACATAACAGATAACGAAACTGTATCAAAAAAACAAAAAATATATGTTAAAATATATGAAATATATAATGATTAACGAAATATAACGAAACTTATCCTTCCATTCAAGTTTTTGTTTCCAATAAACCAAGAAACCATCTGTTATAACCGAGTATACTTGCTCTCAACAGAACTCTTCCGTAGTATATCGTGGATGAAGATTTCATGGTTAAATTGCTTTCTTGGTACATCTTTAAGTGGTTGCTTTAAATCAGTAATTTATGTTTTGTTAGCACTAATTGAGCTTTGTACTAGTGATATCCGGTGACTTACAACGTTCTTCTTGTGGTCATAAATATAGCAGAGACAGAAATCCTTACTACAGTCTCAGACAAAAATAGTTGTTCATGGCGGTTCGGTCACCACATCTTGTACACCAACATTGAGGGGACAAGGAGACCCCAAAGTGTCCCAACCATTTTGACTGAGACTGTAGCTCTTACAGACTTACAGCAAACACATTAGCACTTTCCTACTTCAGTTTTTGTAGACATCAGTTTGGCTTCTGTCATGCTTTTTCTTTTAAAGTTAACGACTTCAGGCGCGGATCTAGGATAAATGCTGACCCATTTCCTAAACAAGCGCAAAAGCGCAAGCTTCCCGAGGGGGCTCGGGAAACATGCTCCCCTGGAATTTGTTTGGATTTTAACTGGTATCAGAAGTTTATATGCCTCTGCTGGTATACAGTAATAATGAAATCTAAGAAATGTTACCAATTAACTAATTTCCGCAAGTGCAAACCATCTTTCTTCAAATCAAGTCGAAGTAGCGCCGGAAGTAGCGCTTTCCGCTTCTAAGTGTATTTCCCTTATCAGGAGGTCAAAGTGCGACCTTTGAAGACGGGAGTTGACCTCAGGGGTATTTGCAGTAATGAGGGATCGTAATATGGAAATCTGCTCTTAACACAAGTGCCATTTACGCAGTAGTACTTTGTCGTGTACTTTGTCGATGGCAGTTTGCGGCCTGGCTCCTTGGGATCTGGATACGACCACTTCTCCTCATGTGACAGTACCACATCGTAAGGTATGATCTTTTTCCGTCTCGGAAATTCAATATGGCACTGTCTACACTCCTTTGCTTTAGGGTTATCCTCTAAAAAGCAGAGAACTAGAGGCTTGTTGTTGTGGTGTATCTCAGTATATGGCCGCTGGTTTGTGTCGTCTGTGGACTTGGCGCGACTTGGTCTCCAGGGATTTCTGTGACTGCCACCTTTCTTGCCTTGGGCATCCTTTGATGGTTCGATGAGTGCACTCTTAGAAGGAGCCTTACGCCTCGATGTTTTTCGAAGGAAATCTAAATGTTCCTTAATCATACCTGTTTTCTCGGCAACGCTTAAGCTGTGTTTGCAGAGTTTATTGAACTTGTAACAAGAGCAAGCACAAGTTACATGATCACTGTACACTGCGCATTCGTACATCCCTTTCTTGCAATTCTGAGCTCCAACAAGAAATTTCTTTCTTGACGCGACCGTTAACGATGGCATTGTTTGAATGGCGTCTTTGCAATTAAGTAGTGCCTCTGCAGCCTGGACAATGGTATCAACTAAGCCATTTGTCCAGTTCTCCATGGATTTCAATATGCTTGCAACATCAACGGAGAACTCGTTGAACTCGGTTGGCTCAGTGTCGGGTAAATTGGCTATCACTATGGTTTTTCCGTTCAAAGCATCTTCAACAGACAGCCTATTAAATTTGACAACGTAGTCGGCTCGTTGATTTCGGTTCATGTTGAACCATTTTTCCGGAGAAACGGCCAGATGAGCTACGAGGTCTGCGAGTTCGTACTCCTCACTTAACCCACATATGGCTAACTTCAGTTCTTCTTGTTGGTGCATATCTACCTGCTCCCAGACATCTCTTGTAAACTGGAGCTTTGTCAAGTCGACTTTACTTTTGTCGGTTTTTTCCATGGCTTCCTTTTGGCGCGTTAATTTGTTATTGATGCTTTCGGATTGGTTGGTGTAGCTTTTCAAAGGCGTACCTGATGTGTCAAGAGGCATACCAGCCTTGAGTCTTGCTGTAGCTATCATATTATTTTTCATCATTTTCTTACGAGCCTTGATATAGTTCCAAAACTCAGGAGCTTTCCCCCAGTTAGCTTCTCTTCTTCTTTGTCCAGTGATTCTTTTGCTTCCGTCAAGCGGTTCTTCAAATCTTTTTTTGTCTTTCGCATCTAGGATACCGTCTGAGTCGTCACCCTTTCCAAAGACCACTTCAAGAAAGAACTTTTGGTTTTGCTTTTTGTGGATCCCCATCTTGTGAAGCTTGTCCTTACAGTTTTGGTAAAAATGTCGGAAACATCTTAACCCAGTTGCGTGGCGCATAACCTCTCTTAAGGCTGAGTACAGTGTTTCTTCTCCGTCTGTAATGAATCCCTTTCCCTTATCAGCAAGACTTGGTGTGTTAGAAGCTACAGCGTGGACAATCTTGCTGTAAACACTCTTTTGCTTGCTGTAGTGGATTGCTGTTGGTCCTACAAAAGCTGGGGCTTTGCCTGTTCTCTTGGATATCAAGAACAAGTGCTTGTACGTGAACGGCGTAACCTCAAATTTTCCAAAGTTAAAGGTGGGGTCGACGCTCATAGGGTGACTTAGTATCTCGGAAGTGCAGAATCTCGATAGGTCCGCTATCATATGTGGTTTGGCAAGTACCCACAGATCCTCTGGAAAATCATGGTGCTCAAGCACGATTGGGTCTTCACGATGTTTTGCATATTGCAAGAGCTCGTCGACTTGATCTACTTTTTTCATCTTGTTTTTCAGGTCGTAAAGCTGTTGTTTTGACCTCGGCAACTCTCCGGGTTCACGAGCCCCTAGGATACCACCTGCAGAGGCTGAAACTTTCTTCAACGTCACAGATGCCGAACTTGCAGCAAGTTCACCCTTGATCGCCTCCATAGTACTCTTTCGGGTAGGGTAGAATGGCCTTTTACCACTTTTACTGTTGCCATGGGCAGGAACCTCAAAATCAACCTCTTCGCAATCTTTATCTGTTAGTGTATATTGAAGCAAACACGCAGAATTAACAACTTCCTCGTCCCGGTCAAAAAGAAGAAATATCGAACGACAGAGACCAGCTTTGTTCTTCGTCGAATGGACATATATGTGATATTCGTTATCACTGGCTAATTCTACTTTCTTCTTCTCCAATACTTGTACTTGGTCATTTCTATCTACTTCCACTGTCCAGGTAGCGATTCGCAATGTCTCCGAATAAACTCCATTCATATCGCTCTTGACATCTTGCCAACATTTATATTTACTGACATCTACAAGAAAGGACAGGTTCCTTCGCACTCGAAGAGGAGTTTTCCTACATTTTTCTCCTTGTTCCATGAGCAGTCTTTTAGCCGCCTCCCTTACTGTATAGCGTTCCTTCTTACCAGTCTCAAGGATTGGCAGATCTTTGTCATGGCCGTATAGCATGGAACTGGAGGGTTTTGTTGATTTTGTGCTTCGTACAGTAGGAGGTGTAACCTCTGGATCTGCAAACACAAAAGGAAAGTAGTAAGGCTGGAACAAAATGTATTCCTACAATCATACTGGAGATTACATAAACAAGTCCCAAAGCCAAAAGCCATAATAAACGGTCTTGTGTATGTGCTAAGAAATTAGACAAACCTGTATGCTCGGGGGCATGTGACGGTACCGCTGCCTCCTGATAAATCCGTTCATCTTCACTACCAGAATCAGAGATAAGAACTTCCAATTGCTTCGTGGTCTTGTCATCCTCCTTTGTGTATAAAAAATTATAATAACAGTTACATTAAATTAATTAAATTAAAAAAAGGGAACCTTGCAGTCCATCTGCAAATATTGCGGTAATAACATTGTGTGCGCTTCCATGCAAATGGTGTCAGCTGATTCACGACAAAATAACGATCCTCACGTTATTGCAGCTTTGAGGCACATAACGGGTACAAGGTCCTGTTACAAGATGTATGCATGCTAGCCTAAACAGTGGCATTCTCCATAGTGTCAAATGTAGCAGTGGAAATTATTAGAAAAAGTTCCCCCTATATAGCACAAAATTGTCACCTTGCGTTTACGTCACGAGCCCTAAGCCGACGTTTAATTCTAGCTTAGACTGGTTTCCTCATATGGAACAATGTGGCCTTGGAATAACACAGAACGCTGCTTGCAATCATAACTTTGCAACGTTTATTATTGTACAAAGGTCCATTCAGATAAATGAACATTCGAACATTGATTAAGATTAACATGCATTGAGACATACCTTGTCTGAAAAATGTGATGACTTTTGCAAAACAATTGCAACTTCCCCATCTGAACCTTGACAACCTGAGGATGCAGCAGGTAAGTCACTCGAATGTGTTTGTAGAACGAACATTAAGACGTTTATCTTAAACACAGAACTCCCCCACAACTTTAGAATTATTTGTAATCTGTTCTTGTTCTCTACTATTAAATAGGCTTGGGAGAAACGAACCTGCGGTTTGTTCTTGGAATGAGGGGGACTGCTCATCCCCACTACCATCACTTAAAATGACCATTGGGATAGACGAAACTCTTTTTTCTTCTCTCTGTAAATATACAAAAAGCCTTAAATAAAATTAAGCTACTGGAGTTACCGAATTGACGAATTAATTGTCAAAAAGTAAACGACCACATGTCCACAAGGGAGATTCAAAAATGGTACCCAATTTTAACTTTTAGAAAAAACAGGATACCAACCTTAGAAATATAAGAATTAAGCGGCGATCTTGAGTGCGTTGCACGTCCTCTTCTCGAATCTGTGCAACGTAAATACATAGGAAATTACTCAAAGACAAATTAACAACGATGGGTTTCTGTTGTTCAACAGAACCTAGGTTTGAGTTAACAATTAGGTAGCGAACCTGTAAACAAAGAAAACGAGGTGCTACAAACCTCTGGGCTGTAATTGCATTGGAAGAGGTGTTGATGCACTTGGATAGAAATGCTTCTCGCTTTCACAAGAAAAATCCGACAAAAGTTTTTCTTGGTTTCGTGAGGTGACGTCGGCATGCTATAACAAATAAAGACAATTTTGAATGAGTTTTTTTACTGATTCACTTTCTCCTAAACGTGCTTTATTCTTGAAATAACACATGAAACATGGCCGTGCCATCGGCATACGTTTATGATCGTAATACTCTGGGATAAAAAAATACCAAGGTCACCCACCATCAACTTCTGGAGGGCAGTTACCGAGCACACTTCCTTAAAGGGGCACCTTCAACCAGTGTGCATTGCGGTCGTGAACGTACGTACCTGAAATCATTTGCTGTAATACAAAACTTACGAAGGTTCGGGATTTTATCTTTGCAACCTTAGGGAATAGCAGGCTTACATACACTCCTTAAAAGAAACAGATAAATGTCCCCTATAACTGAAGGTAAAAATAATTAATACCTTTGTACAACTCGATCTCGTCTTTCCGTGTTGACCGCGCGATGGTTCAGAGAAGAAAACATGAGCCTTCTTCTTGATAGGCAAATCGGTGTCTGCGTCGGGAAACTTTCTTTTCTGACAAAACAACGGAATTTGACATTGGAATATGCAACGGTAGTGATATTCGATAAAGGAAAAGCCACAAGAAAATGAATCACGAGCGATACTGTAGCGTTTACCTTAAGAGGAGATGGATTGAATTTTGCAAAACTGAGTGGAATGACATCAGAAGGGCGCAAAACTTGGTTTACCTGTAACCTAGAAAGTCTGAAAGTAACGGAAATAAAATCCAATTTTTTAAGATATGTAAGCACGAAAATCGAACCAAACAGTTCGGGAGAAAGTAGGCAAACAAACACAAAAAGATGGCAACGGCCCAAAAAAGTTACTTGTGATATAGACGAAGGGCTAAACCCAACTAACTTACCCAAGGCGAGGAAAAATAACTTGTGACAGGGACTGGGCTTCTTCGTCACCAACTTGTGCAAGAGCAAGGCGTTTCCACAGCCAGGTACAAAGTTCCTGTTTTCTTTCACTCCCTGAGAAAACAACCAACAGACCGTTTCCATCTCCACCCATAAAATCAGGAACGGGATGAGTATCAAGGAGAAAGTAATCATCTCTCAAGCGACCTAGCAATAGGGTGTACGGTTGGCACGTGTAAATCCAGAAATCATGCTCTGAACAGTCCGTTGTATTTAGGCCTTGCAGAAGATTTAAACGACCTTGAGGTGAGAATACAGCGTCCTTTGCTATAATTTTCTCAGCAAGTTCGACAGAATCAGGAAGTAGGCCTTTCCTCTTAAGGACGGTGAGGCATTCCAGAGCATCATAATGCCGCTTTTCTCTGAAAGTGTTTAAACTTTCAAGGTCGTGAAGAATCATTTCCTGAAATATTCTAGGTACCAGTTCTGGCCAGTTGTCATTCATCTCTTCCTCTTGCGTAGCATTGACGATTTTCTGTGCCGCTACTAGGCAAAGAAAGGTACAGGCATTCGTACCATCGTTAGCTGGTGCAATACCCGCTAAATCATTAACAGCATTGGAGTTAGACCGCTCAAGTGCTTCTGCTAATCGCTCATCGGCTTCTTCCATAGGTGTGGATTGGCTGACTTTCAGAGACGTATATTTGCCAGGATTTCCCTTGGTAGTAGTGGCCTTTAGCTGCGAAAGAACTTCTTGGGCACTCGGACGTAAAGACGCATCGTAGTTAGTGCACATCTCAAACATTTTCTCAATACTAACCCACAATGACGCTTGAAGGCGATGATATTTTGTTGAGCTGCTAGGTTTCAGTTGACCTTCCATCTTTTCTTGCAGCAACGATTGAAATCGGGCAGGATCATTAGCGGTGGTGGCAGAGGCTGATTTCAATTCAATTTCAAACGGAAAACTGGTGTCAGGATTTAAGACGCTGAAAAATATCATCCCTAGAGCCCAAACATCGATTGCTTTCATGTCATCCAGGGTTGCTGTGGCTAACTTTCGGCTCTCTAAGACTATTTCTGGTGCCATATACGGTTTTGTCCCACGCTCGATGTTGGATGTTTGTGCGTGAATTATTGCTGATGTCTGAAGTAACTGTGAGCGACTTTCACCAAAATCCGTTAGTTTGCAGACCACTGGTTCAATGTTAAACATATCTTCAAGTTGATCTTTGTTGACCCCTGGTCGCGCGTAATGCTTATTACTTACTAACACATTCCCTGGTTTTAAGTCGCGGTGCACCACGCCACTTGAATGCAAGAAGTCAAGGCCCTCGGCGATATCAATAGCTACCTTGGGAAAAACAGGTAAAAAATGTTTAAAGGCTTCAATGGCTTGTATTCGATCGAGGCAATGCAAAAAGGCAAGCAGATCTGAAACCTGAACGTCGAGACCGAATGGCAAAAAATCAAAACACTCGTATTCCATCATTATGGCCACCGGTTTGGAACAAACAGCAACAAATTCTGCCACCTTAGGATGCCGTAGATTTTGCAACATCTTCGCCTCCTTTGCTACTAGCTTCAGATTTGAGTCTCCCTCGCCAAAAAATCGCTTTACCACCACGGCTTTCTTCTCGGGAATGTAATTCGCCTTCATCACGGACCCGAAACTTCCCTTCCCTATTTCATTCTTGTCAGCAACATCAGCCCATCGAAAACCAGGAATATCGCGAAAGTAACCTTTTGTGAGAGATTGCGCGTCGAGAAGAGGTATCTTGAAAGCCATATTAGGCTTCAAAACAATAATACAGCGCTTAAGGACAGTCACGACCAGTGTTAGAATTTAACCTTGATAGCACATGGCTCTTATCGCCGGTCTCACATGACCCAAAAGCGCGGGAAAATTAGTCACGCGATGGTTCGCGTGACTGAGGAAATGAAAAAAAGGTGGAAACCCGATTCATAAACGAAGTGCCAAGACACTTTGGAAGTTTGTTCGTTATATCAAGGGTTCGCTATATAGAACACCTCCATTTAACGAATTTCCCGGAAAACTACCAAAATATCCCTTATATCCAAGTATAGTTAACAATTAATTTACAAAACCCAGCATTTCCGGATCTGAAAAATTATTGTAATAACATTTCAGGACCGAGTACATAGCTACGGCACTAGAAAAACTACAGTACACATACATTTTTACCTTGATGGTCTGTTTGGCACTCTTTGTTATCACATGCTGACATTTATTCGTTATATCGAGGTAAATTTTACGTTTGCGCTTGTGGATGGTGTTCGTTATAGAGATGTGGATTTCGTTAAATCGAGGTTGTGTTCCATACACTCTCTGTAATTCTGGCCGGGCAGCAGATAGTTTTCGTCATACCGAGGACTTCTTTATATAGATGTTCGTTAGATTCTTTATATAGATGTTCGAGGTTTCACTGTAGTTATCTGATCATCTTGCTCTCGATTTGGTTATTTTCGCACCCTATCTCAGTGGCTAGTTAATGTATCAGAAAGGGGAAATTCCATGTTCTTCAAACCGCAAAGCGGCAAAACTGAAGTAATAATCTATTAATGAGTAACTCTGTTATCTCTACTGTTATATCCCCACCATGTCTTTTGTTTTGTTGAAGTGTTTGTTTTATCTTTATTTTTGTTCTCATTGAAATCACACGGAATTTTGCTGCCGAGTTTAACATTTATTCACTAAAGTACTGAAAAAATAAAGGGCAAAGCGTTCGTTTTAAAGACAGTGCTGACAAACTGCAATTTCGTTGTTTTTATAGTTGTTGTTGCTCTTCATTCACCCCGATTTTTAGTCAGCTGTTTAGTCGCTAATAAAGATGATGTGTGATGTATTCACGAAAATTGCAGGGCCTTCCGAATAATCTCCTTCACACTACTAAAACTACTCAGTCCATATATTTTATTTCGCTTTACATTTTTAATTATATTGCAAAACAATACTTAAGGGAAAAGATAAAAAAAAAAAAAGACTGGGGCATTCCATCACGCAATCATGGATCCTAGACCAACAAAGGAGGCCTGCGTTTGACTGTTGCCTTTTCTTGTTGCTCAGTCCAGCAATAGCTATAGATAAACGTCAAACGACCAAAAAAAAGCAAAGTCGGCACGCCAGTAGCTATAAACTGTACGGAATATAAGCGCCATGCGTAAACTGTTTTCATCAAATGTGTAGGTCGTTTTAAATTGCGAGGTCTGGGTTTTCTAGGTCTGTGTTTTCGAGGTCTGGGTTTTCTAGGTCTGTGTTTTCGAGGTCTGGGTTTTCTAGGTCTGTGTTTTCGAGGTCTGGGTTTTCTAGGTCTGAGGTCTGTGGTCTGTGTTTTCTAGGTCTGAGTTTTCTAGACACCCCCCAACCACGGACGGCTTCCATGTTTTAACCCCCCCTTGCCTTCGGAAATTCCAAAATGCGCTACCCCCCCATGCCCTCAGAATTCCATAGTCGTGAACCCCCCCTCCCCTTCAGAATTTCCGGTTTTTTTGGAAGTACATTTTCGACTTAGCAACGCCTATAAGAACAAACGAACATGAATTTATGCCTCCTCAAGGCTGTGATCTAGCGGCGCCAGGTGACAAGCTTTACTCTTCAGTGACAAGAAAAACCTACGCTAGTTGCCAGGCCGTGCAAACTCCTTTTTAAGTCCGAATTTGGCTATAAAAATAAACACCACTTAAGGTAATTTTACTCCTCTTTGTTTTCTTGTGCTGTTTTGACGTTTACAAAGGAAAATAGCTCAAACAGACTGTTAAAATCTTTTGGCGGTCAAATATACCGTCGAGTCGTGTTGCGTCCTTTTATACGTCATGTAGTGCGCACAAAAAGCGTTCTAATCTGACAGGCGTTCCTTGGAAGTGACGGACTGGTGCGAGTTTTTTACTGTTTATCGGACGGTTTCGGACGGGAGTAACAAGAAATTTGCAAGGGGTATTAAAAGATACATTTTCAGTTTTTATTCACGTGACAAGAAATTCATCAAGGTAAATGTGAAACCAACGTTTTACTGTTCACTTCTATAAGTTATGAGCGTAAACACGTGTCTGATCTATCGATGCTTGTCTTCTACTTCCGCGGTCATACGTTCGTGGTTTATTTACGAACTACAAAAGTCCACAACAATAGCGTTTTCCAGGAACTTACTCTACACTTTCTACTCCAGAAATCCCACCTGTGGAATTCCCCCATACCTTCAGATTTCAAATCGTAAATACCCCCCCATGCCTTCAGAATTCCATAATCGTGAATCCCCCCTCCCCTTCGGAAATCCTTAAAGCCGTCCGTGGTATGGTATGGATATTTTCTGGAATCGCCCAATAGGTGATTGTCTTGATTATTTGAACACAATGTAAGAACCAAGTATTACACTGTATAGGACCTCAGTTTGGTGTGTGTAGTAGCAAAACTTTGTTTGTGACAGTGATGTGGGTGTGAGTTTGAGTTAGCCTGTGAGCAAGCTCTCTATTTGGGGGAGTCACAAACGTCACACAAGGAGATGCAAGTGCTTCACCACTTGCTCACGCGTTCTCTCAGACCTCTTTTGCATTCCACATAAATGGAGAGCTTGCTAGCAGGCTAAGTTTGAGTCTTCTGGGGTAGGTGAGGTCTCTTCAGTCAAACAGCTTACAAACTTAATTAAAAGGTTAGTGACTAACATGGAGTAGCCTGCATAGCAGGTATTTCGACATAATGGGGCCAAGAAAAAACAGGTTGTGTGAGGCAGACACACACAAGGGGAAAGGGATCACCTGCCTAAGAGGCCCATGAAGATGGTTTTTACTCCGTTTCTGAGAGTGTGGAAAATTCCTATTGGTTGGGAGGCTCCCGAGGGGATACGTCTGCACACAAGATCGTTTGTAAACATTTAGTGTCCCCTCACATCCCCTGTTCTTTCGGCTCATAATAACGTTTCTGGGAAACTGCCCACCTACCCCTCCCCTTAGCCAACATCAGCACTTACTTCTCACTTAGGGGAAAATGTTGGCTTAGGGGAGGGGTAGGTGGGCAGTTGGGCAGTTTCCCAGAAACGTGTTATGATCTGTTCGTTGTTGCTTATTATTTCCTAGCACTTGTTATACAGGCCAACATGAAGTAGTTTTTGAGCAACACATATCAACTGAAAGTAGAAATTTTTGTATTCTTGGGCAGTGTTTTGCCTAAATGTCCAGAAGAATCATCTCTTTCAGAGTCAAACATCTTGAAAACACCAATTCCGTAGTATTAAGACGTATGAAACGAGAAAATACGTCACTTCTAGTTGGTGGCATTGCTTAAAAATGCCTTTTCCAAACGTCCCTAGTATCATAGCAAGTGCTCGGAATATCACTTCCTCTGAGAAATGTCCCACATGCATGTTTTGGGTATGGCTAGGAATGTCTAATCTCTTATACATTTTCGGCCTTTGAATCAAACAAATGGAGAAACTATACGATCCCATGTATGGGGTTGGTCAAAAAGAGGATGTTAATTTCTCTAGACTAAACACAAAACTATATAGTAAAATCAGTGATTTAATGTCATTTTTACATTATCTAACAATTGAAACAAAATAATGAGTTTCTTAGACATCCTTCTACAAATAACTTGCAAAGTGTAAAATGTTGCATCTAGAAACTAATAATAATATAATAGGAAATACAAAGAAATGCAACTTAAAAATACTTTTAAAAGAGCGTGTCAAAGTAAATAAAAAATTCATTTTAATTGTTTGCATTGATTATACTTGAGTACAGGATAGTTAGTACAAAGGGATTTTGTTGTGTCAATTTCGGCCACTTGAAAAATTTCCTTCTTTATGGATGGGGGATGCTTTAGAAGCATGGAGTTTTAAGGTGTGATCTTTAAACCTTTTGATTAGTGGACCTTCCTCTTTTATTTTCAGAAAAAAACTTTCCTCTACTGTGAAAAAAAGTTTGCTCCCCAAAGGTAGTCTTCAAAATTATTTGTGAAAGCAAAAAATTAATATTAAACACTTCTGAACACACAAAACTGTTGCATTAAAGACAATAATTATATAGATTTAGCCGGGCTAAAAGCGAAGCTCCCATTAATAAATTTATAATTTAAATCAAAAAATAAACTTGTAATCCAAAGGTCAGTTAACTTAGGGCACCTATGTGACTTTTTAGGGAAAGCTAAGGCTAAGTGATTTTAGAGTGAAAAAAAAAAATCTTACATCGAGTTGATAGCCTTATATGTGCACCCAAAAAATAGCAATCATCTTCGATCACATTGAAGAGCCATAATGGCTCTTGATCACAGTAGATCAGGCCTGGAAAACGAATTCTTGGAAAACAAATCAGGCCGAATTTTTGGCGTTCAACAAGTTTACTTAACAAAATCTTACCATCAAATCTGGGTGCGTGTAAACCAACATTTCATACTTTTTACACGTCACACCAGAGATGAAACAGTAATATGAGGTGCTTTTTTTATCATACAGACCTCAGACAAAATGCAGTATTTCACAATTTTTCAAGACAAATATTCAGAACCATCAAAGCACGCGTGGGCTTTTAGCAAAACCGTTCAAAAAATTTGAGCTCCAGGACACCGGAACCTTCTAGGGAAATTGAAAAAAGTTCGAGTTATTGGGAGTTTGAGGCAAATAACCGGGAACAAGGAAATAAGAAAATGGGGATGGAATGCAAGCATCATGCAGACTTTTACAGTCAGTAAGTTTTGCAGTCTAACTGTTCATGTGCATTATATCATTTTATTATATGGCTACAATAGTACGTGCACTCTGATTGGCTCTTTTCTTGTACTGACAAGGCATTATTTTCTTGTGATGATCGGGCATTACTAACCTAGGCATCCAAGGCATATTCAATCTATGTTTAACCCTTATGGACATCAATGTTACGGTCACTTGACAGCTCTCAAAAGGGGTGTCCGCTGACCAGGGTCACCCGAGTGTATCACAGGCCCAACTGTACAACTCACTGAGATGATGTTTTTTTTTAAAAGTTGTCGCTGACCAGTTGCTGGTTTAAATTGATTGCAGACTCATGTCTACAATGAAGCTTCTCTGTTTGGTCATAACAAGAAAATCTCAGACCTTGGCGCTGATGTATTGAGCTCACTAAATACATCAAGGCCTCAGTCTGAAATTAAATCTTGTTTAATAAGTAGTACCTGAAGCACCCTCTGAGAGCTTAGCAAATTACAATGTACTGTACATGGGTTGCGCTAGTGGCAATAAAACTAACTACTTGTTATCAAAAGTTTATTACCAATTACTAATTCACACATAGCCTTTCAATCCCGCCTCGTTCCAGTCATAAACAGAAACTTCACGTAATGTAATTGACGTGCCATTTGTCACCAATTTGGTGATGTTCAAGCTTACGGCAGAAATGACCTCCCCAGTGAATGCTGCAGGGAAAGCATGAATCCGTTTCTGACCTACACTACTTCCTTGCTCAGGGTACTCAAGCCAGCCATTTAGGGTCTTAAATCGCAGCTGGTATTCTTCAACGAGCTGTCCGAATTCTGCTATGTTTTCCATGATTACTACAGCTCCCTTGCCCATCCAGTAAAGCTCTGGCAAGCTCCACACTATCTCAACTCCAACTTTCAGTTCTGGATTTTTGTCTGTGAAGACAAGATTTTTGTACAGCAAACTGACAGCTTCACCAAACTCCATGTACGCTTGCATATCCTCCTCTTCAACCAAGCCATAAGGATCTGGGTTCAAGTTGAGTATCATGTGACAGCCCCTTCCGACACTCGTCAAATACTCACTAACAAGCGTGCTAACACTCTTCACTCTACTTGTTGTGTTTGGTTTCCAAAACCAGTGGTGCTCTCTTATGACAGTGTCACAAAAGGGCGGACAAAACTGCGTTCCCAAGGGATCAGCTGTAAAGAATAATAATTATAAAATTATTCATAACTAATATAATAATTATCCTTCACAATAATTATATTACTTTAACAAGATATAATTATTATACACTGTGTTAATGGTTGAGATAATTTTTATTTTTCTCCTGCACTTAAAGAGGCAGGAGTGGAAAGAAATCAATCAATATCTTAGGAATTTGAATTTCTGTATCAAAAAAGCTAGGCTACAAAATGCTAATTGGCGGAGATTTAATTTAGTCATGAAGTCATCAATCTTTATACACATGGTCTGTTGCAAAAAAATCAACATTAATTTGTGGAGCTTTCTATCAAATTGACTCTCAATGCCAAACTGGCTATACCTTAATTAAAGCCAAGTTAAGAGCCTGTGTACTGGCTGGTGTCTTTTTGAATTGTGTGTGCAGTGTGGTATGTTATTTGCAGTTCACAAAGTAAGAGATTCAGCCCCACAAAAGCCAAACGAAGGTCAAATGAGAAAATGATGGGGGAGGAGGGAGGGAAGAAGGCAGATCGACCTTGCATGTTTTCTGGTTCATCTTGCTCTCAGGTGTCTCTCGAACACACAGAAAGACACACCAAAAAAGTGCCAGCTATACATACATACATAAAGTACTTTATTTCAAAATAACAAGCACTGTTATTAAGAAAAAGAAAACCCAGAGCTTAACCCTATATTAAGGATCTCCTAAAAAGGAAAAAAAAAAAGAAAAGAAACTATAATAATAATAATAAATTATAGCAATAAAAAATAAAAAAAATACATTTATATAATTGCAAGTTTATAAAAATCACAGAAATATCATTAAAAAAAGTACAGAATGTCTATTCAAGAAATATTCATGTGATTCTTCATCTTAGTTCAAACTTGTTGACATCTGGACTATCATGGCAATTGATTATGTTACTTGGAAGATCATTCCAAAACTTGATTATCTTAACAAAGAAGGAACAATTATAACAGTTTAAATTCACGAGTTTGGTTTGTATCTTCTATTGACGGTTGGATCTTGTCTTAGTGCTCCTGCACAGTTGAAAATAATCAATGAAGTTTAGACCATTCAGATTGAATACAATCTTATAGCACTCCACCAGGGATAGAAATTCCTTCCTATGGGACTCCGTGAATTCTGCAGGCTAAACTCAAGGTAGCAATACCATTGTTGTTTTATCTACAGCATATTTAAAAGTTTTACGATTTCAACCATTTGCCTCAGATAATGTTACATGTAGTTCTTTAACCATTGCAAAGTATTATTATTTTTATAAATATCTGGTCGAGAGTTGAAATTGGTCAAATGGCTTAAATTGAACAATCTGGGGGTAAAACTGAAAAAGATACTCAGTTTTGTTTTGTTAAAGAAGAAGGAGCATGGCCTGGCAGTTGGATTTTGCCATGTACCCAGCTGATGGGTTTGTTGCCACTGAAGGTTGTGTAGAATTGTCTTGCATTGATTGGTTGTGGGAGCCACAATGGGCAATGGAGGTGGAATTCTCAGACATCGTGCAAGCAAGCTCTAGCTAATTTTTGACTAATGTTTTTCTTTGGCTGCTGGTAAAGAGATTTGTTAGTAACAACTTATCTACTAGACTGCAATGCAGATGAAACAAAACTCTGGTTAAGTCCATCTGCGAAACAGCGCCAAAATTCTTATTCTGGGTCCCCATCTGTATTTGAGTACACCCTAAGATTCTTCTGTTAACAAGCCATTAATGATGAAAGGAAATTCAAAGCGCACTTCCAGTAATTTCTTGAATCCATTGTGGGCCCAGAACAAGGATCTTGGAACTGCTTCACAAATGTTCCCATTGTTAAATTAGGTCTGCAACTCAGGCTAGCTACTTATCTACCAACCTTTTCCCATATCACATGTGTTATCCGGCACTGAATACCACAGAGGTAATGGTGCCACAGCTTGCTCATCACCGACCCAACGAATTCCTTGATTGCCAGCAAATGTTGGACACTGCATACAGATAGTATTGTTACCCAATGTGCGCAATATTGGCCCAACCTTAGGACTAACACCAGGTACAATACCAGCATCAAACCAAAAAATAAATGGGTTTGCATACTTTGACTTAGGAGCAAACAGTTCATACATGTGTTGTTCAACAATGTGGTTATAAAATGCTTGCGCTGCAGGATCGTGTGTTCTGTAGTTATCAACATCCATATACCAATTCTCATGAACACTGTAGTAGAAGGCGTGCTCGAGGCCGTACTTTGCACAAGATTGCATAAATTCCCATGCCACATCTCCTGTTTTGTTTCGCCACATACTGTTCTTTACAGAGTAGTTGTAATTCGTTTCTGTGGGCCACAGTAGAAAGCCACTGAAGTGATCTAAAGTGAGAATTGCATACTTTGCACCAAAGCTACTGGCTGCTTTTAACCACTCATCTGTTGACAACTTTGTTGGGTTAAATGCATCCGGGGAAACCACGTGACCTGATCATGGACAATGCAAGTAAGGAAACACTCAAATAAATATGTGATAATGAAATAATCAGCATGCCACGAGCGAGGGACAAAGACAAAAATTATCTAAGTCCCAGACAGGATTCAAACCTTGAACCTCCCAAACATCAGGCGTGCACTCTATCCACCTGAGTTACAGAGAACTCAAGGAGAGTGAGGCCATTATACTAGGATCATATTTGACACACGTCCTTCAATAACATTTTAGGACCGAGCTATACATAGCTACGGCACTACGAACTCAAGAACAAGCAAAAAAACTGCTTAAAACTGCTGCTTAGAGCCAGTCTACACAGTACAGTGCTGGACCACGATTTAACGAACCTCTATATAACGAAGTACTGAGTGTAACAAACTATTTTCTTCAGCCTGGCCAAAATTACAGTAAAAATGTATGCAACAGAACCTCGATTTAACGAAATCCTCATTATAACAAACACAATCCACAACTGCAAAACGTAAAATATATGTTGTAGTTAATCCTTTTATCTCAGGTAATTTTGTTTTTCCTTTGTTTCAACTTCATTAGCATATATTACCATGCCCAAAAACAAAAGAAAAATAAAAATTACCTGAGAAAAGATGATTGAAAGATGATTAAAACACACGTGATCAGATAACAAGGGTAGAAAGTCAAAACGCGCCTGATCAAATTATGTTTTGTGGATTCCATTCATTCTTAGTGGAAGTCCAAACAAACGTTGGTTGACATTTTACACACTATAGTAAATCCCACAGTTTTTGAATGGTCAAAATTTGTAGCAAGATTCACACGTACAGCCAGAAACAGTCCTGCCGATTACCACCTTTTAATTGTGTCATTAAACAGTGATCAATTATCAAGTCTGCTGTAAATCAGTTATTGTTTAACCATTTGGTTAATGACATCCAATCAAAAAGAGGAAATCAGCAGGACAGTTTCTGGCTGGCACACATGAATCTTGCTATGCATTTTGACCGTTCAAAACTGAGGAATCTTGATTTTCTTTAGGGACTGGCTGTGGTTCTTTTAGATGGCTTTTTCATTGAAAGGTATGAAAAGAAGTGTGAATCTTTCGACCTTCTTGCTGTACAGTTTGAAAGCAGAGTGATGTGATTTTCTGGGGGAAAAATCGCTCTGGTGCTAGAGCAGTTCAAAACATTGATGCCACCCTTGACCTTCTTCTTCCCAGATATTAGCAATTTTGCTATCAACAAATTCGAAGTTAAATTAAGTCTTTGATTGATTGATTGGTTGACTAAGGAGCAACAGTGAACAGCGAACTCAAATTCCCTCAAAATTGCTCAAAATACCACTTCTGAACACTTGTGACACAACGTCCACCTCGTAACGCAACTTCCACTCCGTAACACAACATTTATTTTTGCACGGTTCAGTTATACTTGTAACCATGCCCCTCCCCCGACACACCCCCAGGGATTTTTAATTTTTTTGTTTCTTAGGGGTCTATTCCCCACCCTCGGGCATGCAGAAAGAGACAATTCCTCACCACCGAGCTCCTGATTGACCTCATATATGTTTTTTGCTACATCTTTTTGATCCGTTCAAAAGCAAAACGACACATTTTCACAACTTTTATAAACGTTTTCCTGAGTTTATTGAAGGAAGGATAGTGGATGTCAAGATGTACTTAAAACATGAACAATAAATTTGAAAACGAAAACGAAGCAGAAAAACTCTTTAAAAAGCCCTTCCTTGATAGAACACTTCATGAGAACACTGGACCGAATCTCTGTTTCTCTATCTTATATATATCAAAAGCCTTGAATTCGTTTTCATATAAAAACTTATCATTATTTAAAGCTAAGCTGAAGAAATATTTTTGTCCTTCCTTTCCAGAAAATAAAATCCATTCTAGTACGCACAATACGCACATTTGTTTCAAACTTTTAAAAATACCTTTAAATACAAACTTTAATTTTGATAAGTTATTCCTCTCCAACCACTCTCGGACAAATTAAATTCGTCTGTTTTTCCTTAAAAATACGTAGTCTTGAGGTCCGGAGCCATCGTGTAAACAGTGCAGGAAATAACATGTACTTCACAAAATCAAAGAGAAGATATTTTTTTATTTGCCCCACCTCCCTAGCTACCACCCCCGGTACTTGTCCCGTGGTTTGCCCGGGGGAGGGGGGCTGTAACAAGTAAAATTGAACTAGGCATTAGCTTTGATACTTGCAGATATTTAGCGATATACCGCCACAGCTGAAGCAAATGGTAAATACAGTGCAATTCTATCATAAAATTACATGGGTCACACAAACAGATTGTGTAGGACTCCTGTCGTCATGACAAGGCCAGAGCCTCACGCATTTGCCCACAGGTAACCCAGGCTCTGTGATAGTACCACAGTACGGTTCCAGTAAAATTACAGTGTTTGTATGGGGTAAAAATATCATCCTAAAATTTCTAGGAAATACTAAATAAAGATCAATGAAACTTACTCTGCAGTTAATTGTTGTTGTCCTTATTGCTCCAACAAAGTTCCGTGATAATTTGGAGTAATTTGTTCAAATTCACTCTATCTACAATTATTATTTTAGGATGATATTTACCCCATACAAACACTATAATTTTACTGGAACTGTACTGTGGTACTATCACAGAGCCTGGGTTACCTGTGATTTGCCTAAGAAAAGTTGGCAGCTATGTAAGCTTAAATACTAGAAGTGTTACTAGGTTAGATGGTTCAGAGCTCTATTTCACGCAGGTGTATCACTTCTCAAGGAGTAAAATTATTCCAAAATCCTTACCTGCTTTCATACTTCTATTAAATGTCTGCATATTGAAGTGTATGCTGGCTCCTATCTCGTAGTCGAGGTACTTTGCTTGAGCGGCGCTCGGTTTAGCCACCGAAACCGCGCTATGAGAACAGTTTATAAAACAAGCGAGAAAAAGTGCTATTAAACGACTGCAAATCATTTCGGAAGAAATAAGCGACAACCGACAAGTTTTTCTCTGAGTTTCACGACGACCTTCATGAAAATCACGAGACTTTACCACGACCTCGGAGACCCATGGGAAGTTCATGAGCACAATGGGGACATGGGACAGGAACTTGACACACACATGAATCGATCATGGCTCCTGTATGGGTATTGACCACTCCAGAAAGTACCATAAAATACCATAATGCTCTTTCTTTGTCACCCCAAAATTTTAATAGTGGTTGGCGGTGGCTCGGGACATTTTGGGCAGTCTTACACCAAATACTACCCATAAGCATTGTTTTCAGTTTCTCTTGGGGACATTTTAACTCCCAAGAGAAACGGAAAACAATGCGTATACAAAATTTTGTGGTGACAAACAAAGAGCATTATGGTTAGACTACGAGCAGTCTCTCTTTTTTCTGTAGTCCGTCGAGCAAAACGCAAGACACGCAAATGGCCACGCGCGCGGCAGGACTTTTCCGCGGGTGGCGGGTGGCGGGTGACGGGTAGCGGGTGACGGGTGGCGGGTGGCGGGTGGCGGGTGGCGGGTTAAAAATATATATGAAAATAAAATATTATAACAAAATATTATTATTGATAATGATATAACTGTATGTTGTAATTTTGAAATTATTTCAACGTTTACGTACTAGTTACCAGACTCCAAATAAAAGTATTGTCTTGTTTTGTTTTATCTACTTTAATACGCGGACTAAAAATGGAAAAAAAACGAGAAATCATGCCTGTGAAAGATGATTGCACTTCCCCAACTGTTTAGCCGTGTTTATAACAGACTGCAAGAGATTCGGCCTCCCGTGTCGTAGCTCAGTTTTTGCCCTAGTATGCGGCATGATTGCCATCCTAATTTTTTTTTTTGAGTAGTATTTAAAAAATGCAGATCCTTTTTGTATAAATGTACAAGGAGATCAATTCGCGTCTGAGCCCCCACATGCGGCGAAAACGGTCCATGCTGTGTCCAAAACGTTCTTGCTCCTTCTCTGGTACGCATTAACATTGACAGCTTTGTTGCTTTAGCCTTAGGAAAATTTCCTTGTTTTCTCGAAATAGACACTTTGTTCATTTTAAACTACAAGTCGGAAACCAAATTGACAAAGATTTACAAACGCACTTGTCAAAAATCTGAGACACTGTTCAAACATGTCGAGAAGAGAATGCGATCTTACTTGTCTGGTCGCAGGATAAATATTACTTTAATTTTTATGAGTTCCTCAAGCTATCTCGTCCATGCGATATCGTGTAGAATAATAGAATCTCTTGCAGTCTGTTATAAACACGGCTAAACAGTTGGGGAAGTGCAATCATCTTTCGCCTTAAAGTGGAAGAAAAAGCAAACTAGACAAACAAGATCGACACGTGTCATGTGTCTTGCTTGACATAGCCCATTTTCATTTGACACACCGCGTGTAGCCTGACGAAACGTCACTTGCGGTGCGGAGCAAGGAGAGGTGACTGTTTTCACAGGCATGATTTCTTTTTAGTCCGCGTAAGTAGATAAAACAAAACAAGACAATACTTTTATTTGGAGTCTGGTAGCTAGTACATAAACGTTGAAATTATTTTAAAATTACGACATACAGTTATATCATTATCAATAATAATATTTTATTTTCATATATATTTTAAACAGCCACCCGCCACCCGCCACTCGCCACCCGTCACCCGTCACCCGCTACCCCTCACCCGCCACCCGCTACCCGTCACCCGTCACCCGTCACCCGCCACCCGCCACCCGCGGAAAAGTCCTGCCGCCACGCGCGTGACTGATGGCGCGAGACGGGAGAGGTACGAAAAGAGAGAGACTACCCGCAAAGCCAGTTTTTGGGGGTCACTTTTACAAGTGTATTAAATTTACCAGTGTAGCTATTGTTTTGAGACTCTAAATCATTGGCAGAGAAGCGACGACCGGAAATACGTCTGCTGTTCGCAGCAGTTAATGGCTCTTGGTTTAATACATCCAAGCGCAAGTGGATGGCAAAAGTTGTTTTTCTTATACAAATGCTTCCAACATTTAGACTGCCAAACAGTCGGTTTTTTTTATCAAAATCAGTAAAGAAATCGGTAAAGCGTGGCGTAAGAGTCTTACGCGCGCGAAGCGCGCAGCCTCACACGCCCTACGGGCATGTGAGGCGAGAGAAAAAAAAACGACTGTCCGTTTTGCATACTATGAGTATTTTTAGCGTCTCTCCACAGTCTCACTCTCCGTTTTCAGCCTCGTTCCAGACCTTTTGTTTGACTGCTCGCGCTTACTTGAATAAGCAAAAATACGGACTGTTTTGCAGTCTATCCAACATTCGGCGGCCGTTGCAATCGCTGCTGAAAATTCTCATGTTACCTATCTTTGATATGCTCTTTCAGTAACATGTGCTAACAAAATTTTTCAAAAGTGAATTGTTTTCGTGTTTACCAAAAGTTGATCACTTGATCAAGTCATGCAAAGAGCCTACAGTGTGGCACGAAATTTTGCGGGAGTATATTTTTGCGGATTGGCGATTTTTTGTGTTTTGCGGGAACTAATTTTTGCGATTAGGACAGATTAGTTTTTCTTTTTGGGAACTAATTTTTGCTATTTTCAGAAAGTACCCAGTACCCAGCATTGATAATATTTTCGTTTTTATTCAGCAAGTTCAATAGAAATACATATTTCCGAGCAATAGACCAGTATTTCGTTGTTTCTGAATGAACGAGACAAGTTGTGATTGAACTGACACTATTTCTCAGCACTGTATTTTTGTGTAGCGAATTTATATTAGTGAATTATATTAGTGAATATCTACTCTGGAGTAAATTTTTTGAGGAAAAATTTTTGCGGTAATTTTTATTTGCGAGAGCTTATTTTTGCGGATAGCTGGAAAAACCGCAGAAATCGCAAAAATTAGAACCCACAAAAATTTCGTGCCGAACGGTAATTACATTTGTAAAGTTCGATTAAATTGACCCATGCTCCACATAGGGACTTTTATTCACTTTCCCCTCCTAGCGTTTTAAAATTAAAAGGAGAAATTGGAAGGCGGAATCGGAAAACACGAAAGGTAAAAAGTAGACAATGCTAGCTACTCGAGGGAATACTCGCGGGTTGTTACTGGATTAAAAGTCTATCCTGAGCTGAATTTCATTAACCCGAAAAAAAAGTTACTGACGAAAACATTTTGGATTTGCCACCTTAAACAATACAAATAATACTGAGACTCTACTGACGAATTCGCTGAAGTGCATTTAATTGCCCCCATTTAATTTGGGAGAAATTTTCACTTTAGAATCACTAGTCATCAAGCTGAACCTTTAAGAAACGTTTTAGTAAAGCAAGCGTACACGGTTACCTCTACAAGAGTTTTTAACGCGGTTGACAGTCAGCTTTTGTCGTTATCATGGTCGTTGTTGTTCTCAACGTTGTGTAATTGCAACTTTGCTGTTCATTGCACTATACTAGGGCAGTGGCGGATACATACCTTCAGATAAGAGGAGGGGGGCGGTCATCCAGACCCTGAGAAAAGGGAAGGGGCGCCGGTCTCAAAAAAACTTTTTTTTCGGCCCTTACAGCCTCAGTTTGGACCAAAAGAGAGGGGCCCTGGATCCGCCACCACTACGGCGAGGACATACTGGAAAAATTGCCCGGCCCCGGCCGTGCGATGGGGAGGTCACTGACCATGAGGTTGGGGAAATCGTTAGAGTTGTAAATTGTCACTTGAAACGAAAATTTTATTCAATTCAAGAGAATAACCAAAAGTAGTTTTAAAAAAATTACATTGGATAACATTTATCTTGACTTCTTTTTTAAACAATTCTAATGTGATTCGGGGATGTAATTATTACAAGCTGCCAATATAAAAAAGGGACACTAATAATCAAAAGGAAACAAATTTAAAGTCGTAACATGTGAAAAGAAAATTGCTCTTGGCACATTCAAAATTGTCATTCCAGAAATTCAACTCTATAACAACAACAACGAGGCAAATAACTCTTCGATAAAACTTTATAGGTAGCCGGCAAGGAGTAGTTGTAGTGATTTGCAGCTTCTCAGTGAGGTCTGCATCACTTAATTACTTATTAAACTCAATACAAGCATCGCCGTTTGGCTCCTTGTAATTGCATAATCCATTTTCCAAAAACTCTCTTCGTATCCTATTCAACTGCTTCTCTGTGACCTCATACAATCCGTCTGCTTCTTCATTAGACAGCGCAGCCGACTGACGAATGTAGTCCGACTTAAGGCAAACCCCACAGCATTTTCCATCACAGGACGTCCCGCGACATCCTCCCTTTTTGACATTCAACCAGTAACATGCGTAGCATTT